TAAATTATTTTCCTATTCATATAGAACATTTGTGTGTGTTATTTTTATAATGCATTTATTCTGAAGTAAACATAAAATACAAGAAAATATTTCCTTTAATATATAAACAAAACTGTTCAGTATGTTTTTTTATATATTTATGTTATCCAGCTACAATTTATTGATTTTCAAAACACACACACAATATTTAATTTCAATCATATTTGCAGTTTGAGCCGCGCCAACTTGAAATACGTGAGCTTGCCTAATACAAAAGTTTACTTTATTGAAATTATTTCATTCTTTTTAGAGCATTTGAAGTCGGTTGTATTTTTTTACAAAAATAAATTATTTCATGATTTTTAGTGACTGTATAATTTTTTATATATTAATTACTTGAGGATTTTTGATAAGCAAAACTGTTTGAAACAATCAAAAGTTCCACAGAACAATCATTAGTCACCTGTTCAGGTTACATAATCAATGGGTATGAAAATAAACAACTTTAGATATTCCTTAAGAAAGAAAGAGTTGTCCAATACATTAGGCCTAGTGAAAAACTAATTGTCTTTTCTAGATACATTGAAATGTCAGACATCATCGTTTCCTGCAATCGGTGTACTTCTAAATGTACTATAATCTACATTATAAAAAGAAATACAGTAACGTCTCAAGCCTTTTGGAACAATATGAAAGTTATTCCTCAGCTACCAGCACTAAAAAATCTCTCAAAAGTGGAAAATTGGTTGTTAACACCATAGTACCTTTGGAAAATATTATATGAAAGATTGGTTCAGCTAAATGTGGTGTAAGTCATGTAGGGGATTTTGTTTGCTCAAGATATAGCCTAGTCGAAATTGCAAATCATCTTCCTCTAGGACTTTCCGAAGCAGGCATAATAGTATTGATATGATATAGTAACTGGGTAGAGAATATCAATAAACATTCCACATCTGCAAATGCATGTTTAGTAATTAAAATATTTAACACTTTTAAGACAATTGACGATTATGTACTTAAGTCAGAATATTCAATACTAAAAACAGAATTACTGTATACACAAATCTGGTCAAACGTTAAAATACATTTTTTATAGTAACCAAAACAAAATGCATTTTTCTCAAAGAAATTCATTTAGGCTCCATGGCAAGAAATAGTTTATTGATCAATATGAAGCAACTGTTTCATGAAGAATTGTCTGTAGCTTCATTTAAATGGTTTCAACTAACAGCTGTAGGAATGTTATTATTATTTATTGCCTTCTCTGCACAAATGTAAACAATCTGCACAAATGTAAACAAAATAAATGTTGAATATTTAAGGTTTTCAGAATTTTTCACCGAAACAAATATTATACTTAAACATAATATATAAGGTACCAAATAGAAACTCTCCTGGTTATTTTGGTGGTGGAACCACACTGATCGGTAAAAGAATCACAGAGAAATTGGTGAACATACATAGAAAAAAAAAAACATCGCCACAAACAAATTGAGAACCTCCTCCTTTTGTTGGTAGTGGGGAAGTCGGTTAAAAATCGGACAAAAATTACTCAAGTTATCGTGCGGATGGACATATATATACATATATATACATTTATATATATATATATATATATATAAATTTGAACGAATGGTGTTTTTGGCCTCTGGGGACATCAAAATGAAAAAGTAAATCGGTCCCGGGCTTAGGTCTTACCATGAGACCTACGGTAATAGCTACTTCCCTATAGGGAAATTCGCTAAAATCATGAAAATAACCCTAAAATAATAGAAACAAAATGTTGTCTACACTAGCGATCAGTGTGTGTACATGAACTAGATGCAAAAAACAAGCTTCAAAATTTACAATGGGATGAGGAGTCTATTAAACATTAATGTTACCTAATTAATGTTAAATCCTCCTAGATTCAAACCTGAAACACCCAGATCGAAACCCGCCTGTCGTTATTTTACCATCGCCTTTTTTTTATATTTTTCAAAAAAGAAAGATTATATTGATTTACTTTGGATTTTAAAAATGTTAACGTTTTATTTTGGTAAAGATTTATGGTGATACGTAAATATTGTGGTGTAGTAAAGTATATTATATTGTAGTTAAGTGTTAAATTTTGAAATTTTAGGGTGAATCGAGATGAGTCTTTTTTTATAACATGGGTCTCTCCTACCTTAACATACATACCAAGTTTCATAAACATCGGTTGGAAAAGTGCAAAGATAAATATTTGTATGTAAAAAATACAAAATGGTGGATATCTGGTTAATGAAACGATTTCGGAAAAAATGTTATCCTTGATTTTCTGTTTATTTTGACCCAAGGAATTACTAGGTAAAGTATCTCCCCGCTTATTTTTAACACCCTGTTTATGATGTATTCTTATAAGTGAAAAATGTAAGCTGGTAATACAGAAAGATGTTTTATAAATAATATGAATGTACTGGTGATCTGTATATTCATCTTTTTCTTGTTCTTAGGACTGTAAATTAAAAGTCCACTCAGCAGTCGCATCGTACGATGTAGTTCTTTCCATGCGTTGCGAAATGCTAAATTTGCCGTCCTCTTCAACCCAAGTTATCTATTGAACCACTGATTGTAAAAAATTCAAAAAAAATATATTTTACGCATCACACTTTTGGCTACAACTTTGCCACAGACAAAACCTCTCTAACCCAAAAACAAAAAAAAATCTCGCATGCTAACTTTTTTATGTTAGAAATCACGATTTAAAACTATTTCACCATACATATCAATTTTTATTAATTAGATCGGTAAATAGTTAAAAGTTCCAACAAAATAGTCATCGAGTAGGACTCACCAAGAAGCTCTGTGCCAATTTTAAAAATTTTAGCACAACTTTAAGTACACCAAAACGGGAAATTATTGAAGTCATGCGTCGAGAGGACTAACGTTGTTTTTAACCGATTATACTTTTGACCTTCCGGCACTGTTGACTCAGCGAAACTGAACTTATATTTTATCTTATTTCGTTATATTAAAACTGCTGTTGCATTAGCTCAAATTCCCAATAAGTCAATTGCTTAAACATAAACCACGTTTTTAGCTCGGACTGTACTATTTGACTTACTGGGATTTTTGATCTACAGACACTGCAAACATTGTAGTTTTTGACCTAGCGGTACAGGTATAAATTATTTGACCTTCCGGGACTGTTGACATTCTGCAACGCGTCCAATTTTTGTATTTCACAAAATGGAATGTTGAGTAGAAATGCAAGTACCATTTAAGTCCTAATGATCTTTAAGTACAATTTATTGTCATTTTTACCTCCATTTAATATGTTTTGTTACCTGGAATCATAATACTTGTAGCCTACATTCATTACTTACAGTAATGACTTTAACCTACAAATATTTTTTCCCTTTTTACAAACATGTTTATTTTTCTAAAAATGATCTTAGAACAGAATTAAATGATACTTTTGATTGCATATATTGATTACCTATTATTATTAGGTATGAATTGTCATTTTCATAGTAGGTTGGTTTATCCGGCCAAATCGTTATCCGGCCAGGGGCTTGGTCCCGTGGTGGCCGGATATGAGGGGTTCTACTGTATTATACAATTTAATTTTCATATTTCCCTTGGGCTACGCCCCACGGGCTTGTTTTTATTAATCGCTTTCTTGAAATTTTGATACTTCCCCAAGAGCTAGAGACTTGAAACTTGAAACATAGCTCACAAATGGATGACAATGCAATATTATATCATTTAATTTTCATACCCTTGGGCTACGCCCCATGGGCTTGTTTTTATTAGCTCGCTAGTAGCTTTCTTACAAATTTTGATATCAATTTTAAACGATGTTCCCGATGAGCTAGAGACTTGAAATTTGAAACATAGCTCACAAATGGATGACAATGCAATATTATATAATTTAATTTTCATATTTCCCTTGGGCTACGCCCCATGGGCTTCCAATTCCATGTTTACATTTTGAAATAATGTAAATATATCAGTTAATTTAAGTCAGCTGTAAATACTTAAATTTGACAGTTCGAAGAGCAGAGGTTAATAGGTACAGGTTATGCTCCCAAGAGATTCTTTACAAACTATTTTCAAAGAGATTCTTCTTATACAAACAAACATTTCAAAATAAAGATAAACAATCTGATTGCTGATATAAATGTGTTTGTTAATAATGTCATTTGTTATTTATTTATTATTCTATAAAGTAAACAATAAATTAAATAGATTGATATATTTATAGTTAGTTGGTAGGCCATACATTCAATCTAATACATAATTATATGAAAAGAAACTCAAATAAACCTTACATTTCCCACATGCCTCTGTCTTAACCTGATATAGATGCTTGAAATAGATTTAACATCCACACACATTCAAAACTAAAAAGTATAGAAAATAATTTATGAATAAAAAACTTTTTTAAAACAAAACGTTTTTAAACGCACTAAAAAGTAGAAAATAATTTATAAATATGTGGAGACTATAAATACTTGTAGGATTTAAAACGAAAAACGTTGGGTGCATGCAATTGATAATAATACGTTAGTTCAATAAGATGAAGGTAATTGTAAATGATCTATTGCATACACCCAACGTTTTTCGTTTTAAATCCTACAAGTATTTATACTCTCCACATATTTATAAATTATTTTCTACTTTTTAGTGCGTTTAAAAACGTCTTGTTTTAAAAACGTTTTTTTATTCATAAATTATTTAAGTACATTTCCCTCAATCTTCTTTACAGACCTGTGTCCCCTAATGTGAATGTCACTGACATGTGCTACTGTATTTGTTTAACTTGATAAACATATTTTAAGTCTTGAGCTTATGACATAAGTAGCAACTGAGTTCTTTGGAATACAGAAACGTAATGAGTTGGCACCACGTCTCACCTTTACCAATCTAAGCCAACCTTCGTTGAGTTCCTATTGTTTTGGAGGTTAATTTTACATTTTGGGATCTTATTCCAGATAAGTCTTGATGATTGTTGAATAAATTCAATACCTCTGTCAGTAAGTTGCTTGTTGTTTCAGTAAACGACAGGTCAAGAGGTCGTGCAGGAGGGCCAGCTACTGTGTGTGACGTCAGGTTGGTGGACTGGGAGGAGGGCAACTACAGGGTGAGAGACAAGCCCTTCCCTCGTGGCGAGATCGTCATCGGTAAGTTACAATTTGAAGACAAAGGGTTGTTGCTAATCCCTACGGATTAGCTATGGTTTGATGGATAGCTATGGTTGAGTTGAGAACCATAAAAAAATAGTTTCATTTAAGTATTTTTTACAAGATAGGAGTTCACTATGGCCATTGCAAAATGGTAGATTTTCACAAAAGAAAACTTTCTTTGACATCTTTTTGTGTTTTTGTAAGATGGCCAAAAGACTCAAGAGGTTCAATGGTGAGGACTTCCATCCTGGACTGGGTTCAAATCATACTAATCACCAATAAATAATCTTAGCTATGTGAAATGTCATGGTCAGGAGGTCTGGACCCCATCTTTAGTTATAAGTCTTACTATTAAGTATTAATAGAAGACTATTAGTTTAGGAAAACTGTTGCTGCATTCAATTCTCTCTGCAACGTCTTAAAGTAGTTGAATTTACCCTGGCAAACATTATTGACACAAGCATTATTTATTTTTAATTAAATGCAAACTAAATAATTTGATGAAGTGCAAACTACGTTTTTTTTAGTTTTAACTGTGGTACACACTGCCTTAGAATATCCAATATTTCTATACCCAGTACTCAGAACGTCTTACATTTATAGGTGGCGACAACATTTCCCCAGGTTATTATAAGAACTCAGAAAAGACTGAGGAAGATTTCTTTGAGGAAGACGGAAAAAGGTGGTTCAGAACAGGAGACATTGGAGAAATTCATGAAGACGGAGTGCTCAAAATTATTGGTGAGTTAAGTTGTCATATGTTATAAGTTATAACAAGTAAATTGTCAATTAATTTTTCATTATTCAGGTGGGTATTGGGATGAATTTTGTTTGTCTCACACTTTTTTGTTGGATTTTTTTGCTGATAAATGTGTTATAAGAGTGACTTAACTTTGCTGAAGACAATTCTTTTTTCCTAGCTTACCTTGTTCTTTTTTTAATCGTTAATTGACTATGTATCAACAATATTATGTTGTTTAGTACAATATTGTATTAGTACAATACAATATTTACACTTGTTCTTATTTTTTACATTTAATTTATTTTTCTACAGTTTTTTTTTTGCCCCTTCAATATTTAAATTGCTTGTAATCATATAAAATGGTTATAAGCCACATTTGTTACTGTTTAAGAAGTAGGAAATATATTTTTGTACAGTTAATAGTTCACACTGACTCAAGACCAAGATAAAGATGGAAAAGACAATTAGTATTGAAAGAAATGCTGCGGACAAGCCTTTTTTTTTAGGCTTATGCAGTTTGGTATTGTAAATTCATTGTATATGTGCTGTACTAAGTAATAAATAAATAAAATAAATAAAAAATAGTCTTAAAGACAACAATATTTTATGTCTTATATGTACAAAATATCAAAATGCAAGAAGAAAATTAGTCAATTGTATTAATTAATATTAGGCCTAATATAATACTGTATAGACAAGAAGAAACTGTTACTTGTTTGTTTACAAACAGTATAGAGTTTAAACATATCACTTTTAAAGATTTGTCAATGATTTTTGGTCAATTTCAAAACTAAATAACCTTTTCAAGCATCTTAACTCGTTTAATATGCGAACAATGAATTTTGAAACGTTTCCCATCATTTTTCCTTTTATAAAATAAAACTGAAGAAGAAAGTGAAAATAGTAGGCTGAAAGTCCTTTAATTATGTGGATGAATAATTAGTTATAGTGTAGCTTGACACAAAATCTGTGCACAGAAAATCAATTCACAAACTGTGTTTGTGTTGACAGACCGCAAGAAGGACCTAGTGAAGCTACAAGCAGGAGAGTACGTCAGTCTGGGCAAGGTGGAGGCGGAACTGAAGACATGTCCTCTGGTGGAGAACATCTGTGTGTACGGAGACGCCAGCAAGGATCACGTAGTGGCTCTGGTCATGCCTAACCCTCAACACCTGCAGGCGCTGGCTGTACAGCTGGGCAAGTCTGAGGATCTGTCATTCAACCAGCTGTGTGCGGACAAGGAGATGGAGGAGGCAGTGGTCGTTCAGTTGGCTGCTCACGGCAAGAAATGTGAGTTAAACTGCTAAACTACCTTGTATATCTTCCTTAGGGACCAGGTGAAGACTTTTTGTAATGTTAAGAATCCTTTTGAAAAAAGGGATACCATCCATTTTCATACCTAATGTGGAGAGTGAATTCCGCGATAACTCGAGCAAAAATGATCCGATTTTGATGAAATTTGGTACAAACATGTAAACCTACATTTATTCGAACGAGTTCGCGATCCAGCATAATCGGACCATGGGAACAGGGGTTTATGGGGGGTTTTATGGGGTAAAAATGGGGTTTTCCAATTTTTGACCCTAAAAACATAAAATTTTTCCCAACCATTTTGTAGAGCTTAAAAAAAGAAATAATTTAGTATATTGAAGCATTGTTGTATGCTTAACGATCACGGAGAAAATTTAAAAAAAAATGCAAATTTAAAATTCCCATGTTATTCTTATGGAGAAAATGAAAACTGTTGTAGTTTACTTGTTTATGGATATATGTTGATCAAATTTGGCAAACTTATTTATTTCATCCTATACTATTGTTGTTTGGTCAAAAAACACTGTTTACCTTCCCCGTAGCAGCAAACCTAAGCACTCGTTATATCTAATGTTATTTAAATTGGGAATAATGTCTTATTTATGGAAGTATTTTAGTAAATATGTAATCAGACAAGTTGAAATTCGCTTAGTCTGCAGATTTGCTGCGGCGGGGGTATTATTGTGTATTTATAACCCCTGTACTTAACATTTTCCTTAGCTAATTAATTAAAATCAATATCTTTTTGTAAAATACCTTAACAGCTCCTTGGCTATCTTTGTCTATGTCTATGTCTATGTCTAGTAACAAGTAAATCATGTTTAGGTCAGTTTCTAAATAGCTGCTGCCAAACAGAACTGTAGAAGTAAAGTCCTCTCTTAAATTTATTAAAACAAGATGGAAACATTACGACAACATCTACACACTAAGCATTACTGGACATCATATTTTATTGCTAAATAGGCTTAAGAAAATTGTATATACGTAGTAAAGTATGGGATGTCTACTTTCAGTGTTCGAAATCAGTGCTTATGTCTTTGTGGGTCTTTGAGCATTGTTTTTAAATAGAACACGAGGTGTTAGCCCGTCCTACGTACGGGAATTCAGTAGTAAGTTAAAACCGTGTACAATTCAGATCAGCTAGTTTACACATAAAAGACAAAGTTTCTTGCAGTTTTAATGTGAAAAATCATCTTGTAAACAAATGTTGTGTGACCAAATATGTCTTTATTCCATCATAGGCCTATACGATATGCATTTTAAATCCGATAATTCTACAATAAAACAGCAATTCTGCAATTTTTACGATGTGAAAAGCGTTGAAGTGAGATTAGCAGCCGATTCGCACAGACGCACACTGATTATAAGTAGCCTACAGTAGAGAGAGTATCTTTTAATCTATGGTAATAGCACAGCCACCCAGGTGGCTGTGGTAATAGTCAATTGAGAAGTGTATTGACCTAGTCAACGATACCACCTTCCATAGCATACCTGCCTCTTCCATAATTATTATCACCACAATACAACTACTATACACAATTTCCAGTAGGTCTGAATAGAAACGACCTAAATAAAACGATAATATCCAATAAAATTCACAGTACACATAATTTAACTTTGGTGTCCTAACATCATAACTAATCGTCACACCTATCCTTTATATCAATTTCACTGCATTGATTGCTAAATAAATAAGCGTAAACAAAGAAAAGTAAACAAAATATCAGTTTGTTTTGAAACAGCTGTTTGGTTCAAATAACATTCATTTGAAAAAAAGAACTGGTCACATGTAGCACGAATATAAAAAGTAAACACGCTAGTAAATCTAATGACGTAATTGTCAATGTTTATTATTCATACCGTTATCAGTTCTATCCTTGATAATTAATTACCCACCCTCATTGAATAAATGTACATCGTAATGTCCCATATTAGTTAATTTAAACTACAATATATTCATAGTTGAAATAAAAGTTATATTTTCACACTTGAACTCAATTTCACACAACTGAACACGATTTCATAAACGGATGGTTTGTCTAATTGCAGTATCCTAGGTCAATGTTGACGTTGTGTTCAATATATGTCATCCATCTGTTTACTTTGTATAAAACCCGGCTGAGGTTGTGGTGGTAATTTAAAATCGTGATTCCTGATTATTCCATCTTCTTTTTATGACATCAATATTTCCGGGCCTAATCCAAACAAAGTTAAAGCAGACAAACATTAATTGTAAACAAAAAGCTACCATGAAGAATTAAAACATGTAAACATTGTTATTTTTCTAATCTTTCCTTGAAAAGTGTAGCAGTAAAATAATTTGCATTTATCCTTTTTTATTAAGACTCGTGTACAGAGCCTCAATTTGTACTGTGGTTTAATTAATTTTGGTTAAAACTGTGGTCTAATTATCTCTACTAATCTTACTTATTTCCTATAATCAATGACAAATATAAAATAACCTCGTAGTTCCATAGTTTATATTTAACCAGCTGTTAGTTAAAACAAATTATATTGCTCTAAAACCAATTAATCGAAGATTACAAAGATTGCTTTGAAAATAATTTGAACATCCTAGTATTTTACTATGTATATTTAACTATCTTACAGAAGAATTGAACGTATCAATGATTAGCATTACACATAGTATAAATAAGTCAACCCTAAGTACCGGTATATCTTTACATTTTTATCCTAATGCTGAATTTGTGACACAAAAGCTGAATGTTTACAGCTGTTATGTTAAGCAAATTATTTTATGCCAAAAGCTAGTTTAAAATCTTAGCGTCGGCTGCTAGACTTTTTAAAAATTAAAACTTAATTTCAAAAAACTGGGACCCTAAACTTAAATTATGGCTTCGACATTCCCTAGTTCACAAAATTATCTTTCTTATAACACAAAAATCATGAAAATCCGTCGAGTGGTTGATTCAGAATCGTGAAATGAAAAAACACTGTTTCGTTTTAATATTATAGACGAGGTGTAAGCCCGTGCTACGTACGGGAGTAGTCAGTTAAAACGGTTTAGGCCTATAATTCAGAACAGCTAGTTTACACGTATAAAGAAAATTTTTATTGCAGCCTACAGTAGAATGAGTAATTATCAATTGAGAAGTGTATAGGCCTAGTCAATGATATCACCTTCCATCGCATACCTACCTCTTCCATAATCAATATTTACCACAATACAATTACTCATACTATACACAATTTCCAGTAGGTCTGAGTTGAAACTCCCTAAAATAAAACAAAAACATCCAATAAATTTCACAGTACACATAATTATAACGTTGGTGTCATGACATCATTAAACGAATCGTCCACACACATCCTTTATGTCAATTTCACTGCACCAATTGCTAAATAAATAAGTTTAAACAACGAAAAGTAAACACAACAACATATTAGTTTGTTTTGTAAACAGCTGAGTCAAAAAAAAAATATTCATTTGAACAAAAGAACTGGTCACATGTTGAAGGAATTTAAAAAGTAAAAACGCTAGTAAAGCTAGTGACGTAATTGTCTATGTTTATTATCTATCCCGTTATCAGTACCAATATCCTTGATAATTATACCACCCTCATTGAATCAATGTACATCGTAATCCCCCATATTCATTTATTTAAACTATAAAAAATTCAGCGCCTCCAAATGTAACCACAACTAAACACACGCCAAACAACTTTTTTAGATTTCATAAAAGGATGTTTAGTCTAATTGCAGTATCCTAGGTCAATGATGACGTTGTGTTCAATTTATGGCATTCATCTGTATATCTTTGGATAACACCCGTCTGAGGTTGTGGTGGTAATTTAAAATCATATTCCTGAGGATTCTTGATCTCCATCTTTATGACATCAATATTTCCGGGCCTAATCCAAACAAAGTTCAAGCATTCAAAAACATTGATTGTAAACAAAAAGCTGCCAAGACGAATTAAAACATGTAAAAATTGTGATTTTCCTACCCTTTCCAAAAAAGATGAGCAGTAAAATAATTTGCAAATCTTTTTCATTTTTTCACATCGATGGTGTTACTTTTCTCGGTGGTCTACTAATCTTACCTATTTCTAATAATCAATGACAAAATCAGAGTAAATAACCTCATAGTTCTAATAGAGCATTTTTATTTAACCAGCTGTTAGTTAAAACAAATTATATTGCTCTAAAACAAATCGAAGATTACAAAGATTGCTTTAAAAAATAATTTGAACATCCTAGTATTTTACTATGTATATTAAATTAATCTGTCATCCTCTTACAAAAGAATTGAACGTATCAATGATTAGCATTACACATAGTATAAATAAGTCAACCCTCAGTATGTTTTTACATTTTTATTTATGTTTTTATCCAAATGCTGAATTTGTGACACAAAAGCTGAATGTTTACAGCTGTTATGTTAAGCAAATTATTTTATGCCAAAAGCTAGTTTAGAATCTTAGCGTCGGCTGCTAGACTTTTAAAAAATTAAAACTTAATTTCTAAAAAACTGGGACCCTAAACTTATGGCTTCGACATTCCCTAGTTCTCAAAATTATCTTTTCTTTATTTCAACACAAAAATCATGAAAATCCGTCGAGTGGTTGATTCAGAATCGTGAAATAAAAAAACACTGTTTCGTTTTAATATTATAGATAATTAGGAGAGCCTCTTACAGGGTTTGATACTACAAAAATTAGTCTCCTTAATTTTTGATTGTTGATTAAACATTAAAGAGCTACTAATTGAGATGTTAACCTCCGGATTACCAAATAATAATAATAATACCCCTCCGCAGCAAACCTGCAGACTAAGCGAATTTACATTTACCCAGCTTGATTTATAATCAAATATTCCCTAAAAGTTTTCAGATTTATTTCCTTTTTAAATAACATTAATTTTAGTGAGTACTTAGGTTTGCTGCTTCGGGGAAGATATTGAGGTGTGTTTTTTAATAAAATGTTGATAGCTTAGTATGAAATAAACAAAATTGCCAAATTTGATTACAATATGTCCGTAAGTAAACTACAACAGTTTATTTATTCTCCGTAAGAATAACATGGGAATTTTAAATTTAAAACTTTTTAAATTATCTCCGTGACCGTTGGGCATACAACAACACTTAAATATACAAAATTATTTATTTTTTTAAGCTCTACAAAATAGTTTGGAGAGAAATTATGAAACTTTGTGTTTTAGGGTCAAAAATGAGAAAAATCAATTTTTACCCCATAAAACCCCCGTTCCCATAGTCCACTTATGCTGGTTCGCGAACTCGTTCCAATAAACGTAGGTTTACACGTTTGTACCAAATTTCATCAAAATCGGATCATTTTTGCTCGATTTATCGCGCTAACGGACATATATATATGAATTTGAACGGATAGTATTTTTGGCCTCTGGGGACCTCAAAACAAAAAAGTAAATTGGTCTCGGGTCTAGGTCTTACCATGAGACCTACAGTAATAGCTTATTCCCTATATGGGAAATTCGCTAAAAAGGTTTAAATACCTGCTATTAAGCAATCCATTCGATTGCAGTCGCAAATAGTTTCGGATCATTGATCCATCATCAGGCGGTAGGTACAAGTACTTCCTTTCTTCATATGAAGAGAATGAATTATCAGGCTATGTTTTGTCTTTTTTATAGTGTATTTGTGTGTTTTTGACCCCTGTACTCAAAATTGTCCTTAGCTAAAAAAAAATCACACATTTAACACATAAATAAATAAACATAGACCATTCATTCCGAATCATCCTTATTCACAGAAAATAGCCGCCTACAACAGTTTTGTCCACCGATTACTAACAGTAACAGTATCAATGAACGAAACAGATTACAGCGAAGAAGTAAATACAATAAAATATGTAGCTATAGCAAATGGTATCCAAGTATTAAAATTGACAAACTCATTTCCAAACACAAAAATAAACCCGCAACCAAAAAACCAAACACATTCATCTCTGTAAAATATGGCAATTACATGAGCAATAAAATATAAAACGCTTTTGGCAAAAAACAATATCACAGTATCCTTCAGACCAGAAAATAAACAAATAAACTAGGTTCATAGTTAAAGGAACACGACCCTACGACAACGCAATCTTTTGATAAATCAGGCATATACAAGATCAACTGTACCGATTGTACTAAGTATTACATCGGACAAACAGCACGTTCCTTTACAAAACTTTTCAAAGAACATCTACCAAAAGCGTCAACAACGCACCAAATATCATATTTTGCCGAGCATTTGGTTTCCCAAGGCCACAACTATAATAGTTCGGCCGCTTAGAAAACAACCTGCGCGCTAATGCTAAACCAATGCTGGAGGAGGTCGCTTTCTAAGCGGCCGAACTATACACTAACTAGCAATATGAATATTCTACATTTTTCTAGTGACAGATTTAAATTTAACACATTGGTGGAATGTGATATACAAGGCAGTCAGTAATTTAATAATCAGGCGAGTATGATATATAAAAGGCTGTAAAATCCGACCACCAAAATGTGTTAAATGATCAACTCTTATTCTCGTTGAATTTTATGTATGACACAGCAATAAAAATATTGGAGAGGGGAAATGTAATAGACATAACGTAACCTATGTGGTGTGGTGATAGATAAGATAATAGACGTACACCCTACTGTATTGACCACCCGCAGTCTGGAGTCTGGACTCAAAACACCGCTGGGTTAGTGTCGTCTGTTACAACTGATCAGTTACCTACCATAAATGTTTTTCCGTGTTCGTATCAAGTTGTGGAAATGTTTATTTATTTATTTATGTGTTAAATGTGACGCTCTTCATATGAAGAAAGGAAGTTCTTGTACCGCCTGATGATGGATCAATATGATCCGAAACTAGTTAGGATAGGATGGGTTGCTTGAAAGCAGATATTTAAACCTTTTTATTATTAAAGAGCTACAGTTAACATCTCCAGAATCCTTGGTTATAGTGCTTGCTTTCATATCCGAAGGTTATCTTGCAAAGAGAAAATTGCACAAAATTGTTGTTTGACTTGTTTATTTTGTATAAGTATCAAATAAATATAAACATGGGAAAGGGATATTAGTTGTGTGCCCAATATCAAAGGATTTGACTTGTAAACCTTATTTAAGTAAACTTGTATTTTATCAATAATTTATTTTTTAAGAGTATAAAGTGCGCTGTCGCATGACTACCAATCTCTTGACATCCAAAGCTTGTAGAAAGACAACGTTTCTTGCAGTTACTGTACTTTTAGACATGATGAGATTTGAATGTCATGCAACAGTCGAATAGCTTATATTGGACGTCGTGAGACAGTTCAAAGACTAAATTTTGGACGTCGTATAACACTCCCTGCATAGGTTACTTAATACTTACAGTTACAACACTCCTCAAAGTCTATGGGAACTTCTCTATGGTTTTTCTAGTATATTACAAATGTTAAAAGTATCTTATAAAAGAGCAATAACTTTGTTTCTTTGAACACCCAGTGTATTTATTTTAACTTTGCATTTGTCTTCTTAATTTTAAACAATTACGGCACTTAAATTTAATTCACTTTTGCTGTTTGTTGACAGGCAAACTGGAGAGATTCGAGATCCCAACAGCAGTTAAGCTTTGTACCGAGGTTTGGTCCCCGGATATGGGACTGGTCACTGCCGCATTCAAACTCAAGAGGAAGGACATTCAGGAGCGATATCAACACGAGATCAACCGAATGTACTCCTCATGATCAGCCCTCCCTCTCCCTGCAGACTGTACAATTGTATATTAAAGAATCTCTCTTCGTGTATACATAATAGTATTAATTTTTTTTTTTTTGTAGTCGTACCGTACTGTATTGTATTGGGTTTATTTTATACGGTTTTATTTTTCTTTTGTACTGATACAATAAGACTTGTAAATAGCTTTCTTAGAATGTATAGCTGATGGCGCAAACGTCTACGGCTGCTAAAGCAGCACTGTATATATATATATATCTTCTTAATTTATAATTATTGTTAGGTAATTGTTTACACTTTTAGATTAACTCTACTTATACATCACATTGTTTTTCTGTATTTTTTAAATTGCAGTTTTGTATAATCGTTGGCTTGTTAAGACATAATTTTAAAAATTTTAATGTGAATCTGTTAGTCAATGTTAAAAAAGCATTATAGGATGTAATATATCTAACTGGATCATCAAATGTGATAAATGGTTTCAACTGTCGTCAAAAGATGGTTTGCTTGAAAAATGTGATGCACTTTGACTACCAAGTAGCCAAAACAGTTGGGGGATTTCAACAATGTGTTTTTTGTTATCAGAGCTAGGCCTAAATTTGAGGCTATTTCATGTTGGCAGTAATGATTGAGCTCATTCAGACCTATCAATGTCTTTACAAAGGTTGTGATGTACCATATTATGTGTTAGATGTTGATTTGCAAAGTTGTCTGATTTGAATATCGTTCTGAAATATTCGGATTCTGCACTGGGCAAGTTGTATATACCGATGTATTTTGTGAAATTTTATAGCATAAATATCATGTATTTTCCTGGTTTGCTCCTGTCAAAAAGTTCCAAAGAAACGACAAACTTTGTTGTTAAGCAATCAATGATATTATCTTTGATTCTATGTTGAAATCAAACTGAAAATACAACATTCATGTATTCTTGGCTTGTTTTAATTTACCTATCTATTCTAAAAGGGACAGGGATTCAAATTGCTGCACAAGAGTTTTTTTTTATATTACACTGCAAGGCTGGGATGTAGGTGTTTACAGTATGAACTTAATTAATAGTTTCATATGAGTACTGTAAACAACTTCCCAGATGAGTTTGTCACACTACCAGCAGCAAATATACAGGGTAAGAAAAATTCAACCCATGCTTACAATCAAAACACTATTTAACTAGTGGTGAGAATCACCGAATGAAAACTACCGAATCAATCAGTTTTTGTTGCCAAACAGATGAATTCTGTTAAATAATTCTTATTGAGCGATTCAGTGATTTGCTTATAAAAATGAAATCTAGTCTTCTAATGTGAAGGATAATTCGAATATCAAGAAAAAAAAAACGGTTTACTAACGCGCCTATCAACTAGCAGTCCAAATATTATTGACCAACTATAGGTCGGCCGCTTAGAAAACGACCTCCTCCAGCATTGGTTTAGCATTAGCGCGCAGGTCGTTTTCTAAGCGGCCGAACTATACCAACTTACTGGATGAGAGTACTAGATGGATGAGTAGAGTATAATAAATGTTATAATAAATATGAAAGTTTGTGTGTTTGTTTGTTTGAAGTTCAATCACACATTAACTACTGGGCGGATTAGGCTGAAATTTGGCATGATTATTATATAGCCCACATTCCCGATTAACATATAGGCATATTCTTATCTCAAAAATCCTGTCGGGCTCTGCCCCAGTGGCTCTGTAGTTCCCCATGTTAACCTTATGAGTGTTCATATTTAAAGGGAATAAAAGAATTTAGTCAGCTGTTTCAAATTAAAAAGTTGGTTCTATGGTATGCAAAAGCATTAAAAGTTATAATTATAAGATTTACCAACAGGGTGCAGCACTATTACTTTTTTTACATTTATGGAAAAAGCTAATTTAAACTAAGAAACAACAAAAAACTATGATATGCAATGAGAACTGCCAAAGTGGGATTGTTTAGTTACTTTTATGTTTTTAATTTCATGAATCATTTGTGATATTTTGCGAATCTTTAATAATTTATTTTTCTCTATTGTGTAAGTGAAGGGGTAGAATATTATGGTTATGGTAGATGTGTAATACTATAGTATACCGTAAATTTAAAGAAGCAAATTTTATCAAATCGTGTCCTTCCCCATTGCAAACGCAAAGCTTCAGTATAGCTGCAATAAGCATTTTATACTTATATGCCAATCCCATACGAAGGACGGGTACTCTGCTATTAAAAAAATATTTTAATAATCTATACAATAGTGGTCGTCAGTGAAAGTGATTCATGTTCAAACTAACTAAATATTAGCATTGCTGCGGTGGGTGAGTCTATTACATGCGGGGGAGGTACCTTTGCAGCCTGTAGCATTGTTGTAGCATAATGGAAAACTAATTGGGTAAATTCCCATACTCCAGCTGACTTTACTGGTCCTGAAAAATAAAGCGATTAGGAATAATTAAAATGAGTAGGAGGTGGCAAAACTAAAAGGATTAGCTAAAATTAGGAGTACCTCATACTGTTGATTCCTGTTGTTCCAGCCATATTGAAGAAGTGAAGTCATGTGACACAGTGGACTTCCCAGGTGACTCTTGATTTGAGGTAGTGGGGTATGGCAGCAAATTTGAATACTGGTATAGGATGGATAGGTAAACTGGCTGTATGTCTTGGGGAAATAAAATGAAATTATTCTGGTCAAGTAAAGGGGATTAAAATAAAATGGTTTTGAAACTGAAACAAATCTGGCCTTAACGGGTCCCTCTATGTAAACAACGATCTTCTGATCTAAAACGAGAACATAAAGCAGCTGCTTATTATGTAGTGTGGCAAATATATTGTTAATGAGACTAATTTCTAATAGCATTAGTACAACTGTTTTTGTGCAAACTTTTTCTAACTGTTTAAAATGGGTACATTTAAAGCCAATAATATTTTTAATTTCAATAAATTCAGTTGATATTTGATTTTGCCTAGATTGATTTTTCACATTTAACATCCTTAGAGCAGTTCACACAAAAAACCAACTTGTGCCGTGTGCCGAAACTGAGGTTAAGCAGGATTGTGATTATGAATGATTGATTGCAAAAACTTCTAGGAGTGTCGTTGAGACTATTTACGAGTTGAATACTCTACTTTATCTACAAAAGTTTTTTAATTACTAACAATCCCTACTCATAACTTCTAAGAGAGATTGAGTTTTCGTTTATAACCTCTCGTTGCCCCTCACAGTGATTCAATGAATTATTGTATGAAACACTAATGCACCACTTATTAACAAATAAATTGGTCTAAACAGCTGATTAGTTGATGTTCAAAGCATTACAATAAATTTTACTACTTTCTCAATCCTTGGCCCTCATTGGTCCCTTGTTTACATGTTTTAATTACCCTTGTTGTTAAGTAAGTAAACAATGCTGTTATGTGAATCTTTTCAATTCTAAGAACTGAACTGAAACGGCTACTTTAAGAAACATTCGTAGGTAAAAACGAAATTGAAGAAAACCATTAACCCTAGCAGTGGCCCAAGGCCCCACTGGAAAAACAGGCCATGCTGTAGGATCCATGACGTCACACTAGTGGATACATTTAATTGATAAATTCATTGCCATCGCCATTCCCATATGTTTTAGGTAAATGAACAAGCTGGCTGTTTGTAAGATTTTAATGGTAAGAGTTTAGTACAACTATTCACCACTGTGACGTAGTGTTGCGCTGCAGCATGGCCTGTTTTTCTAGTGGGGCCTTGAGTGGCCATGAATGTTAGAAGTGAGTAATGGCCAACCCATTTTGGTGATTTTGCAGACCTTTTTTTGAAAATTCGTAAATATTCTACCGAACAAGTAAACCTAGCCAACCGTATATTAATTTTGTTCGGAAAGAACAGGAGAATCTAGAAATAGTAATATAATAATGATTTAGAAAGTGTATTTTTTACTCTTATTTTTTAATACTCCTTTTACGTTGTTTAGCATTGTTTAATGGAGAAAAGTGGTCGAATGCATTTGGAAAATAAGACCTTTCTCTGTTGTTATTTATCCATTCTTAACAAAACAAGGTATCATTGAAAACTACTTAAAATTTACTAACTTTTTTGTTTCTTGCAATGTTTTCGTTAAGTTAACGGTTTTCGTGAAATTTGGCATAAAATATTTTAAAGTGCTGCCATTTTGAAACGGTTAATGATATTTTAGTATAATTTTAAACAAAGATAAGTCTTAATAAGATATACAGTTTTGCAAAATCTCAACGCTGTATCCCAACCCGTTTAGGAGTTATTAATGTTTTTGTAAAAAACACATAAAGACAGACAGTAAACTAGGCACCACAGACCCATGTTCCTAAGGTGAAATCTGTCTTGACCTTAGCAATAATGCGATATACATTTGTCCAGAGAGTTCCGGGACACCCTGTGTACATGTTTATAAAGCTAATTAAGTAAGGAATCCAAAAAAGTCATAAAGGTTATGGTAAAAATAACTTTTTATTTATAAATAAAATAATGTTTTTATATTTAAGCGATTTTGTGAAAAAAATTCTTATTCTCTATATATTTAGTATAAAACTTTTGTACCCAATGTTTTTACTTCAAGCCAACATAATCATCTTGTAGTGTATTCAATTACCTACATAAAAATGTATACAAAAATGTATGTTGGGTAACAATATTTGTTTTTACGTGTTAGGGGCATAATAATATAATAACATAAACAGAAAACCGCAAAATACAACCATTTATAAACACAAATTCACATTATTCAGTAAATATTAATGCATAATAAAATGCACGAAGATTACTGTTATATATACACACACATTATTTGTCTAACCATACAAAATAATAACAAATTTAGTAATAAATCGCCGATAACACGAGAGCGAAAACTCACGGGCAACAACACGCAATGGCGAATACAGGGCACTTTGTGTATGAGACCTTGACAGTAGTGACGCACTTTCGTCGTCTTCCTGAGAGAAAACGGAAATAACCCTGAGCGCAGGGCTGCCATTATGACAAGCTACATTTGTTCCTCCTCAAAATGACATATTATATGACTAGTAATAATAACTGATACTGTATGTAATTCGTAATTTCCGTACGATCGTCTAGCGACTGTTGGCGATTTGTTATAAATTTCGAAAACAGCATGTTTTCATAAATTTGTACCGGTTGTCCAATGAATATTTCGTTCTAAATATCACTACCACAATGAAGATAAAATCAAGACTATCCAGTGGTACGACCCACAACATCCCAAGACGAAAATTACCTGAGCAGGGTAATGCCAAACAAGTCGTGTTATGCTGGTTCCCAAGTGTCGGCTGCAAAAGTCGTGCTGCGCCAAAAATTAATTTGATTTCCAATCGTCGTGACATTGTTATATACCTGCTACAGAGTTTGTTTATGTAATAAAATGAAAGTTCAAAATGTGACCTTTCGAATGGTATATCTGATATGGTATATTCAGGGTGTCTAGTTTATTTCCATTATAAAATTCAAGACTAATTCCAGACTTTTCAAGACTAATTCCAGATTTTTCAAGACTAGTTTTTTCCACAATTAGTGGGTGTTGATACCAAAATGTATCGATTCTCGATTCTTGATACCGATACCAATTTTTATAGCTTAACCAAATTTTCTAAATAATACTACACCAACTCTTTGTCTTTGTCATAAAGTAGTACAGTAGAGTCCCGCAAACTCGGCGTAATGTGGACTGTAAGGGTGCCGAGTTTGTGAAATGCCGGGTTATCGGGAACTAGGGTTAAAAACAATAAAAATACAATTTTTACTTTCTCCCCCTATACCATAGTATATGGAGAAAGTATTGTTTTCGTCAAAATTTTTGAGTTTGAGTTTTGAGTGGATATATTCGTTTTGGGTCCCCCTGAACCCAAAAAAGTGGTTTTCGAAGTGATGTCTGTGTGTGTGTGTGTGTGTGTGTGTGTGTGTGTGTCTGTGTGTCTGGATGTGTACAGAGCTAGAGACCACACCTGTGGTCCGATTTCGATGAAATTTGGCATGTAGGTTCTAATCCATGGTATCTCCAGGCGTTTTTTTCATTTTTTTGAAATTTTTATTTTTAATGGGGATTTTCCCATAAAAACCCATAAAAAACGGGGAAAATCGGATTTTCTCGAAAATGGCCCGAACGATTTTGATAAAAATTTAGTATGTTGTAGCCCTTTAAATTCTGAATAAAATGGTACAAATCCCATATCTGTAAAAATTACCGTTCAAAAGTTATGGTCAAATATGTTATTTTCCCATAAAAACCCCATAAAATAACAAAAAATAGGATTTTAGAAAAAAATCCGGTTTTGATTTAACATAGTATGTTATAGTCCTTACAGTTTTGATAGTTTTTTAAAATTTTTTAGAAATTTTTATTTTTAATGGGGATTTTCCCATAAAATCCCATAAAATAACGAAAAAATATGATTTTCCCAAAAATGGCCCGAACGATTTTGATAAAGATTTAGTATGTTATAGTCCTTTATATTCTGAACAAAATGGTACAAATCCCATTCTGTAAAAATTACGGTTCAAAAGTTATTGTAAATTATGTCATTTTACCATAAAACCCCCATAAAATAACAGAAAAATCGGATTTTCCCAAAAATGGCCTGAACAATTTTGATAAAAATTTAGCATGTTATAATCCTTTAAATTCTGAACAAAATTGTACAAATCCCATTTGCGTATAGGCCTACAGTTATTTACTCTCACCACTTCCACATGATAAAGGTTTTTGACAAACTTATGGGAGAAAGTATGTGTCAGAATGCTGATACCGTTTATTAATCTTTGTTAACTACTTCTTTAATTTATATTTATATTACAAGTTAGTATTAAGTCATCAGATATAGTAAAACAAATCATTTGTACGAGCTGAGAATGATTTGACTTGAGCTGGCTTGAGTCCATGTTTAACTCGGACTCAAAAAATCACTAATTTTCTGAGCCAGGTGATGGCCGAGTTATCCAGACTGCCGGGTTATCGAGTGCAGAGTTTGTGGGACTCTACTGTATTATGATAATGTGGTGTTTCAAGTAAATAAATAATGCAGCAATAAAATATTCTAACTAGCAAATTTGGTTTTTTTTATCATGAAATCTTCCGCGAACCGTACGTTTAGACATCATCATTGACTGCAGCGATTACAGAAACGTGATCGTCGTTGTCCACGGCAAAATCATGAACACCACGGCAAAATCATGAACATTTCCCGCGGCAGTGTATACATCTTCGTCGTCTCCCGCGGTCACGGAAGCTTCATCGTTATCTCCCGCGGTCACGGAAACTGCATCGTCATCTCCCGCGGTCCCGGAAACGTAATCGTCGTCGTCCGCGATAGCAACAAACTCATGAATATTTCCCGCGGCCGATATCATCGTCGACTCCCGCGGTCACGGAAACGTCATTGTCGTCGTCCGCGATTGCGGCTAAATCATGAACATTTCCCGCGGCCGTGTAGACCCGCGGTCACGGAAACGTCATCGTCATCTCCCGCGGTCACGGAAACGTCATCGTCGTCGTCCGCGATTGCGACAAAATCATGAACATTTCCTGCGGCCGAGCAGATATCATCGTCGTCTCCCGCGGTCACGGAAACGTCATCGTCATCTCCCGCGGTCACGTAAACGTCATCGTCATCTCCCGCGGTCACGGAAACGTCATCGTCATCTCCCGCGGTCACGTAAACGTCATCGTCATCTCCCGCGGTCACGGAAACGTCATCGTCATCTCCCACGGTCACGGAAACGTTATCGTCGACGTTCGCGATCACGGCAAAATCATGAACATTTCCCGCGGCCGTTTAGACATCATCGTCGCCTCCCGCGGTCACGGAAACTTCATCGTCGTCTCCCACGGTCACGGTAACGTTATTGTCATCTCCCGCGGTCACGGAAACGTCATCGTCCTCTCCCGCGGTCACGGAAAGGTCATCGTCGTCTCCCGTGGTTTCGGAAACGTCATCGTCGTCGTCCACTATCGCGGCAAAATCATGAACATTTCCCGCGGCCGTGTAGACATCATCGTCGTCTCCCGCGGTCACGGAAACGTCATCGTCGTCGTCCGGGATCGTGGCAAAATCATGAACATTTCCCGCGGCTGTTTAGACATCACCGTCATCTCCCGCGGTCACGGAAACGTTATCGTCGACATCCGCGATCGCGACAAAATCATGAACATTTCCCGCGGCCGTGTAGACACCATCGTCGTCTCCCGCGGTCACGGAAACTTTATCGTCATCTCCCGCGGTCACGGAAACGTCATCGTCATCTCCCGCGGTCACGGAAACGTCATCGTCGTCCATCGTGGTTTCGGAAACGTCATCGTCGTCGTCCACTATCGCGGCAAAATCATGAACATTTCCCGCGGCCGTGTAGACATCATCGTCGTCTCCCGCGGTCACGGAAACTTCATCGTTATCTCCCGCGGTCACGGAAACGTCATTGTCGTCTCCCGTGGTTTCGGAAACGTCATCGTCGTCGTCCACTATCGCGGCAAAATCATGAACATTTCCCGAGGCCGTGAGAACAATCATCATTGGCTTCACGGTTACGTAAACGGAAGACGACGATCGCGGCAAAATCATAAAAATTCCCGACTTTGAAATCAAATTTAAGACTAAATCCCGACTTTTCAAGACCATTTTAAAATTCAATACTAATTCCCGACTTTCCCGATTTTCCCGACTACTAGACACCCTGTATATTTGAATGGCATGGTTCTCATCTGAGTTGATTATAAGTGTTTTTTATCGTTAAAATAATTTCAGCCCATACCATCGCACAAAGTGTCAGTAATATGCCTACCATGATTTAAGACAATTTTGTGCAGTTACCAAAATTAAACATTGTAAGAAGGCATTCAAGGAATAATGGGTATTAACAGGCAGTATTAAACAACAGTTTATTACACAATATGCATAATACAATAGCAAAACTCATCTATTATTACAATTCAACCTTAGAAAAACTTACAAGTAAAGATAATATAGTTTACCAATTCAGTTAAAACAAATCATGGTGAATTTATTGGTGAAATGTCTTTAGATTTTTGAGGAACAACCTAAAAAATCAGTTTTTGCAATGCACTTTGGTAAAACATGCACAAGTCTAAATGCAGAGATCAGTTTATATTTTCATACAAGATTCACTTAATATGTTATTACTGATTTCTTGAGCTTAGTATAAAGCTCCAAGATGCACATTTTTAGATATAAAAATTCAAACATTTTATCCATTCTTTAGATAGATTTTTCTAAAAAGCAAAATAAACTTATAATAATTTATTCCAAACGCACCGATATATTTTCAGTTTATATTTTCATACAAGATTCACTTAATATGTTATTACTGATTTGTTGAGCTTAGTATAAAGCTCCAAGATGCACATTTTTAGATATAAAAATTCAAACATTTTATCCATTCTTTAGATAGATTTTTCTAAAAAGCAAAATAAACTTATAATAATTTATTCCAAACGCACCGATATAGGTACTGCAGAGACCTATGATATTTATATGGTAATCATAAAACGTCTTTTCAATAGGATGATACAAAAATCAGCAGGCCTAATTCAATACCCAACAACGAAACAAAATAACAAATTGGTCCTAGGTTTAAAATGCAAGAACTTTATAACAGAAAAAATATAATAACCAGCTTATACCATAGTATAAATATTGTTTTTCAAAAATAACTTTATACAATGAGTACAAAGAAGTCTTGTCCATTCAGGAATGAGGTAACAAAATATAGTGCCTCAATGTCAGTGAGAGATTTTTAATTTGCCCTCACCCAATAGGAACAAGAATATCCTGTCCACTAGGAAGGAGAAGAAAAAGTCTGCAAACAGGACGCTGACTAAGATTAACCGAAACTGAAAAAGAAAAGAAAAATGTTAAACAAAGGAACTGTGGTAAATATTTATATTTTGGGGAATTGTAGTATTTTGAAAAGTCTCTAATATTTCAAACTCTTGAACATCCCAACAACTACAAACAAACTGTAATACAATTTTGGATGAGTATTTTGTGATCTTACTACGAACATCAAACCACATTCAAGATTATTGAAGGAAATAGTGCTGTCTTACTTGAGTAACCATGTTAGATGTTCTTGAAAATACTCAATATAGCTTAAACTTGTATCTTAATAAACAGAAAATATTTTAAGATTATTAATTAAATAACTAACCACTAATATTATTAAGTTTTGGTATTTTTGAACGTATTGGCAACACTTGTATTAATATACTTAAGTATGTATTTATAAGAAATACAAGTAAGCACTAAAATTTCTAAACCAATTTTACGATTCTCTTAATTCTATTGGTGAAAAACTCTTTTAATTGATTTTAAACAACCCATTTAATTTTTGGACAACCCCATGACACTATCCAGATGCGACAATAAATTGTATTAACTTACATCTGGAGGGAAGTCAACGATCTCAAACTGGTTGGCAATGTCGGGGACAATGCCCAATGCCAGAGCTAGTATTGAGCCAGCAGACACTAAGATGCTGTACAGCAAGGCCTTGTTCTCAGACAAACTTTCCATGAACGGGTGACCCTAAACAGCAACAAGAAATAGTTAAACTACTTCAACTGACAAGGAAGGGTAGAAATGGAGTTATAAATAGTGAACATGTTTTAATGAATTTACTGTGGAAATACACAACCTGTGAATCAAACTGTTGAACCAAAGTAAAACTCTTCAATACTTTTAAATTCTTCTAAACAACTTTTAAACTCTCTTCAAGAAAAGCAATTGAGGATTTAAAAGTCAGAAAAGTAATGTAAAATTATGACACAGGTGATGCCCTTGAACACTGTAAGTCACCAGTTATTTTAAATAGAGCAACCATCTTCTTTAATTCATTTATTCAAACATTTATTTTTTGATTTGGCACAAATGTCTGTAAGAAAAAAAAAACTTTTTGTAAAAGGTGATTAACAAAAAAGTTCTTTTAAAAATGGGACTAAAAATTAGGAAACTTGGACAAGAAACAATTGAGAGTTTTCAACGTCAAAGTATGTACAAAAATCGGATCAGTGTGTAAACCTGCCACTATTCAACAACCTTTTTTGCGATTTTAGTTGTGAGTTATATGTTGTGTGCATATACAGTAGACTCCCTCTTATCGGGACCCCCCTAACCAGTCAGACAGGATAACGTTTTTACCGGTCAACCAACGTCCTCTAAAACTTGTTAAATTATGGCTAAATGAACGTTGCTAACGATACATGTGCACGCCACAGGAATTACTTGAAAACCCAAATATTTTAGATTATAAAAGGTATAATGTTACCTGGATCTGCCAGAGTAATCCAAAGGCTGTCTGTCGAGACTACACGTTTCGAAGCATTAATAGCTTCATCATCAGGTCTTCAAGAAACACTTATCACTCATCAGAGGTCGTCAAATAAATATAATTTTTACAAACATACATACGAAATATAGTAGGCCTACGAACCGCGTGCGCGCACTTAGACAGGTTTGTCATGACTGCAGCGGTGAAGGTTGGTGTCGTGAACTTTGTCCCTTGCCGGTCAGCTGTTCCTGGTTAGCTATTACAGTATCATACAATGCATTTGACTGGAAATTTAGTTTGTCGTTTAATAGATCATAACTATGGCTTTTTGTTGCTTTGTATATCTCGTATTCTTCTATGGCGTTCATGAAGCTTCCTTTTGTGCAAAAATGTAGGGGTGTCATGTTTGTTTAGAAATTTGTATAGTTATGATTTTCATTAATCAGATGGGCTGCATAATTGGATTTTAAATGATTTTTTGCTTTTGGAAGATGTTCTTTGAATCCGGTTTGTCCTATATAAAAACTATTGCAATCATCACAAGATAATCTGTAAACTCCAGTTTTTTCCTCTGTTTCTAGATTATTACTGGACGATGGATTTAGTAATCGTTGTAGTTTGTTGGAAGTCCTAAACACTATCCCAATGTTTTTCTTTTTTAATTAGTTTTTCAGTATATTCGGTAGCCTTGTACCATACTCTGATGTTACAAAAATGTTGTCAAATGGGCTATCTAATCTGTTATCATTGGCTTTTTTCTTTAATTGTTTTTTGATAAGTTTATCAATCATGGCGGTTTTAAACCCATTTCTTTGGGCAATGTATTTGATCGTGTTTAATTCTTTGTTAAAATTATCTTGGCTTAATGGGACGGTGAGCAACCGGTGAACAAAACTGTTATATGCTGCCATTTTTTGTTTTGTAGGATGGTGTGAGTTTCATGTATGGTTGTGTCGGTTAGCATAGGTTTTCTATAAATATTTTACTTAAATTTGGTATAGCATTGCATTTAGATACATGATCACTTGTCTCAAATCTTTCACATGAGAAAAGTCGTTTCAGTACGGTCCATTTCCTGTCGATCCATTCCAGTTAAACTAGCTGTTAAAACTTGTCTGATTATAGAGATGTCACTTCTGCTGAATGTAGTCGGTTTAAAAAGGTTTCCGGATAAGAGGGAGTCTGCTATATATGAACTCCTATTGTTTATGAATTACAGCATGATTAGCTGTACCAAAGTTAGACATTGAACTGGCACTTACCCTGTAGTTAATGGCGAATGTCGAGACTTGTAAAGCCATGGAGATGATGTACACTGTACTGTTCAAAATACCAGGCTCAAAGTCTGCTTCTTCTTCTGGGTTGAAAGTTTTATCACTCCTGATAGAAAGTCAAGCCAATTGTTATTCTAATTTTTCAATCATTGTGTTAATCATTGTAGTACTTACAAAAAGTTAAGATAGGATATCTACCACTACCATCAATAATAGCATTGTAGCATTGACAAATTAAAATTCATTTAATGCCTTTAATCAAATATAAAAAATGGCAAATTAAAACTCCATACTCCATGATTGAAAAAAGTCTGGCAAGTTCAACCTTTGTTACATAGCTAGTTGTAAGCAGAACACATTGTGAAATTACCTATATCCTATAATATTAAATATCCATGTATATTTATGGATATCACACAGAAATTTCATAATCATGGCAATTTTAGAAACAAGGTCAAGTCTAAAGGTAACATTGATTATACAGTACCTTATTTGTAACACAGATATGGTGTACGTATTGTCAGTTAAGTAAAATCATCAGTTTATCATGATTAGTTTAAGTGAATAGAATAACCTTTTTGAATTGTGATGTTGGGTTGTAATAATTTAAGTAATTAACCAAAAGTATGGTTGGCTGATGAATAATTTGTAAACAGTATTTTGCAACTATAATCACTATTAAAATTTACTTACTTTGGTGGAGATATTAACGAAGCTTGTTGCACAAGGTAGACAAGACTTGCAAAATGTACAAAAAATTGGGATAATACTGTGAGCACTGTGTAGACGTTGAATATATTGGGTAACGGCCTCTGACGTGACAAAACCTTCAAGGGCTGTAACAAGGAAAGTCAGGGTCAAAATGCTATCACAAGTGTCTAGACAGAGTGTTAAACAATGAAATAACCACTTAAATCCCTATTCCATACATGTCTTGTAATTCACGCATTGCCTGTTGTGTAGAAACTATACATTCTTACCGATTTCAAGTTACAAGCTATCGAATACCAGAAAGATTATTAACATCACAAGTTACAGGAATACTGAGGGCATTTTAACACAGATATCAATACTTGGTTGCACAGGTTACTTAAAGATCTTGAGGTTAGTTGCAATCAATAACATTTTACTTTGAGAAATAGGTAACATGATTCATCCTACTTTCAAGTTTTCCTTATCAACTTAAAGCAAAAAAAAATTTCTCTTATTAAGCAAAATGAAATTTATCGGTACATTTGTTCTAGTCTTAGCTTCATGACCATCCCTTTACAACAGATCAACAATAATGTATTAAAGGAAAAGGTTATCTGATTAAGATAGGGCATTTGCCCTTGTCAATTTTTGACTAATATATGACAATATTTATACAGGTGCGTACCTTGGAGCGTGAGATGAAGAGAAAGCAGGCAGCCAATAGCAGACCCTGCAAAGTGGCTTGCATGTCGCTGAACTTGATACCATCCAGGTATAACACAGACTGACTGTACGCGAGGATCAGAGCGTTTAGTGCGAGTATCTTGAACATCTGTAGTGTGGTGACCAGTGTGCAGCGGCCCTGCTTCACCACATGGCAGACTGAGGAGCAAACAACACTGGTTAGAATGCATAGCTTGTGGGCTGAATATGAAAATAACTTGAAAAAACAATAGGAATATATCTATCTGGTGCATTGTTTGGAAAACATAATTCGCTAGTTTACAGGTGAAAAAAAATTACCAAAACAATGAAATGACTTAACTCCTTAACCTTATTAGGGTGGAATGTGTGAAAATAGCCTGATAGAAATGTTGACACTTGTTTGTAACTCTTCACATATAGATCTACTGTTAAATTCTATATAAATAGAGTAACAATGGACTATTGTTTTAGATTTAATCCAAGGTGCAAGCTTCAAATGATAAAAAATCAATGTTTCATTTCTTTATCTATTCAATTGTACAGTTCAGTAATTTTGTTCCAAGTTAAAGGGTGGAACTAGTATTAATTTAACATAAAATTGGTTGAAACTATAAACAAAAATAAAACAATAGCAATACCCAGAAATGATAACCTTAAAAATTAAAATACCCCCGCCGCAGCAAACCTGCAGACTAAGCGAATTTCCATTTGACTGATTGGATTTACACTGAAATGTCTACTTAAAAATTTAACATTTATTCCCGATTTAAATAGAATTAGTTTAACAAGTACTTAGGTTTGCTGCATATGGGAGGGTAAAATTGTTTTTTTTTTTTGTAAAATGTTAATAGTTAGTAAGAAATAAAAACATTTTCCAAATTTGATCAAAATATGATCATAAACAAGCAAACTACAACAGTTTACTTATTCTCCATAAGAATAACATGGGAATTTTAAATTTACAATTTTTTGGAATTTTCTCCGTAACCGTTAGGCGCATAATAACGCTTCAATATACTAAATTATTTGTTTTTTTAAGCTCTACAAAATGGTTTGGAAATAAATTGCAAAATTTTAAGTTTTTTGGGTCAAAAATGGGAAAAACCTATTTTTACCCCATAAAACCCCCCGTAAACACCCGTTCCCATGGTCCGATCATGCTGGATCGCGAACTCGTTCGAATAAACTTAGGTTTACACGTTTGTACCAAATTTCATCAAAATCGGATCATTTTTGCTTGAGTTATCGTGCTGACGGACACATATATATATATATATATAAATATATATATATATATATATATATGAATTTGAACGGATGGTGTTTTTGGCCTCTAGGGACCTCAAAACGAAAAAAAAATCGGTCCCGCGTCCAGGTCTTACCATGAGTACTACGGTAATAGCTTATTCCCTATATGGGAAATTCGCTAAAAGAGACAAAAAACCACAAGACAAACTAAACAAGCAAATAACGGGTGTTTAATGAAAAATGTGATTAAAGTGTAAGGTGCAAGACATAACGGGGTTGGTTTCATTAAAGTAACCACATACCAGAAATCGATGATTCAATTCCTACAGATCTGTAAGACGATTAAAATTGCAGTCAATTACTGTTACCAGTCTGGTGATCAATAGACAAATGCTGCTAACAAATTGAGAAACTTACTGCACTGTATGGAAGAGAGTTTGCTGGTGAATGGTGCCGCAATACTGGCATCTCCCAATTTTACAATTTGTGCTTGATCCTGTTCTTCCAGTTCTTTAAGTAGTTTTTGTAAATGTGAATGTGCCATCTGCAATGAAAAATCGTGAAATACTATAGATCCTTTGACTTTATACAGTATCTTTCACACATAGACTATTCATTAACAATAGTCTTAAATTTTAATCTTGGTTATAAACATTATTGTGTCTTAATAAAAGCCGTTCTGATATTGTTGAATGGAACAGTTGCAAAAGAACAGTTCATTATGCTATTAAAAGCACAGGGTTTTACCAATAGTGGTACTTAACTGGTATAATAATGTGTCTAGTTATCGTTTCCAACATGAACGGTTTGGTTTATTATCATAAATCATATGACCAAATAACCAAATGTGGCCAAAATACTGGCTCTGTCTTCTGCTTGAAGATGGTGGAGCAATTGGTGTCGATGTTTGCACCACTCTATCAGCTGACGATAGTGACGACAACTAACTAACTAACACTGAAATAATCATACTATAGCCTAAGCCTACTGATTGATAATATTTCATGATAAATATGCCCTAATCATCATGGTTGACAATTTGAATTTTGTAAATAAAAATATAACCAATTAACTTGGTACTGAAGGTATCGGTACCGACATTCCACCATCGATTCTCGGTCCCGGTACTTTTCCCAAGAACCGGTGGAACCGACATTTGACGTTAAGTACAGACCCATCACTACTAACCTCATAAAAATACATATAATTAAGAGATCTAAAATTGACTTTTCCTTAACATGGCTGTACTAAAATTGTATCTATGTGTAAATCATGGGGAGGATAGCTGTTAGGATTTGTGCAATGAAACATACACCTCGGAAGGTACACACCACACAAGAAAAAATCAAATTTCATGTTAATTTATCAAGTGCAAAGTAGATTGTTGAATACACGTAACACTTTTATTGCATTACCTGTTTGTCAGTAAGTGCGTTTTGCTGTCTATGGCCAAACGGTCCGGGGTTTATCATTTTCTGTTTTTCTTTATCTTTATCACTTTTTCTGTGTGAGTCTTTTTCACTTATTTTATCGGGTCTGGTTTTCTCTTTTTCCGTTGAGTTCTTCTTCTTCTCTGGCAATCGCTCAGGAGCATTTGACAGAATTGCAACACCTAAAAGCAGTTCAGATTAACAAATCAGATTAAATATTTGTCTCTTAATTAGGTTTCAAGTACACTATATACACAATCGCTTACTTTAAGGGTCAATATTTTTTGTAACTATTTCAAGATACAAACTACACTAGGTTGCCTACCCACCAACATGGGCGTGCTTCAGTGCCCCAACGTCATTGGTCCCATCTCCGCACATAAGCGTAGTGTATCCCAGGCTCTTCAGACACACTATGATGTACTCCTTCTGTTTAGGAGCCACTCTAGCGAACACTGTCACATGTGGCAAAATGTTCATCAGATAGTCTTTGTGGTTATCTGCCAAGAACTGTAGACCCTGAAACAAGACCATTTGAACATGAGTAATTAATAAAATAGGCAAGAACGATTTTTGTCGGCAGAACTTCTCCGTGGTTTCTCAACCAAATTTGTTAGTTTATGGCTCATTTGAAAGATCTCATTGAGTAGATGTCATATAAGGTTTGACATGTTTAAAACGTCCCTTGGGCTCTGCCCCAGTGGCTTTTAAAGTTCCAATGTTTACAGCTGGTAATATTTTTATATGTTAAGCTTGTAATGAAAACAACAATATTTGTGTGAGTACATGGCTTGATTCTTTAGTAATCAACTTGCGACCTTCTCATACTGTGCTCCATTTTACGTTGGAACGGATGCAGTTCCCTGTTATCCCGGCATTCGCAATGACCATCAACAAGGCACAAGGACAGGCAATTAGCAAAGTTGAAGTGTATCTTCCGAAACCTGTAATTGGACACGGTCAGCTCTACGATGCCGCCAGTAGAGCAAGGGTTTTTGCTGGGCTACGGTTCTTCGTAGAGGACACTTCTGAGCAGGAAAAAAAATTGCTTAAGAAATAATCATCGTGTTTACACTAAAAACATTTTTTATCCTGAACTTATTTGAAATTAAAAATGTACTGTTTATGAATATAAAATGTGTATTCATTACATTTATTATTTATTACAGTATTACAGTATTTATTACACCAGTGAGTGCATGCGTTCGTTCATGTAAACAAAGTGATTGGGGAAGACAATGATAATGTTTCTGAGACTAATAATTGAGATATTCTGGGTTTGGTTGCATCCGCAGGAGGCGATGTAGATGTCCAATAAACTGCGGGAGATGTCCACAGGAGATATTAAGGATGTTGCTGAGAATATAATGGACAATGATGATATTTCTTTTACAACGATTTTTGGTATGGTATGATTTCTTACACTAGGTGCACAGATGAAATATGGAGAGGGGAAGATTGTGTAAATTATGACTGTTATGTAACTCACCTCACCAGTGAGGCTCAAGTCGTAGTTGCTGACAAACTCCTTGTAAGACTTGTCTGGAGTCAATGGCAACTTGAGTGATTGGTCGATGGACTCCCAGAACCAATGTTGGTCCCCAGACGATGTCAACACTAATATTCCACCAGGCCTCTGCGTAAACCTGAGCTCCTTGGCTACATGACAAGCTGTCAGAGGGTTATCTCCTGTGATCATCACCACCTATGACACACAAAGTAAATTTAACAAGGAATGGTGGCCAAAATTGTATACCTTATTGGTCATAAGTACAAAAATTTAATAGTAAAAGATTATATGCACAGACAGATATCATCTCAAATGTATTTTTCAAAAAATACCATAAAAATTACAGAAAACTACTGTTTTGGATTACAGACTTATAAAATAGAGACGGAGATCCCTTAGCTTACCTGAGATTATTAGTCCAGTGGCTAATAAAGAGACAATAAAAGGTCACAAATCAAATATTAATGTCACTACAGGACATTTTCAGTAAGTATTGAGTTGAAACTAAGTTTACAACCTTATTGTGTACATCTATTGACTACTGGGCTCTATTTTTTTCAGATGAGCCAGATAAACTCCTATACTTACTTACTTACTGCTGCGGCGTCCCAAATCTCAGTCAATTTTTTGCTTATCTTCAAACTTAGCCTTTAAACTATTCTTTAGTTGCAGCTATTGGAAATATATTGGTGGTTTGCGTCATCTACTTGTAAACCCCAAGCAACCTACCACATGGGACGCGTTGATGATCTCCTTGATGACGGAGCGAGAGTCAGTCTTGAGGGGACAAGAGATAATGACGAACCCCGCAAAGTGGAAGTCTCGTTCCACGTCTTCTCGTGAGAGGTCTCGCACCTGCTGGTGGCTGAGACGGCCGAGTTCGCGCCAGCCTAGCGCCAACACTCGTGCGCCGCGCCGTGACAGCGCCAGGTACACTGCATCATAACTGTCTGGCGCATCCTTCAACTGCAACACAACAGGCTACTCAGTTCTGTGTTTGTGTTTTAGGTGAAGATGATTCAATGCCGTATTAAAGAAATAATTGCCAACCTTAACAAGTCAGATACAACTATACAGAGTGAATTTTAAAGCTATGGCTGCATTGTTTTATGATCGAGGTACTGTCACACAAAAAGAAATCAGATTCTGAATGTGAAAAGTAAAATGGAAATAGTAATTTATAAATAAAAAACTTTTTTAAAACAAAACGTTTTTAAACGCACTAAAAAGTTGAAAATAATTAATAAATATTTGGAGAATATAAATACTTGTAAGATTTAAAATGAAAAACGTGGGGTGCATGCAATAGATAATTTACAATTACCTTCACCTATTGAACCAATGTATTATTATCAATTGCATGCACCCAACGTTTTTCGTTTTAAATCTTACAAGTATTTATATTCTCCACATATTTATTAATTATTTTCAACTTTTTAGTGCGTTTAAAAACGTTTTGTTTTAAAAAAGTTTTTTATTTATAATTTATTTTCTACTTTTTAGTTTTTAATATGTGTGGATGTTAAATCTATTTCAAGCATTTATATCAGATTAAGACAGAGGCATGTGGGAAATCTAAGGTTTATTTGAGTTTCTTTTCATATAATTATGTATTAGATTGAATGTATGGCCTACCTACTAACTATAAATATGTCAATCTATTTAATTTATTGTTTACTTTATAGAATACTAAATAAATAACAAATGACATTATTAATAGAGGTGTGCGGATAGTGAAATTTGAGTTCGGATCGGATTCGGATCGGATAGTTATGGCTCGGATCGGATCGGATCGGATAGTAATAGGTTCGGATTCGGATATCTTCGGATTCGGATAGTTCGCTGTTATTTATTAAATTAATACCAAAATTAATAAGTTAACGTCATTTTCATATATCCTAACATTAAACTAATATTATTGATCAGATCAAAATTACTCTACTGTATGGGTCATTAGGCCTAAATTTATAAACCTGTAATGTATTTTGTATTTTTGTTTAGCCTTTTTATATAAGTTATGGTTAGTTTTAACAATATAATTTAATTGTATAACACCATTCTGGTGCAACATGTTGTACTCCTGAATAAAGATTATATGACTATGACTGTGTGTTTATAACTGTTTTTATGTCCTTAGACCACAAATACGAATGCTGCAATTACATCTTAAATTTCTATAATAGTAAATAAGAAAATAACACATGATTAAAACAAATTGAACAACATTAGCTATTAGCTGGTCGCAGTGTGTTTTTCAGTAAGCTAACATAATTTAATGTTGGCCATCAGATAATACATTAAAGTTTTAAAAGCTTGCTCGCTAATCAGTTAATGTTTATAAAAATATATAAAAGTAAAGTAGGCCTACCTACTGTAAGTTAACATTTTGTTAGTTGTTACTTTGTTGGTTGTTGAAGCTTGATTTGTGTTCAATATAAAAAAATCAAACACTTTTAACTCAAACACTGCCATGAAACTCACTACTTATTTCTCCTTAAAATTCCACAAAGAATTAATACAACAAATGCTGGTAAAAACATGTGTACTAGATTTGATACTTCATCAAGCTTAAATAAAGTAATTAATTGGCAGATCACTGTAAAGCATTACTCTATCTTACAAATAAGTATACCGACAAGAATTTGGGTTAGGGGTTAAAGATAACAATTTTCACCATAAGAACATGTTTAATAGAAAACCTCAGCTGCTCTTGAATTAGCTAGCATATAATAATGACTAAACATTGAATAAAATATTGATTGAACTATATCACACAAACAAATGAAAATAAATAGCCCCTAAATAACAAGTGGGGTAACAAAACCACACACAACATACTACATAGACTACTATCATAAATTTGAACAATTAATAAATACTTGAACAAACATAAATGGATAAAAATATATAAACTATAATAGAAAAAGTCTCATTGGATGGCACTAGTTGTCAAGAAAGGTAACAAAGGTCAACTACTCTGTTGACTAGGCACATTTGGTAAATAAACCATGGTAATTATAGCCTACAACAAACAATAATAAAAATAAAAATTTAGGTTACCTGTAAAACATTAGGGTAACATAAAACATTTAAGAATCACATAAAATGAAGAGATCATTTTGCAATAACATTAATACTTTAAATGACTAAATACTTGTTAACAATTTGTCACAATCACAACACATAATCACATTAAAATGTTAAGAACTTAAGATAAGACTAAGAACAAAATCAATACTCAGATAAAAATTCGCTAAATTTAAGAATTAAAAAAAATAAAGTCAAAGATGTATGAATGTTTTATAACTGTTAGTAAGAGCTCAGAAGTTAGGATTAATGTAGGCCTACAAGCCAAATCAGTCTTTAGCGAGAAACATTAAATACATTTGACAATATCACAATAAAATAAACATTATCACATTAAAGTTTTAAACTAAGGAGATCACTTAGAAGAATTTAAGTTAAATGAAAATTAGTTGAAGATGTAATGATTTAAGAGTTCTTAATAAGAGGTTAAAAATAAGAATATTGTAGGCCTACTACCTACTCTAAAAATCAGTCTTTAAGAATCAGTCTTTAGCAATTATTCAAAAATGTATTAGGCCTAAACAATAAACAATCAAATACATAGGCTATATCACTAAGCGGGAAAATATTGAAACACGAATTGGCACAAATATTAAGAACAAGAACTAAACTAAAATAAACAGAACAACAATAATTATTGACCGTACTGTAAATTCAAAGGCAGATGAATATTCAGGAACTAAAATTAAATAATAATTTAAATTGTAAACTATAAAACAAAATTGGTTAGAAAAGCCATCTTAAAAATATAAACAAATTACCTAAAAATACTAATTTTATACACTACATGATATATTTAAAAAGGTGTAAAAAGGCAACTGTAAAATTTGAACACAAAACAAATGACTTTGTCTGTCAGCCGAGAAACAATGGTTCACTTGAGTACTCCCTCTAGATTTGCGGATTTATGTTCCCATGCAAAAAGCATATTTCTTCTACGTGCTGGGGAAGTAGATTTTCTCGTCTAGAATTAACAATTAGGCCCGATGATGAGAAGAGCCTCTCACTGCTGGTCTGGGTCGCTGGGATTCCGAGGTAGAATTGGGCGGCTCTACTTAAGTTAGGGAAATGGTGGGCATTTACCTTCCACCAGTGTAGAGGATTTTCTACTGTGGATATTCTTTTCTTTTCCAGATAGAAATCTAATTCTTTATCGACAAGGTTGCTGCTACTTGAAGTTTCGTCATCACTTGAATCGAATGTTGACCACAATGTTTTTACATCGGATTGTTTTGAAGTTTCGGGTTGTGTCAGGTCTGCAGAGAGTTCAGTTGATGCTGATGGAGAAGTGGTTGTTGGCTTTGGTAGGTTTGCTATGCAGCTTTTAAGGGTTGTCAAAGCAAGACCTTGTTCCGCTTCACTGAAGATTTTAGTTTTGTACCTTGGATCTAGTATCATTGGTGCGATGTACATTTTGTCTTTTCTGTAAATTGGAAATCTAGATTTTATGGCCTTTGATAGTGCTCTGGCCAGTGATAAACCGGTTCCTTGTTCTCCTTTCCTTAAAAAATTCAACAAGTAGTCTTCTATAACATGAAGTGCCGGGGCAACCATGGAAATTGTTGGGTATTTCTCAGATGATAGCTGGGTTGTCACTTCCTTGAAGGGCTTTAGTATTTCTACGACACCAGAAGCCAATTTCCACTGGCTTGTTGTTAGGTTTTCTATGTCAGCTGAAGCAGCTATATCGGCTGATACGGCTTCCTTCTGTTCCAGAAGCCTACTTAACATGTCGTACCTACTATTCCACCTAGTAGCAACGTCTTGTAGTAACTCATGGTCAGGCAAAGAGAGTCTTTTTTGTATATTCTTTAGTCGGGCTCTTGCACTTGAACTGTGGCTGTAGTGGCCAACAATGTTGCGTGCTCTCTTACACATTTCATTGATCCCGGGAACTTCTGACTCAGCATCGTGGATTGCAAGCTGCAATGTATGGGCAAAGCATGGAATCCTTTCCCATGAAGACTTGTCCAAAGCAGCCTTAATGTTGGCGGCGTTGTCACTGAGGACATAAATAGGGATTTTAGGGAGCTCCCAGTTCTCCACCATCTCTTCTAGTTGCCCCAACAAAAAAAGTGATGTATGGGCCTCTGTTATGTTCTTGTTACCTAGCACAAATGACTTATAATCAAAGTCCTTTGACAGGTAATGAAGTGTTAGGGACATGAACGAGTCATTTGCCCTTGACGTCCATGTGTCTGTAGTCAGGGACATCGATAACAGACTTTTAGCATCTTCTGTAATAGTCGACTTTATTCTTTCCCTCTCACTTTTATAAAGTTCCGGAACCAATGTCCTGGAGAACGTCGTTCTGGAAGGCAGCTGGTATCTTGGTTCCAGTATATCCATCAAATTTTTGAATGAAGCCTCTTCCACTAGAGAATATGGGTGGAGGTCGGTCGTTATCATTCGCGTCACGGCCTTTGTTATCTGTATGTGTCTCGGATGTGAGGTAGTAAAACGTTCCTTTTTCTTAAAAAGATCTTGAACCGATGGTTGTTTCGAGGTTGAGGGTTGTTCTTCTTTTTGTTTGTTTACATTCAAACGCTCTTTGCTAAATTCCTGAAATTCTTTCTTGTGCCTTCTCAGGTGGTTAATAAGACTGCCAGTTGAAGCAGTCTTTCCAATCTGCAAGTAAATATCTGTATTGGAATTGGAAAACTAAAACTTTTTGATCCAATATATTTTTTACTTCAGACCAATTTATAATAATACAATTCTGCAAAGTTGGCGACACAGGATTTGATAACTGTCATTAATATGGCTGTCGTTAGACCATTTGGTAACTAACAACATAGTAGGCATAGGCCTAACCAAATTTTTACTTGGGTACAGTTTCTTAACTGGGCTACGCTAATATTGATTGAAACTATCCATTCGATTAGTAAACCTTCATGCGATTTTTTCACCATGAGCAAGTTTGGTTGGTTAGGTTAGGTTATGATTGTTTAATTTCATAATAGATATATTTTAAAATTTTGATTATTAATCAATAATTTAATTAGCGTAGCCCAGTAAAGAAACTGTACCCAATCTGATTTCTTTCGATATATCAATATTTTCGTTTTCCTTTACGATCCATACCTCCTGTTTTAATATATTTAAACACATTTCAATTACAAATTAACAAACTGATCTTGTTTGTACAAAAATAATATATTATGTCCAAAAATAAAACTGTTCTAAACTAACCTAACATAACTAACCAAACTTGCTGTACCATTTCAACATTTCGTTTGATAACAGAAAAGGCATGTGACTGAAACAAGATTTGGAAATGTTAGCCTAGAGCACGTTTGGTTGGTTAGGTAAGGTTAGTTAAGAACAGTTTAATTTCATTTCAATATAGGCCTACCTAATATTTTAAAATTCTTTGTTGATACTGAACAATATTTAAATACTTATCATAGTTGTCAGCTGACATCTTGCTCAATAATATCAGTATATCCGATTAAAAAATATAGAATAAAAAAAATTAAATTTGCTATAATAATGAATGTTTTCTTTAACAGGAAAGTACCAAATAACTTTAAGGTTAGGTTATTTTATTGTTATTATGAAAATAAATTAAGTAGGGTAAGCCCAATCTATCAATGGGCATCTGCCTCTTCATTGCCAAAACAACAAAAAACCTATCAGAATCATAGATTACTCAAGGGCCTAATTTATATTTTGTAGCCTTTCAAGATTTATTTAAGTTATTTTAATGTTTTTAGACAGTAAAAAACGTGTGGAAAGTAAGGGCTTTGATGCTAGGCTAGGCCTATAACAAGGGTGTGACTTGCACCATTGGTCCTAGCTAATTTAACTTAATCTGCAACGAATTATTCTCACAGTTAAAACATCGCATTTGAAAAATTATTAAAATTAATGTTCAACAAAAATATAACTAAAGACCTACCTTTAGCACAAGTTTGCACGTAATACATTCCGCCTTTTCGGTGTCTTCAAGTTTTCTAAAATAAGTCCATATAGCACTCTTCTTCTTTGTTGATGTAGGCCTACCGGGATCCATTTTTATTCAAAATTTGTAACATTACTCAAACAATATTTTAATTAAGTTAGTAAATTCTCTTCCCCGGTTTGTTGGTTTTGTTATGTCAATTATTGTTGATGTTTTCCAATGTCAAACGAAACAAAAACAACTCCAGTTCTAGTTCTAGTTCCAACGTTCCAGCTTCCAATCCACAGTCCAATTCACACTCACAGTCCACACGACGACCAAATAAAAATCCCACTCACCGAGTTAAACCGGTCAAAAGAATCGCGTTTTATCCCAATTCAACGTCTAAAGTCCGACCTTATCCCGCTTTACTTTTTCCGGTGTTACCTTTTTGACGTAATATGTTTAGATAAGACTATTTAAATAACACTTAAATCTTGCAGTAACACTGTCACTGTCGTAAACAAATTATCCAACAATTAATACGTTTATATATGGAAATGGAAAGCAGCAAATTCCGATTTCCGTTTCCCGCTCTAAGTCTACGATTCCCATTTTCGGGATATAAATCCCGCGGCAGTCGAACTTTTTAACAGTTGTAACGTTGTAGCCTTATTATTGTCTTGCAGTGGCACATAAATAATGGCCGACTAGTGACGTATGTAAGTGCGTCGTAGCGTAGCGCCGCCAAGGTCACACAGCACCCCTAGCAACAGACAACTTACATTGACTTTCACTTGACCTCGGTATATCTGTTCTGCTTTATCCCTGTTCATTCTAGATAAATCGAATCGTAAAGTAAAAGCAAATGAATGAACAGCCGATAAACAACTGAATGAGATTTCGGTATTCCATCATACGGCTTCGTCATCGAGCTCACGGATAATTTAGGCTAGACAAAAGTAAAACTCAAGAAAGAATATAATAAGCACGGGATTAAAATGTATTGTTATCCATTTTTATTGAATAGGGATGGGCATCGATAGGTCAACCATCGATGTTCACCTTCGAATATCGATTGTCATTGCTGTATTTATTTGTAGATTCGGTTATTTTCCACGGCGGTCGGCGACGATATTGATTTTAGTTTTGTGTCATAGACGATGACTCATCGACCGCTGTAACGTCATGTGAACGAGTGGTGTTGAAATTATTACGTCGTGGGAAAATAATGATGATTTAAGTAACCTTATGAATATTTTGACCTCTGTCTCAAACGTCATTATATACAGTCTATCCGGAAATGTCGGATATTTAACGGATAGTGTCGGATATCAGTTTTGGGCTCGGTTCGGTTACGGATATCCGAACCGAACCGAAACCGACCCGAAATTTCGGATATCCGCACACCTCTAATTATTAACAAACACCTTTATATATGTAATCAGATTGTTTATCTTTATTTTGAAATGTTTGTTTGTATAAAGAATCTCTGGGGAGCATAACCTGTCTTAACCTCTGCTCTTCGAACTGTCAAATTTAAGTATTTACAGCTGACTTAAATTAATTGATATATTTACATTCTTTCAAAATGTAAACATGGAAAATTTGGAAGTCCATGGGGCATAGTCCAAGGGAAATATGAAAATTAAATTATATAATATTGCATTGTCATCCATTTGTGAGCTATGTTTCAAATTTCAAGTCCCTAGCTCATCAGGAACTTCGTTTAAAATTGATATCAAAATTTTTAGGAAAGGAACTAGCGAGCTAATAACAACAAGTCCATGGGGCTTAGCCCAAGGGAAATATGAAAATTAAATTATATAATATTGCATTGTCATCCATTTGTGAGCCATGTTTCAAGTTTCAAGTCTTGAGCTCATCGGGAACTTAGTATAAAATTGATTGCAAAATTTGTACCGGACAAGAAAGCGAGCTAAAAAAAACGTTTTAAAAATACATACAATTTTGTACACTCAAAATAGGAAATGGTGTCAACATTTTTCAAATACAGCTTTAAGGAATTTTAATATGTTTTTCTCAAGTTATAGGCCTTTTATTGTCAACAAATTGATATTTTAATTTTAATATTGTCATCAAGTAAGCAATGCATTTTGGTCTGATATATGTTAATAAATCATAGATTGTGTAAGCTTTAAAGGAAAATGTTTTTGTCACACCTATTGATGGACTTGAGAAGTCTGAAACTTTAGTAGTACTAACAAAAAATCACTTGACGGAGCAAGGTAACTTAAACCATTTAGCTTAAGGGAATAAAATTTGTGCCAGTTCCTAAATAGGCTACCACTTATTACAAAAGATTGAAATATCCTTAACAGAAATCTATCACAGTATACTGTCAGAATGTATAATTCATTTAATGGCTATATTAAGCATCAATGTTATGGGGGAAGTAAGCAAGAACAGCTGAGAGTTACACCATTTAGCTATTGACAAATTCAGGTTAGTTGTTCAATGCATTTTCAAGGTAAATTAATCGTGGTGGAAAAAACATCAGTAAATTCTAAATACAAGGATTTTAATCGGTAACAGCATTACTGTGTTACTTTTATACTTGTACTAATATATATTGTTGAAACTAAGGGCCTACCATAGGTTTTATGGTTTCAGGTGCTCCCTTGATAGTAGCCATGTAGGTAGTGTCTGTAGTGCCGGGCAGTGTGTAACCAGCCACTACTGACATACGCTTTAATGTAGAGGAGAAGTGATGACGGTGGAATATCTTCATGCCGGGAGCTTTGCCTCTCTTGGGTATAACAGCGTCACCTATTACAGACGAGAATAGCACAATCAACACATCACTTGGTCAAATTTGTTTTAAAATGTTTAGATAAAATGCTTAAAATTGTTTGAATACATCACAAATAAATTTCTGGCAACAATCTGATAAAAACTGGGATTAATGTCTCAATGTTATACAACCTATCAGTATTTCTTTAGAACATTCCATACCAGATGATTCATAAACGATACAGCCAGAGCATTTCACTGACAAACACATAACTAGGATAGTCAACAATACATTTTCACTAAAAATCATCCAAAACATTTGATAGTTGCCAATTTTTTTTTTTTGTTACACTTACGAAAACTAGAGAAAAAAAATCATTATAAACTCAAACTGTAACACACTCTATTAGTAGCTCATAATTTAACTAAGTCGTTTTTAAATAACATATTGGCTTTAGCTAACTTATTCCATGTAGATGGGATGTAGTATACTACAGAATTTTTTGAATATGAATAGTTTTACCCTTTGTAAGGTTCCAGTCAACAGCTGTAAGAGTCGCCTTCTCTAACGGGTCGCCGACTAGTCCGTCCTCTAGCTGCACCAGTGAGTGACACGTCGCTAACACTTGTACACTCTCCAGTCCTGCATCTGACAACGGTGTGACTGCCTCAGGCGATGACCTACCACACAAGCATACAATACATTCAACAGCTGTTTAGCTGATGGGTAAAATGGAGAAAGCTTTAAAATGAAAGATATCCTAGTCTAATGAGTAGTTGACAATATTGTAGGTGATTAAAATATAGAGACTTAAAGAACAGTAGGGGCTACTTGAGATGAACAAACGCCATAACAATTCTGAATCTTTAAAATAAAATTTTGACGTCTTACTACATCAAGAGCAACAAGATAAATATTCTTAAAATGTGTAAAAGGCAAGGACTTAAACTTTGCACTGGAAAATGTAGCAGTTTGGATTTCTCAACATTATGGGTAACTTGGGTGTGATAGAGTTCCACTAACTTACATTGACAAATGAGTCTTCCAGCTCTACAGCACAAGGAAACTTGCAAGATACCGGGTACTTCTTTTGAGTTGTGTATGTAAAAATAATTAACCTTACATGAGACTATCTCAATAACAAAGAAATGCATACAGCCAGGATGGTGATAAATTTAAATTTGCTTTTCATATTTTGCCAACAAAAAACTGATCACAGATTACACCTCACAAGTGGCGGCATTTGCAATGGCAGCGCTAATTTCAACACTCCACTGCAGACAAAGTACGAGAGATATGATATGCAATGCACACTCCCATAGCTGGACGTGTACTGAGTGTAGGAACGCTCTGTTACTAAGATGGCAGCAATAGGACGGCCTCAAGTGGCCTCAATGCGAAGCGTCGTCTATTACTTTCTGGACTGCCATCGTAATTTAGTGTTTTAAACTCGGGGAGTTACAATGTATGGTTCAGGTCATAAGATGCAGATTTTTCACTTTTGCAGGACGGATGATGAAAATATAATCTCATTCATTCGACACTTCTTCACTCATCCATACCCAGGGTGGGAATCATGTCAGAATGTCAAAATTATTTTTGAATCCAATTGTCTTAGCCTAAATGGAACAGAATCAACCTTATTAGGAAACAAATATGAAACATTATTACAAACTGGATTTCATGCAACTAAAAATGTGTTAGCTTTGACAAATGAGATGTTTGATTAGTAAATATCAAGCAAAATTCAACAATTACCCAATACCGGCTATGCCTTCCACAACCAGATTGTCGCTGGTCAAGGTGCCTGTCTTGTCAAAGCAGCAAATCTCCACCTTGCCTGCGAAGGGGATCCTGAAAGGCTCAGTACAAAACACACCTGTAGACATACCGAACAAAACATTGAGAAAAGTGTCAGTTCAAAATTGTTATTTAGTAAACATTGTTTTTAATAGGATTTTTTTGGAGGATAGCAGGCTTACCTGAATGGGAAAGAGCCCAAACTGGCACAGGAAACACAAAACTTGACAACTATATACACAAAACATTAGAATATTTCACTGTCACTGACAGCATTTTCAACTAAGGGCGAGAGAGTTTTCTACATGTTCAAAAAGGACATGATTTTTCTACATGATTTTTGGACATGTAGAAAACTCTCTCCCTTAGTTGAAAATGCTGTCAGTGACAGTGAAACATTCTAATGTTTTGTGTATATAGTTGTAAAGTTTTGTAAGTTGCCAGTTTGGACTCTTTCCCATTCAGGTAAGCCTGCTATCCTCTCAAAAAATCCTAAAAACCTAGGCCCTTGTGCTCTATGCTACATTGTTTTTGTTACTAATTCTTGAATGTTACGTGGGGTGTGTAATATATGCATATTGATTTATAACATTTAATATTTGTATTGGCAACAGTGATGTAACGGATAATTCAGTTGAATAAATTAATACCGTTGGTAGAACATTAAACCAATCACCGACAGCATCCTATTCCCCACCTGTCCCGTATGATGCTTCTCCTCGGCCTCAGTTGCCCGCTACCTACACCGGCTTCACCATGTAACGTTCCATCACTCCTTTAATGTCAACTGGCGGTAATTCAGTTCAGTATAATGCGCCTTCTTATTTCACCCCGGTCTTACGAGTGCTTTAAGTAGTGTTATGAAATAGTTCAGTGAGTACGAACTTACCAGGGTGCAGTTAGTATTTCTTTAGGGAAAGATGGATTTATTAAAATGATGTAACAGAACACCATCTAAGGTCCCTAATATGCGTTGCAACTTTTGTTATCGTCAGATTTTAATCAAATGAAGGCTAGCACAACATGCAAACCAATCTTCAGGCTACTGCAGTTTGCAGAGTTTTGAGGGTTATGAAGTTTATATGAATTTTTATTCTGTGAGTTTCAACAGCATTTTGGCGCGTTTTACAGGTTTTGTTCAATCCCTGGTATTGCTACTATCTAACATAAACCTATGGTATCATTAATTGATAGCAATGACAAATTTAATCTGGGTTCAGATCAACCCCTTTATGGGATCAACCACCAACCTTCAGATTAGAAGGTTAGCAAATACTATAACTTGTTATGAGTTACCATTCATGAAATGGAAACTATGAGAATACACAAAATAGCATGGTAAAAGACAGAGCTTGGCGTCTTGTGTCCTACTATTGACTTTTGGATACTGAAGTACACATTCCATCTATTTGAACCAGCTGTTGCCAAATTTTATAGAAAAAGAACATAGTTCTGCCAGTGTGCAGATTGCAGCTTGTGTCTAGAAATCTATTTTCAACTTTATTTGAAGAAAAGCATCAAACAAATCAAAACAAATTGGAATTGCCATAATCAGTGGTAAACCTGACCCTCGGTTCCAATATACATGACTGGGACGGGTGGCGTCGTCCTGTAATCCAGCTACTAGGAGGTCACGAATTGTGGATATTTATAGGCATGCACTGTGGATGCGATACTCTCTCGTGTGGATTAACGTCTGCACGAGTGAGCACTACAACCATCCGCAGTACTATCCTGATAATTAGACCAATTCGTATATACCAAGGCAAAAATGTGGTTCGGATTCCACTATAAACTGTAGGTCCCTTAGTTGCCATTAGCTGTATGGGCTATTAATTAACAGCTGTGTCAAAGGAATATGTCGGCCTTAGTCACTAACAAGACTACAAGATCGCACCACTCATCCTACACTCATCTCCATTCATACTTGGCTTAAAATACCTACTTTGTATGGTCGCCATTTCATCGAAAAGTATTAAAAGTAAAAAGAGCTTGGTGTCTTGTGTCCTACTATTGACTTTTGGATACTGAAGTACACATTCCATCTATTTCAACCAGCTGTTGCCAAATTTTATTGAAAAAGAACATAGTTCTGCCAGTGTGCAGATCGCAGCTTGTGTCTAGAAATCTATTTTCAACTTTATTTTTTGTTATTGAAATAGTTACGGTGGCATAAAAGATGTTACAGGCCTAGTTAACAATAAGGCGTCCTATTGGTTTGAATTTGTTAGGTCTGATTATTCAACAACAATCTGTAATTTATATAAGCAAAATATGTGGATGGTTTATACTTCAACTACTTTACATCAATTGTGACTTTTAAAAAACTGGTGACAACTTAAACATGGAGATGGAATGTCTATCAATAGTCAAAGATCCTATTTTGAAGGCAAATGCAACTAGATTTCCCAACTATTTTAAATTAAACGTGACTTCAATTTCCTGAAGCCAAGTTTCAAATTCAAGTCTGGTAGTTTACAGAGGAATCTAGACACACGATATGATGACAAACATAACTCACCCAGTTTGGACAGTGATATGAGCGAGGTGTTGACTGCCAGTGACAGTTCTATAGGCAGCTCTGGCGGTACAACTGAGGTCAATATCAACGTACACTCCAAGAACAACTTGTACTTGTTTCTACTCTCGTCTTCTGAGCCTGTAAATAAAAATAGTACTTAGAATTCACAGTGAGAGAATAAAAACTGATTTTCAGGCTGGGAAGTGGTTATATTGCATACAAAATAGCTGGAAATGTAGTATAACTTGGAAATGAAGAAAGCAGATTCAGTATTCTTCACTTAGTTTTCTTACTAACCTTTAATCCAAACATAGGCTGCTGCTGCAATGGCGAAGATAAGCAAGAATAGAATAAATCCAAATGTTTCTAGGTTGTTAGCTGTTACTCTCTTGACTCCAAAGAGTATAGTGCGGAGAAGTTTGCCTTGGGAGGTGTTGAATCCAGTGCGTAAAACATAGGCTACACACCCGTTGTCTTGTGCTGCAAAACAATAGGTGGTAAATGATCAAAATACCTAATCCATATCATTTTCTTATTCCATAATTTATTATTTACAGCCAAATAGGAGGAAATGAAATTTTAACTTGAACCAATACAAATTTATTTATTTGATAAATGCAACAATGAAAAATTAATTATGGTAAATTAGGGGGTATTTATAATTCAAGCCTGGTATAATTTTGTGGATATGTTACACTTGACGAAATGTTTAAGTTATGTGAGCTTAGTTCTCAGCGTTTCGAATAATCTCTATTGAAATAGTCAGTAATTTGGTGGATCAGTATTAGTTCAATACAGTCATTTTACATTAACATTTCAGATTACATTTAAATAAAATTTGGTAATCTAGTACACCCTGTATACAAAAAATGCAATGTTTGTTCAAATATAAACTGCTCTAGTGCCTTTAAGAATCAAATTAGAACTATGAGAGAGGTGTTGTTTTGCAGAATTAAAAAATGTTCATATTAAAAAATACTTTTCTATTTTTTTATAATACCTACTATAAAGAGAATACGCACTAATAAAGAGCTTCGAGAGCTATACAGAGACCCGGACATAATAGCCCAAATCAAAAGCAGAAGACTCAGGTGGGCAGGCCATATCGCAAGAAGAGAACAAAATGCAACAATTAAAGCGATAAATGAAGGACTAACAAGAGGAAAGCGGCCCTTGGGACGACCACGACTTCGCTGGAAGGACCAAGTGGAAAAGGACTTGAGAAGATTGGGGGCAGAGGCTCAATGGATGCAAGACAGAGAGAGATGGCGAGGCATTGTTGGCGAGGCCAAAAACCTTCTGAGGTTTGAGTGGCCTAATAGGTAAGTTAAGGTAAGGTAATAATACCTACATATTTAATAAAAAAAACTAATTTTTGAAAATATTCTTAAATATACTTTTATAGTGGTTAATTACAGTCTAACCTTGATATAACGAACCTCGATATAACGAATTCCTTGATATAACAAATTTTTTTGAATCCCCTAGAACTCTCCATAAGACACAATGTATGTTTTACCTCTACATAACGAACAAACCATATCAACGACCTTGATTTAATGAATTTTTCATGATCCCGGCTAAAATGAGACACCTCAATATAACGAATTTATCATTGTCAGAACCTCTACATAGCGAACTACTTAACTAATTGTCTGCGTGCCTCCCTCGATACAACAAACCCCCCACCCCCATTATTGTTTTTGAAAAATCAGTTTCTTCATCAAATGAAATGGAAAGGTGACTTCAACACTTGTGCTAACATTCGTCTGCTCCGTTTACACATCCCTGTCTGCTGTCGTCGCTGCATGCGCGCTATGTTACAACTGAGAGAGAACTGATTTCATTCTCTGAAGACTGATGACGACGTTATGTTTAGTAAAATGTGATTGGGTGATAAGTAACTATGGTGACTTGTACAATTTTTGGATGAAGAGAAACCTAAGAAATAAAAAGAATACAAGAACAAAGCAAAGAGAAAGAATAGCAACATCGTTATCTTAACATTCCTTTTAAGAGTGTTTTTATTATCTTTAAGTTGGCTATGATCATACACTTTTATAACGACTTATCTAATATTTTTATTATTTTCAATACGATTTGTTTAAACTAAGGCAACACCAATGCTATAGTTGATGATTATTACAGTATTGACATTCCTCTGTTGTGATTTAAAGCAGTACTGTAGCCTACCGGCCTATCACGAGCAGTAGCTTACAAAACTATCTACTGTTTTGTTTTGTTCTTTGCGTGTTTTATTGCTATACAATAGAGTGTTTGGCTAGGTTTTAGGTGGGTTATAGTAAGCTGTGATTTTAAACTTACAGTATGTAACCTGTGGACCTATGGAGGCAGTGTGTTGGGGAGGCCAAGTACCATCTAGGGTACCAGTGGCCACAGCAGTAAGTAAGTAAGTATGTAACCTGTTCCAAGGTCAATGTCTAGAAATGTCATGATTGCGCAATATTAAAGATCCCTACCCTTTAGTACCCCAGATAATCGAGGTTCTACTTCACAATGTAAACACTGTACTGTAAAGTACTGTAGCCTATGCTACTTTAATCGTGTTTTAATGAGGTCAAATCCCGACCTATATTGACTGATGCTGGTTCTGAACCTCGACTTAGCGAAATTCCTGCAAACCTAACCTCAATATAACGAACCTCGTTTTAACGAAATCCTTGATATAACGAATATTCAGTTCGGTCCCTTCAGATTCGTTATACCGAGGTTGGACTGTAATAGTAAAACTATCATAAGATCATAATCTATTTTTATTGTAAAATATGTAAGAATATATATAGGCCCTAGCCTAAATTGCAATTACGATTGCCCCTGTCAACATTACTTTACCCTGCAATACAGGAAAATTAATTATTTTAATCAAATTAATTATTTTAATCAGTGACTTGAATAATCAGTAAAATTGAGATATTTAACACTGTGGGTGATTGAAGTCCTACTGACTGTTGCCTTTATGTCAAGGTTACCTCGGAGGCCTGCGGATGATTTTCCCGGAGGAGTGTGTTGGACCACTTTAGTGCCTCCAAACAATACGTGCAGCTTCCCATCAGCCTCCACGTCCAGTATCTTGTGAGGATCTACACCATCAATCGGCTCCTTCATCTGTGGTACTGACTCACCTGTCACGAAACACAACATTAGACTACTTAGCTACCATACTAATAGACAAGGGAGGATATATAGTTGCTGCCTAATTGAATTGATTGGCACGTGGGCTGGAGTTCCAAAAAGTTTTGGAGGGGACAGCACAATACTTGTAGGTACCCGACTAATTTTCCAGGACAAAAATGAACAAAAGGAAATGGCACTCCACATACAGGTTGAAACAGGACAGAACTGTTTTATTGATTTTGACACAGTTGTACCCAATCCTTTGACAAATACCACAAATGTACGGTATGTGACTGTGGAAGCTTGTTCATGGAAAAGATCACACATAGACTGAAGGTTTGCATTTATTGCTAGTAGGTACTAAAGTAAACTTATTTGATAAACGTCAACAATTTATTGTCAAATTTCAAAAAGTAAATAAAGAATAGGCCTAAATTTAACCAAAGTTTTTAAAATATTTTGCTTAAGTAGTAGTACCTAAGTAAGAAAATAGCTTGAATTGTTGTCTTGTCCAACTATTAAGAGATAAAACAATTTTCCGTCCTGTTTTACATGAGAAATTCCTGTCCTCCAGACCCTTAAAAACTATTAATTACCTATCTTTTATACGGCTTCAACTTGTTTTGATCCAACTACACTTACCAGTAAGCATGCTCTCATCCACGATACAAGGGCCCCTGATCAGCAGCATGTCACAAGGTACAAGGTTGTCGTTTTGTGACCTTGCAATGGACACAATGTCACCAGGCACCAGCTGATCACTCTGTATAGGTCGCCACCGACGGTTACGATATACCTGAACAGATTATTTATCTAATATAGTTGATTTAATTGTGTACTTATGTAAAATATTTACTAGGCCTATATTCATTCGTTTTCTGATCTTTTACACTGATATGCTAACACTGAAATAAAATTACCTACTATCTATACATCAAAGAACAAATGTAATTGAATCTCAGCTAATGTGTTGATATGTTGAAACAAAACCCCAAAACTAGCAAAATCTAGAAATCTTGCCTAAAGTTTTAGATTTGACATTTGATTGGCTAGTTTGGAGGATTGAAACTTAAAACTAACTTCTTGATCAGCAGCATATGTGTTATTAAATTACCTAAAAAAGCAAAACTATATACGTCTAATAGCACTTGTTGTTGTTGTTGTCTATTTACACTTATACTGTTGACTTACAATACGGTAAACACATGTAAAAGTTGGTAAGAGGTGATCGATTTCGATTGGACACTCCAATCATCATCAGATATCATACATTTGCCTATTGGGTCTGATGATGATTGGAGTGTCCAATCGAAATCAATCACCACTTACCAACTTTTACATGTACTTTATTTACCGTCTTGTAAGTCAAAAGTATAAGTATAAATATATTATTACAAGTGTTATTAGACGTATACAGTTTTGCTTTTTCAACTTAAAACTGCCCTGTTGAAATTTATTGTGTCATCAACCAGTCCTAATTCCTGCTGTATTTTAGATACGCTATCTAAAAAAAAGACTGTAATTCAGTCTTACAGCTTTAGAAGCAGAATTGAGAAGAAAAGCTAAAAGGGATAAAACTGTGTACAGCAGATTAATTATCAAATTCACCTGCAGCATATGTGGTTTGTTGCCCATTTTCCTGATCTCTGCCATGTTCCGCAACTGTTGCTGCACCAGAGTGTACTCAAACAAGACGAGCATGAGCAGAGTGAAGAGAGAGTAGTACCAATACTTGTCTAGGCACCACAGTCCTACGCAGAACACTTGGAATACAAAGAACGGCGCTGTCGCTCGCTCCTTGAACAACTCCATAAACTCTGGCACAACCATGTCCAATCTGTAACATAGCAAAAAGTCAGCAGTTTCAGACTAAAACTAACAACATCTTTCATTTAAAAACTTTTGAATATCGAAACTCACCGTTCGAATCTCAAAACCGAAACTTTTCCAAAGTTTTCATAGTTTTGTGATTTTTTGACACATCAGTAAGTTACTGGGGACTGTTAGGCAACCAGTTTTTAAGTCACTTTATAAAATTAAAATTATTTTTCAATGCTCTTTATGAAGTATTTATTACCAATTGAGAAAAATACAAAATAATACAAAACTTACACATTTTTGCCGTATTTAATTTCTGCACTTGCAATATCAGTGTCCTCTTGATAACCCTTCCACTCAGTGTACTCCCTGAATGACATGTCGGTTGGGAACTGAAGCCCACGGAATTGCTTCTTATCTTCATCCCATACATATTTTGTCTTTTGAAATATGAACCAGATAGCATTTTGTTCTGGTACTTTGGAATCCTGTAAAAACCCTTATGGTGTATTTAATCTGTTAAAACTATAAAACATTTTGGTTATTCTGAGCCAAGTATGGGTCAACTTAAATTTTCCTCATATTACCGTTGATTTTTCTGTAGGTTAGTAGTAACTGGAAAATGCAAGAATTTTTAGCCGAAAAGCAAGTATTTGGAGCAGGCGACTATTTGAAGGTCAAAGGGCGTTCCGCGTTGTCATTCATTATCAGCCGCTACAAATCAGTTAGGTTAGGTTAGGTTAGTTTAGTCAGTTATTTTAGGTTTCCGGTAAAAATATGTGTGTTTTATTTAACCATAGGACTGCCCTGATGGTTTGGATGAATGTCCCTGCCATTTTTGTAATTTTGCAAGAGTTCTTTTTAAAAATTTGCAGTGTCTAAATTACTTATGATAACCTAGTCATATACATACTCATTTTGTAGAGAAAAGAAGAAGATTTTGAATAAAATAAATAAATGAATATCCCTAGGGTGTAATTTATTTGCTACAGTTGAAAAACTAAAATTTATGTAAACTTTTTTACACAAATTTCAAAAGTAGAGTCCTGATATTTTCCTACAAAACTATGAACAAAAAATTCAGGATATACAAAATGTTGACATTTTATAGGTTTGATTTTTGAAAAAAAAAAAACTCACCCCATCTGAATAAATAAATATACGAAGTTGGAAAATATTGATAAATGTACACTAATTATTTGAAACGCTGAAAAATAGCAAATATCACTGTAATAAGCCAAGACTGTTATATTAGTAAAGGTAATAATATAGTTATATGATATAATACACTTTAGTGCACAGTGATAACTGTTTTATCAGTTTTATATGAGTTGAAAAAGAAAACATTATTTTTGTCGTAAAAGAAAATAAGTTATTAAAGCTCTATGTATTTTTTTAAATTTATGATGTAACTAAAATGGTACAAATATTCCGTAGTATATATATTTCTGAACGAGAATATATACCTATGGATATAGAAATAATAAGTAGCTAATAAATGTTTCATAAGCATTTTAGATGAGTTCGGAAAGTAGCCGGTCAAGGTGAATTGACAAGTCGCTTCGTCTCGAGCGTTTCGTTATCACTAAAAAGCAAGCGACATTTCATAATCACACGTCATTTTACCACAAAGAATAATCATTTACCCATAATTTACTAGTAAATCTTTAAGTTTTATTGTAAAAAATGTGTTGTTTTATTTAGTGAGTGGATGTGATGGGAATTATTATTATCCATGTTATTATGGGTCATATTATCATTACCCATAATAACATGGATAACAATTACTATCACATCACTCAAGAAAACAAATAAAACAACACATTTGTAGCGATAAAACACAAATAAAATATGTATTTACAGCTGCACACAAGACGTGAACGCCGCACAACAGTAATGGCGACTTTCACCAAAGAAACAGTTAATTATGCTGTGTCAACAAGAACTCTGTATTTCAATTTGTGCGTTTTTATTTCTGGCCACAGATCAATATAAATTACATCATTGTGTTATTTTTAACAAAATCCTTTATTGATTTATTAGTCATTGCCACGAATACTACAAAAATACTGGAATGGATCATAAACATACACAAATGACGTTTTTTGGTCCGAAAGTAAACAAAGCCTATACTAATAGCATTAATAATTAACATATGGTTTTGTTTATTTTCGTGCCAAAAACGTCATTTGTTTATGTTTATGATCTATACCGGGTCTTTTCTAGTATTCGTGGTCATTGCCTAAATGACGATTTTCGTAATTTCAAATGTCAACTGATTTCTAAATATTATTTCCCAAATTGTCTGACATGATAATCACGTGATTCTTGATACGAAAATAAACTCCAGAACAAAACTACAATTACTATTGGTAGGTACCAACTACAACCAGTTTCAAGCAAGATTATCGGCGCTAAGATTTATTGAACATGAGTAATGAATTGACGCGGCAAACTCAAAATCGTCTTGCGCCTACATTTTCATTCAAATTGTAGCGACAACAAAATCGATTTGTTAATGCTATAAGTTTCGTTTGTGTATATAATGAAAGTTTAGAATCTCTTCTTTCAAATGGTATCAAAATTATTTGGTTTTGGAATAATTTTAAATGAGTTATAAGCTGTTTAAAAGAAAGTGACACTATATGACGATTTTCGTCATATGGGCATTTTGGAAGCACAGACATAAGGGGAGTGTTGCACGACGTCCAAGTGCCACGACGTCCAATAATATTTTTCCAGTGCCACGACGTCCAAAACATCATTTTTGAGTTGTTGCACGACGTCCAAGTGCCACGACGTCCAAAAGTACAGTAACTGCCAAAAATATAGTCTTTCTACAAGCTTTGGACGTCGTGGCACTTGGACGTCGTGAAACAGCGCACTGTAGAATTGTAAAGAAGTATCATTTGCACCACGTCCAAAGCCTCTGCCAGTTGCACGACGTCCAAGTGCCACGATGTCCAATCAATATTTGACTGTTGCACGACGTCCAAGTGCCACGACGTCCAAAGTACCTGCAAACTGTGAACACTGTTTGCCGACCTCAGTGCATACAGTTCGCATTGCAATTATTGAAGGCAACTAGTCCTAGTCAACTGTTTGAAAGTTGTCAACCGCTTCGTCTTCGATTAATGTTTAAATTATTCAACATTCAATGGTTCTAATTGAACTAATTATTTCATTAGCTAAAATTTTTTATATATAAAATAAATACTATGTCACCGTACAATGTAATGATGCAGTATTTCTGTTGTTATGATTGCATAATTGATTTCTACAAAATAGAGAGCTATGTCATAGAAACAAAATAAATAAATGACTACACTATTCACTATATTGTATGATTAATAAAATAAATTAATCACTAGCCCAAAAGTAAATATGGTTGGTTTAATGTGTGTGTGGTTTAGTGGTAGAATAATTCTAAGTACTGCAGTAGAATAGAATCGTCGTACTATATCAATTGGTAGCAAATTTACTCGTAAGATAAAATGTATGCACAGTTTTATAACAGCTGTAAGACTTATCATTTAAGTAACGGTATCATTGAAATTGTATAACTTCCATTGAACAGAAATGAGATAAGTAGATATTGATACACAATATATGAATTTTCATACACTTATAATATGACGAATTCAAAAAAGTTTTATGCGCCAAATGTGCTAAATATTATGTAAACGATCAACTTTTTAAGCTATAATGATGTTACTACAATGGTTAAAAATGTTTCCTGTGAAACACTGGGAATAATTCGTTTTAAAAGAAATCATTCATCATGGATATAGGAAATAATTAAGATTCTATAATCATTGCCCTATCAACCTAGGCCCTTTTCCTGAGTGTTATGAGGTTTATGTTTTGATTTATTTTTGTGTAAACCGTAATATAATCCCCCTGCCACAGCAAATCTGTAGACTGAATTTCCATTTGCCTGATTATATAATTTCACTAAAATATTTTAGAAAATTACCCTATTTTCCATATTTATTTATATTTTCCTATTTTTCCTATTTGTCGGTTTGGAACTATTGTGATAGCTTTTTGTTTACAGTGCAAACCATGGATGTATGGATGTATGGATGGATGGATGGATGTTTGTTACAAGCAAACGCGAAAAATACTAAACCGACAAGGTTGAAATTTGGTATGATGAGATTAACATCCCCGATTAACATATTCTTACCTCAAAAATTCTTTCAGTCTCCACCCCGGTGGCTCTGGCTCTGGACTTTCTCTAGTTAACCTTATGAGAATTCATATTTAAAGAAATTAAAGAATTTTGTCAGCCGTTTCAACTGTACAAGTTGGTTCTATGATATTAAACAGCATTAAAAAGTTATAAGGCTCGCCAAACAGGGTGCATCACTATTATGTTGTTTGTTTGCATTAATGACCACAGCTAATTTGAACCAACTAGCAAGAAAAAGTTGTGGTACACAATGAGAACTTTACTTTTTTCCATGGTCTAGGTGCAGTGGTAGAACATCAGGACTATGGTAGATGTGTGCTACACAATAGGATACCGTATAAATTAAAAGACCAGTTTTTTTTTTTTTTAAATCGTGTCCTCTCCCATAACTGCGATAGCCTAAGCATTTATACTCATATGACAACCCCGTACGAAGGACGGGTATACTCTACTAGTAACACAATAATACAAATACAGTATACTAATACAATAATACTGTAGGTTTCCGTAGTCTGTGGCCATAGGTTCGTCTGAACTGTCAATCAATTCTGAGAAATTCACAGTTGTTAATTCTTACTAGTCTTTTTCTAAGTTCACGTCGCACTCGCAATTAGTTCGCATGTTTTATCTAGGAAAGCAGGTAGCCTATGCCCTAAGTCATAGCATTTGTATGTTAAGTATAATAATAACAAACATGCTTATCGTAGGTTTGTAGGCATACTTGTTCAAGAATATGCCGTGGTAGGTTTTGTTTATAAATTTTATGTTTTAATTCTTGTCTAATGACGATATTGATTTGTATTAGTGCGAAAATGTTAATTTATTTGTAAAGGGCATGAGTGGCCCTCTAGTCTATGTATATTACATGAAGCACAACATGAAAATGAATAAATTAAAGGAAGGTAAAAAACGGATCAGTTGCTGAAGGTCTAAATCTCGGAAGGTCTAATCAGACCTTCGACACACATTTTGCAGTTTGTACTTGATGCTGAGGATCCCATGAATACTGTACAAAATTTAAAAAAAAATGTTTCATTCAATTCAAACTACAAGTTTATTACTTTTCCGAGAACCAGCCTTTATCAGGACTTCCGCTCCCACGCTAGTTGGCAACATCACTGTGCTATATGAAAACAATAAATCTTGAGTAAATATACTGTAATGTTGAATTTTGAAGTTGTGGTGTTCCTTCGTAAACACATTTAATTATAATCTAGGAATATGTAAATTTATTGTTATACGTTAACTTTATTGATATTCGATTCGCTACAGTACTATTAAACCTATAACATTTTCAATTCATGTGCGTTGTATTTTAGAGTTGGGGACTTATTTATATGATACTAGCTGTGTGCCCGTTCTACGCACGGGGATCTTAAAGTAGTCAGTTGAAACCTTCTTATATTAAGAAAAGCAGTTGGTTTGCATATTTTCAGATATGCTGGCAAAACTATTATGTATACATCTTCGCAAATACAGTATCTGACAGTTTCAAGCCAAAACAAATGCTTCGCAATTAAATGTCACCCGGATCGTGTTGGTCCATATGTTAAATAAATGATTAAATCTAATGATTAAACTAAAAAAAGCTTTATAGGCCTAGATCTATGAGGCATAGCCCTAAGGCCTATAGTTGAAAGTTACTTCCCACAATGGTAAAAGGTATTTAAAGTACTACCTCAACCTCACCATTTAACACTTTATTCGGGTTGACATTTTCATTATCAAGATGCTCTTGTCCTTTTCGTGACACTGAGAAATAACATAATGCGTTACCAACAGACATACACACAAAAATACAGAACTTAATTAGGGAATTTGCTACGTTTTAAGCATAACAAAGTACATATAAAATTAGAATTTGAAATCTTTGTCAATGTCATCAAATTTTATCATGACAATTTATATTTGCTTGGACCGAAGGTGACCCGAAATGCTGTCAAAATGACGGCTTACTTTATGAAATGAAGTACTATAGACAATTTAGATTGGTAATTTAACCTATAATAAAAAATACCAAAATAGGCCACGAACTATTGATACTTAAACAACGTATATCGTAAACAATTCATGATGGTTTGCTAAACAAATGTTTTACTTAAATGAGTTATCATTTTCTTAGCATAAACTAACATTTTGGAATCCAAGCAGAAAAAGCAAAACTTATACAGTTAAGACATCAGTTAAATTTAATAAGGCTGTAATACCACTGTATAAATAAGGTGCAACACCAACGATAACTAATTTGTAAATTACAGTGATGTGTTGGTACGTAAAAATGACTCTTGCTGCTACCAACGGTTATAAGGAAAAAACCAGTACCAAAAAACCAATGTTTACAGTTAAGAATTACGTCCGACAAATTAAATGCGTTAATCAAGTCCCAAGGTTATTGATTTCTTGGTTTTGGATTTTCTCGTGAAAAGTTTTCGGCAATCAAAATTATTTCCCATCAATTGCTTTATTCGTAAACAACTTTTAATGTAAACTTATTGGTGTCAGTTTGAAAAAAAAAACAACCTTATAAAAACAACTGTTTGTTATTTAATAGATTACGCAGGCTTATTCTCTAAACAATGATTGGTATATCTTTTAACATTAGAATGAAATGTACAAAAATTACGCAATGCTGGGTTTTTGGACGTTTGTTATTTTATTTCTTAAGTAGGGAGGCCGTGTATTCTAGGGAAAAGTTCCGGTATCAAGGATCGTCGTCGAAAAGGTTGTTATGAATAATTGGGTAGGCGTAAGTACCCAAGAGATGGGCTATGGGCCTATTGGCTGTATGGTCCAGCGATTGCATCATACGGTGAACTGTAAGTGAGTAGGAACAGAAAGTGACACATTGGAAAAGCGAGTTTAGCATCATCCAAAAACCGTAAACCTCTGTTACAATCACCCACTGCAGTTATGATTTTTTACTTTACACTTTATACTTTACACAACCACCATTGAAGCGCCGTCAATGAGTTAGTAAGCTATTGGCGACGATCATTAATACATTCAAGTTTCCCAGCCCTATACAACACTGATTCAAGCTTATCAAAACTCAAGAACAATTTTATACACAAAGAATCTCTGGTTCCTAACCTGGATGATGTTATTAAATTTTATTTATGGTTACACTATATTATTCCACTTGCGATTAATTAAATCCGTTATGTAAGACAACAATTTTAATCTCACTTGGATGGGCTTTGCCTTCAAAAAGTGATCGGAAATGGTTGTGGTATTTGTAAGCATATCAGTGACAGCGAGAAAATAATAATCTTGATCCGAACAGCTGTTCGTTATTTATTTCATAGATCATTATGTGATAAAAATTGGACGAAAACTTGACAAAAATCGCACAAAACTGCATTTTTGAACGTCCGTAATGTTATTTACTAAGTAGTGAGGCCATATTTTAATGGCTAAAGACACTCTCGCCAATCCAGTGATTAAAATGACTTGATAGGTACTCTCGTTTTCCTGGAGAAGATTGCGTAAAATCCCATCTTGAGTGTTACAGGAAGACAGAAAGATAGACAGACAGAAATTTAGATGAGACTTGTTTCGGCTTCTTTAATGTATAAAACGTAAAAATAACCTACAAATGAATGATTCTGAGCAATGTACAGACAAAACTCTAATTTCATTTATATAGATTCTCATTGGTTGCAATTTAATAAGTGGTGTAGCAAAACACAAACACAAAATTTATCGAAATGAAACTAAGCCAATGTTAGGTGAATACTATTAATAAACATATTTGCGACATAAATACATTTAATTGAAGCCTAAAAAACAGTTCGAAAATGGCATTCTATTCTTTATACTAGTAAAAATTAAAATGAGGGTATAAAAAATAGTTTTCAAAGATCATGTTGATCAATGTACAATCATCTAGTCTTGAAAAAAATAAGTATTTAAAAGCTTACTCCAAACATAATGAAGTTGATCGGCTGTTAACAAAATGTCATCATTTTCAAACCATGTAGGCCTAAACCTTATAGTTTTCCAACTGTTGCCTTATTTATTTTTTTCTTTTTATGTTTTTTTTTACTTTATGATGTTTCAATTAATGGTTCATATATTCATTGTATATATATTTCTGAACAAGAACATATAACCATGTATATATAACTAATAAACCTTCCATAAGCATTTTACACGAGAGAACACTATTCGGCAAGTCATCATGTAGGAGCTTGGACGTCGTGCAACAGCGCTGAGCTATATTGGACGTCGTGCAACAGTCAAATATTTATTGGACGTCGTGACACTTGGACGTCGTGCAACTGGCAGCGACTTTGGACGTCGTGCAACACTCCCGCAAATGTTACTTTTTACAATTCTATAGTGCGCTGTTTCACGACGTCCAAGTGCCACGACGTCCAAAGCTTGTAGAAAGACTATATTTTTGGCAGTTACTGTACTTTTGGACGTCGTGGCACTTGGACGTCGTGCAACAACTCAAAAATTATGTTTTGGACGTCGTGGCACTGAATAAATATTATTGGACGTCGTGGCACTTGGACGTCGTGCAATGCATCCGACATAAGTTATGACGAAAATCGTCATATTGCCAGTCCCAGGGTTAAATACTGCTACATGTGCCTAACCCAACCTAACCTAGTAGTAACAGGAAAATGCAAGAATGCTTTGCCGGAAACTCGGAAAGCAAGTATTTGGAGGTTAGTTTAGTTAGTTATTTTATGTTTCGGGCAAAAGGATTTGGGGTTTAAATACTGCTATATGTGCCTAGCCTAACTGATTTGTAGCAGCTGATAATGAATGAGAACGTGGGCCCTTTGACCTTCAAATAGTTGCCTACTGTGAATACTTGCTATCTGGCAAAAAATTCTTGCATTTTCCTGTTACTAGATAGCCTTAAGTTTAAATTGTATTTTCTTTTAATTTGATTCACAATTTTTACTATGAGCTAAGGTTGCTTCAACTTTTATAAATTAAGTTTAAGTCAGAAACTATTTTTCATCCACTCTGGAGAAAAACCAATCAACAAAGCTATATTGTAAACCACCCTTGAACCGAACAATCCATTAGGCCCTCCTTTTGAACTACCCAGCTGCTTAAAAGTTAAAACTTACTGTATGGTGGTGAAGTTTAACAAGCTCCGACGACCCATTGTTTGAGGTTGGTACAACTTTAGCAAGTTTTGCATCTTTGGCACATCTAGCCTGAAAATATTTAATTGAAAATGGTTTATAATAATCAACAACTGATAATCAAGCTTTGCTTGGAGGATAAATATTATTTTATCCTTTTGAAATCTTGATACACCAACACAATATAAAAATACCCCCGCCACAGCAAACCTGCAGACTAAGCGAATTTACACTTGTCTGACTACATTTTTGCTAAAATATTTCCATAAATAAGACATATATATTCCCAAATTAAATAGGCCTAGCATTAGATTTAACGAGTGCTTAGGTTTGCTGCTACGGGGAAGGTAAAAAGTGTTTTTTGACCAAACCTCAATAGTATAGTATGAAATAAAAAATTTGCCAAATTTTCCGTGTTCTCCTTCTCCTCCTCCTTGAATGTTGACGGACCTACAGCCCAAACCACTGGCTCAATTTTAATGTTTTTTATGTTGTTTGAAAGCCCTTAACGTGTACCTAGATGTGCCTTTTGAGGGTCTCAAGTCGGTTGACCCATAAACCCTTGGCAAGCCCTCAAAGTACGATTTTGGCCCATTTAAATAACATGGGATAAAAATCAAAACAAAAGAAGGACCAGCTGCGATTAAATCTCAATCAATTTAAATGTTAGAGAAATGCATAGGAACAGCTGAAACATTATTTTAAAACTTTTATAACGTTTTTTTTCAGGTAGGCCTATACCGAATGATTTGAACTACTTACACTGGTACAGCAGCTCGTCATTTTTAACAGTTTAATACTACTTATCAAAACATATGAAACCTAGGAACTTGAAACTTAGTACTAGTACTAAGGTTTGTTTTATGTTTTGATACACTAAAACAAATAAAACAATTGGGAAAATCACTCCACGTATGTTAAACAAGCAATTAAAAAGTGATATGTAAATTTGAATAAATGAGTTTTTCAATATTTGTTTTGCCTTATGCTATTTCTAACAAACCTAATCTGTTTGATTACATTTTTACTCCTATAATAAGGGCTCAATTTACACTAGTCTTTATATATACAGGTTTAATTATCAGAACACTTATGTAACACCAACACATTTTATGTTGTTCATCATGAACATTGATGAAATTTGAAACTGAATTTAAGCCTAGGGGGTTTGTTAAATAGTAATTTTGGTACGTGTGTCAAAAAGTTTTTAATCGGTTTAAAGCAGATAAGACCAAAAATGTAGAATTTAGTTCTACACAAACAATATTATTGAAATTAGATGTAGTTGTGCCATGGTCTATATATCAGAGAAAAGAGGATTTTAATTTTAACTGTTAATTTTCTACAAAAATAAATAAAATCTAACAAAAAACCACTAAGTGGTAACACTTTCCCCGCCAAGTCAGCAATCCAAAAAAGATAATAAATCATTACTTTTTCAGCCAAAAAAACAACGTAATTTATGTAAGTTTGGCAACTTGGTGGCAGACTTTTGCTCGATCACTTTAAAAAATACCATAAAACAACAATTAGGCCTAACTTAGAATTAACTTGCAGAAGTTTTATGAAACCATACCCACTGTGGATATTCTGGATAGGTAAGCTTAAGCCAAATTATATCAAATCAAATTGTTTGTTGCCAAAACAAATAATACATTGTATAGCAACGTCAAGGTAAAAGTTTAAAAACTATTTTAAGGAACTTAGATGATCTAAAAATTCATCAACATTGTATACAGCTAAACTATATAACATTGCTACTAACTTATGGTGTTCTTGAAAGACTTAGAATTCAGACATTTGATATTGCTTTGTATGTTGCAAGGATCTCTAAGTTATCAAGAAGATATTTAACTTAGGGTCGCAGATACTTTTGACTTTCAGGATATATAGACCAAGTTAGGCCTACCTCGGGTCTCAGGAGTTGGCTATCTTGGGTTTGACCAAGGTAAGTTAACTTAAGCTTAATAGAAACTAAAGCTTAAGCCATTGACTTAAGTTAGCCTATTCGATAACGTACAGAAGTAGACACCTAATCTAGATATGGACCAGCTGTCGCCAATTTTACTAAAAATAGCCGGACTTATCTTAGACCAAGTCCAAAACTTAGTTGTGTGAGCCAGTCACAAAATGTGCTATTCATATTCATATTCATTGGCCTTCGTCGTTGACCCTCTGGTGAGGGAATAGACTGCGTCGTTGTTTAATACGGAAAAAAGACACAAAAACAAAGACTACACGCACATATAAAATAAAACTGTGTATTAAACATGGCGGGCAGGCAGTAGGCGGTACAAAAAAATAATTGTCCCGCTCCAAATTGTCCTTAAAGAAATCCTCTACTTTGTAGTATGGTCTATTGATCATCAAGTCTTTCACAGCACTCTTTAACTTCCGGTCGTCCAGACATCGAATGCTGGAAGGGAGTCTGTTGAAGAACTTGATGGCTGACGTAGGGAAGGAATTGAGCGTCCTGCTCAATCTCGCACGGGGAACATCGAGATCCTGCCTACCTCTGGTATTACGGGCGTGGATGTGGCTTCTGGTGTTGAGAAGAGGAACACTGCATTTGATTTCAACCAGGCAGGCGTAGATATAGTGGCTGCAGACGGTTAGAATTCCAAGTCTCTTGAATATCGGTTTGCAGTGTTCTCTAAAAGGGCTCCTTGAGATTATACGGACTGCCGCTTTTTGAAGCTTTAAGACTTCCTCCACTTCCGACGCATGACCCCAAAGGTGTAGTCCATACGCAATGTGCGAATGAAACAGGGCATGGTATACCATGAGCAGGTACTGCTCCGTGACACATTTCCGGAGACGCCTGAGGAGACAGTTGACTCTCGCAAGCCGTGTGGCAACATGGGCAGCATGGTCATTCCAGTCTAGTCGGCTGCCCACTGGAAACCGAGAAGTTTTACTGCAGCCATGTCGTCCGAGGAGTCTCTTGAGAGGGTACAAAGGAGTCTCTGGGTTTTGTCTCCATTCAGTTGCAGCTTATTCATCTGGAGCCATGCTTTAGCTTCTTGGACCTGGATTATGGCTAAATCCCTAGTGTGGTGTAGGTTTGGCCCTTTAGTGAGAAGCGTGGTATCATCCGCAAATAGAATAGAGCTGCTGGTCTCGTCGATGCCATTGATGAGGACCAGGAATAGAAGAGGGCCCAGCACAAAAAATGTGCTAAAATTCTATTCAGCACATTTTTTGTTAATAACCTAGTTCCTAGGCCACAACAGTACCGTAATTGCTATATTGAGTAGAATTATTAAGGCCCTACTGAAGGCCTAGCTCACAATAAACCATTCCATTAGTTTGACTAGATAAACAAAGTTTGTACGACAGAAGTTAGTTAGGTTAGCCTTATTTAGATCAGCACAATCTGTCGGTGGCTCACATCAACAGCCATAATCAAATAGGCCTACAGTGATTTCCTACAGGACCTAGGCTACAGGCCTGTAGTTTTAAAAATTGGTGACAGCTTTAAAATGGTGATGGAATGTCTAGTTGTATCAATAACTTAGTCAAAGCTTTAACTTAGGTAAGTTTAGGCTAGGCCCTACTAAAAATCTTAACATAGCCCAGCCCAGGCACTAGGCCTAGGCTATGCCAGCTTACCTTTTTACAAGTGAGAAAGCATTGCACATGCACTGACCAGTAGCAACACAGGCAACTTAATATTTGAGTTAGGCTAACAACTACAATTCCAACGAAACCGGCTTCACTGAATTCGTCGATACCGTAAACAAATACCCAAGTATACAGCCATGTTGCATACATAAAGAGAAAAGGCAACACTGTTCCATTGAAAATTATAGGTCGCGGGGAATAGAGGGATACACTTTGAACTAAATCGTCTACTTTTAAATCTTGAGGCATTTTATAATGATAATTTCTTAAGGGAAGTATTAAATAATTCCCGCTAAACATTACAAATAAATATTAACTTAGAGAGTGAAGTAATAATTTACACAGCCCATCTTCAAAGGCTTGCAAGAAGAGGAAAAGAAAAGACAGATGTCGTGAAGTCAAGTCGGGTCAACGTCAACAACTCAACGTCAAGAGAAAACGAAAACACACGGAGGGGCACACGGGAGGGACTAAGGCTAACATATCTTGTAGTGTCAGCGTTCGCCGCTAGGACTGCTAAGTTGAAAAAATTTATATAAATTTTTAATTTTTTTATTTTTTGTTATAAAATTAACTTTTTAATTATAAAATATTGTTTTAAAATTATAAAATAAATTTTTAATTTTTAAAATTAAACTGTCATAACATAACATAACCAACCAGACTTGCTGATAATATAAAAACTATATAAGATAAAAATCTAATTAATAATTAATTATAATTTTTAATTAATTATAAAATTAATTTTAAAATTTAGTATTATAAAATTAAACTGTCATAACCTAACCTAACCAACCAAACTTGCTGATATGAAAAATTTGTTGACAAAAAGTTAGTGCTGCCAGCGGGTTTCGAACCCCGAACCACCTGAACACTAATCCGAAACGCTACCAACTATGCCACGAACGCCGCTGAAAACACATCGTTTCGTTACGGTAATCGTGTCGCCTCAAGAGAAGACAAGCCCCCCACACACTACCAGACCAGACCTCCAGACCAGACCGTCTGGCTGCAACCAGACTGTCTTGGACGGCTCTACACACTCCCAGACCAGACGGTCTAACATTCGTAATTGAGAGACCGTGGTGAGAACTCCAACAAATGGATGAAGACTGTTACGATGGTCGGCCGTCTGACAGACAGCGCTACACACTCACAGACCAGACAAAAATAGTGGTGGGGGAACCTCAGACCGTCTGTGGTCTGAGGGTTCAACCATCAGACACGCAGACAGTCTGGTCCGAGAAAATCGGTCTGCAGACAGCCCCACACACGATAAGACAAGTGCCAGACGCCAGACCAGACGGTCTGGTCTGGAGGTCTGGTCTGGTAGTGTGTGGGGGGCTTACCACTAGAGATATGACGTCACTACACCTTTAGCCTTAGTCCCTTCCATGTGCCCATTCCCGAAACCACAAGCCGACGACACAGAATACAATTTAAGCGTTGCTGCAAAACTGTTAGCACGCTGAGGTTGAACATACTATAACTAAATCATCACTGTACGACGCCGACACATGACTGTTTAGGACAAAGTTTATAAATTGGTTATAAATCTTAATGGTTTACTGAAAGATGGTTGTAAAATTGTTAAGTTTTTAAATTTTTTCAGAGTTTATCGTACCTTTTACACATTTGTTCTCTTTTGTAAATTTGCTGTTCTTGCATCCATACTTATTTTTTTGTGTTTAAAAAATTGGGTTTGCTTATTGTTAGTTTCTACTTCTACTTCTATTCACCATGACTTCTATTGTTATACTTGTTATTTATTGTTATTATTGTTGTATTGTGATAAGTTACTATTTATTTCCACTTGCTGTGATACAATATTTATTTATTTTCTCAAATTTGTTTCATTAATTGTAAGTGTAGGTACAAAAGAATTGTACCATTGTACCTAGCTTTTTTGTAGATAGCTTTAATGGTCGCAGGCATGTTATTATTGAGGGAAAATTTTGAAACGTATGTTTTAATTTCCCTGCCATGTTACTTCGTAGATGCTGTATTATTTGTAGTACTAGAGAACCCGTGCGGCTCAATGAGCCGCATAATATAAAACATAACGCCGAGGAAAACGTTATGCTTAAATTCTAGTAATTCTAGTCACATCTTAGAGTTGTTTAACACTTGTTAGAAACTAATTTTTAATATCTCTATTTGTGTCGTCAAGGTTCACATACATTATTTCTACTCTCAGTTTTAACCAATAACTTCTAATGAATGCTAAACGATCTGCTTCAATTCGAGCTAACATTTTGCAAAAAAGTTTTACCAGCATTGAGAATTTAAGAAAACTGTTGCCTAGACATCCCCCTAATTTAATGTGCTCCATGTTTACCCACAAATTCTGGGTTATCAACTGGAAAGCCATAATATGCTTTGAATGGGCTAAGGCAGCAACACCATGAAATTGGTTCGATAACTCTTGTAGCTATAAGATTTGGATAGCAATTTTCATTTTCTCTTTTAAACAGCGTATATTATTTGCCTCTCCTGAATCATAAAAATAAACTTGACTTTAACTAATCGATAGTTAAATACATAAACACTAATTCCTTCACTTATATCTAATATTAACACTGAAATTCAGTCAAAAAAACTTTGTATACGTTTGTCCGAGGAACTGGCAACATAACCTAGAAGTAAACGATCCATTTGTGTTTTTCCTAAATTAAAGTAGAGCGAGTACAAATACAAAAGTTTACAATAAAAACACAAGGTCCGCCAAGATTTGGTAAAATCTTACTACTTGAACTTATCATAGTCAAGGCATTATTATTGTTTGTACTAATTTTTTTGAGATCGTCAGTGTCAGAAGTAAACATTTCTCGCATGCATTCATTTGATCTGACATTAGGCAAGTTTATTTTACCATCGGGACAACACTATGTGCTTCGTATATTTTTTCACTTCCAAAGTAAGTTGCATAGCAGAACTGGCAAATACTATTATTCATCTCACCAAGTGAATGTGTATCTGGATGGGTATCTGTTAGACCAGGCTATTATACGCATAAGATACCTTATTATTAATTGTATCCTCCTCCCGTTTTCAATATTTCTTCTTTGAACTTCAGGCATTTTTCGTTCTTCCAACAAAACTGATTAACTTGGTCTTAACCTACTGAATATTAAAACATCAATATTTACTCCCAAAAAGCTAAAAGGTTTCTTTTTATAAACAGCTGTTTTATGTTTTTAAATTTGTTCTATGTATTTCTTATGAGGAAAACCCGACCTTTGAGAGGGTCTCGCGCCCTTAGCAGTAGACATTTTAAAGTTCTAAAACCTTATTGCAAAACTAAATATTGAGACAAATCTTTTGACACCTTAAACGTTGAAATTGGTCCACAAATAAGGGAGGAGTTGCGTTAACAAAATACGGCTTCACGTATTATATATATAGATTTTTATAAACAGCTGTTTTATGTTTTTAAATTTGTTCTATGTATTTCTTATGAGGAAAACCCGACCTTTGAGAGGGTCTCGCGCCCTTAGCAGTAGACATTTTAAAGTTCTAAAACCTTATTGCAAAACTAAATATTGAGACAAATCTTTTGACACCTTAAACGTTGAAATTGGTCCACAAATAAGGGAGGAGTTGCGTTAACAAAATACGGCTTCACGTATTATATATATAGATATTATGTGTTTTAATATTTTTTGGGATGGGGGCAACATGTTACAAACATTTATTTGGTTTTAAATAGGTTCTAGGTATTTTTTTCGTATTTTTTAAGTCTCGAAATTCACGACCATACCGTGTCCCTAGGGTTACATTTTTCAACTTTCACGCTGTTTTTAGCCTAATTATTCATGCCGAAATATATAAAGTCATATTTTTATGTCATCAATAGTTATTTAACTTACAAAAAAAAGGAGCATATAATAATTTTGTTTGCATTGCAAACTGACAACCATGACAAAATAGCTCGATTTGACGTCCCGACCATTATGGCAAAATTTGTAACTTTGGAAAATGACAGTGGCAATCCTGGCAGCGATAACGTCAGTTGGTTTTAGAGAGTGGTTCAGGATGTGCGTTAGTTTTGTTGTGCCGGTGGTTTTGCAGTAAAGAATTAAGTACAAGATTAATACAGGTAACTTTGTGCTTTTTGTAATTTTGGTGTGTCCACGACCGTTCGTAGTCATGCAATAAAGTAGACATGGTGTTAATTTTTGTTGATATGATATTTCAATTACTATGTTAACCTAGAAATCCACTTTGCCTCCTCAAACATGAGGTGTAAGGCTGCCACCAGAACAGAGCCAAATAATACGTGATTTCAGTTCACGACCAGGGGCCCATTTCATAATAAGGTTCAAACTAATATTATAACTAAATCAGCTGATCGCCCAGTGCAAATCTAATGGAAAATACAAGTTACAAGTTGTAACTTGTAGTTTATTATGAAATGGGCCCCAGAGCATCATGACCATCACGGGTTTTTTCACGACCAAAATAGCTTTATCAATTGTACTGTGTTATGGTCGTGAAAATAAATTTTAATATCATTGCAAATTGCACAGTTTATTTTAATTGCAACAACATTTTTTCTTATAGCAGTACAATTAATTGAAGGATGTAAAAAAAATAGATTTTCAACTATTTTTACATAGACAGGTATCTTTATTGCATCATATGATTTAAAAGCATATAGTTCATAGGAGTTGTTATGTGTAAAACTATTACATTTAAAAAAATTAAGTATGGTTTATCAAGTCTTGTGGAATATTATAATAATGAGAGTAGTGGAAGGAAAACCTAAATAAACAATATAGTGATTCTCGTTAATCACCAATTCCAGACCGTAACACTTGTCCCTGACCAAAACGTTGATGATTTGGATCATAAAAAGATCAAAAATTGATATATCATCATATACCAATGTTTTATACACACAAGAAGGACGCCTATTTAAAAACCTAAAGGTGTTTCATGTATCAGGAATGGAAGGTTTGTTAGGAGCTATACAAACTTAAGGAGATTTTTTTAAGCTTTTTTTAAAATTTTTTTTGATTTTTTTGATTTTTTTAGAAAAACTAAATATGACAAAAGCTTAGTGAGCTGTTTATTGCAAAATGGCCCTGAAACTAAATCTATTTACAGCAAAACATATTTATAAAAATACCATTAATTATTTTTAATATTAATGTTTACGTTCGTTATGGTCGTGACAGAATTTTGTGTTTTTCCGTCAAAGATGCATGTATTAATAAAAATCACCAAAGATATTGCTAAATTTTCAATTTTCACTCTATTAGGTTTTTTAACTTTCGGCCATGTGTTGTGTAAAATATATAATTGAAATGTTCAATGTTCAATGTAAAATGTCCTTTACCGTTAAATAAATAAATAAAATGGACCACATAACACAGTCGTCAGCAAGGACTATTCAATAACACAAGTACCGTTTACCAAATTAAGTCCATTAATCTTGTTCTTTTCTATTTGTAAGGTACTATTGCATCAAGGCCACACTAAAAAAACTTTAGTTTTTTGAGTGGCCTTGATTGCATTATTTTTTTCTATAGTCAGTTGACCCACCTAAGATTGGGCACTGCAGTTATTTTTTTTAATTTTATGACATGAAGAGAAGATCGACGAACTATTTTTATTTTATTTATATATTTTTTTTTTTTGCTATAGCGATCCGAGTGTTGGATATTTTACTGAATTTTCAAGTTTTATATAATATAGAACTATAAAACGTTACATACACATATTTTACTAAATATATTCCTTATTCCCTTCCCTACTTTCAATATTATGAATATATCCAAAGTTTTTTTTTAAGATTTTATTAACCGATCAGCATTTCATTGCTATACAGGTTAGGTATAATATAAGAAAGACAAAAATGACATTATTAATTACATTAACATAGGTAGAGGTCAGCTTAGCCCCTCAGGCACTTATTGTCACTGTTTTAGCGGGTCGGACTGTAAAGGCACTGTCCACCAATGAAACACAAATTAATGAAAAAAAATGGTTATAATAAAACATCTTGAGGCAATCTGGGTTTTAGTCGGAGTCTCTGGATTTCAGAAGGTTGGCCTGTGTTATAAAATCGGGTCTGACTTAGGGGAGGTACGAATGAGGCATTAGTTCAAAATTCCTCCGTGAACAGCGCTGTAGTAGAGAGCACTTTGGCAATGAAGATTTACTAATCGCAAAAATAGTTCTGTTCATAAAGTAAAATTATAAATGCCTCAAATTCAATTTTATTATTTTTTAATTATAAAATTAAACTATCATAACCTAACCAAACTTGCTGATAATTAAATAATATAACAAAAGTTTAGTAATAGAAAAAATAATTCTGTTTATTAAATAAAACTAGAAGTTGCTCAATTAAAATTTTACAATGACTTAATAATAAAATTAAACTGTCATAACCGAACCAAACCAACCAAACTTGCTGATAATAAAAAAATCTTTGACAAAAAGTTAATGCTACCAGCGGGATTCGAACCCGGGACATTCAGCATATCAGTCCGGCACGCTAACCATTAGACCAACGAGGCCGATGGCTTATAGATCGTTTTGTCACGGTAATGGCGTTCCCTCAGCTAATAAGAAGCCCACAGCTGTCATCGTAGCCTCTTCCATACCTCCCCTGAGTAAATACCTATAAAATCCAATGCTGCTGGTTAATGGAAGTTTTGTAAATAATTTTGATGTAACTTTCTTGATGAAATCTTCTCTAGGTTTTATTCCCAGTTATAAATGTATTTGACGGGTTCGAAAATACCAGGGACATTTTTAGAATTATCCTTAAAACTTTATTTGGAAATGTTTGCAGTTTACGAATTGAGCTTGATGAAACAGTTCCCCATACTGGGCAGGCGTATAACAATAGTGGACGTAGTTGAAGTGTTTTGTATAAAAGGGTTCCATTCTTTATAGACATACATGATTTATTGTTTATTAAAGGAAACAATTTTGATAATCTGCCATAAGCCAAAATTAATTTTTTATTAATATGAAATTTCCAATTTAACTTTCTGTCGAAGTATACACCTAAATATTTTATTGCTTGGTCAGGAGGGTTCCATGCAATCTGTTCACCTAGAATTTCGAAATTTGGAGGATCTAACGGTTTTCGGAGGGTAAAAATCTTCGCTTCACTCTTCATCGGATATTTATGGCTATTCTCCATTTTGTGAACCATTCCACCAAATCGTTTAAGGAAATTTGAACGTTATTGGCCACAACTTCGATGTCATGGTGTGTAGAGTGGAGTAGGGTGTCATCAACAAACACGGCTGTTTGGACATGGTTTGACAATGGCAAATCAGAAGTGTAAATGTTATATAATAGAGGTGAAAGAATTGCGCCCTGTGGGACTCCGGCTTGAAATTGGTCTGGCAGTTGATAGGGAGCCATCAATATTAACTGAAAACGTTCTATCTTCAAGGAAGCTTTCAATAATTCTCTGTAGGTAGGAGGGGACTCCGAACTTTCTTAGTTTAAACATCAAACCATCGTGCCAAACACGGTCAAAGGCCTGACTTACATCAAGAAAAACTGCAGCAGTATGACATTTTCTTTCAAATCCTTTAATGATGTCTTCAGAAACTCTTAAAAGTTTATATGTCGTGGAATGCTGGGAGCGAAAACCAAACTGATGAGGAGGTATTAGGGAAGCACTATCTACGTAGGTTATATCATAGATAAAACATATACCTTGTGTTGGTTAGTCTATGGTTATATCCAAAGTAAAAGTTAGCAACAAGACAAGATCATTGAGCTGATTTTGATTTCAGAATAATCTACGTACTGTAATAGCTCTCCCAAGAATAATTAGCCCATTATTTTAGAAAATTGTGTATGTTCATAGTGCTCGTATTTAACGCACACCCGTAGTGGCATGGCAACACATCAGGACTAGCTGCAGTTGTTAGTTAAACCAGGGAACCGAGGACATTAATAATATTGATATTCAATTCCAGCGGCTTTGAGCATGATTGTTACTGCAGTAGTATCGTACTCTATCACTGAGCTAAAATTATAACTTGGAGGTAGCACTGCCATGGCAGAAGTCTGTCAAAAGCGAGTCGCTGATTTTGTTAGGTTGGTATAGCAGTAAGTTTTCTTACCATAGCAATAACATGGCTTCTTATAACTAGGTTGTATAGCAGTGAGTTTTTTGTCATAGCAATAACATGGCTTCTTATGGACACCCACCTCACGCAAACATGGCGGCTGGCGACACGCATCTTTGACATTCAGTGCTACCTCCAGTTGAATTATAGCTCAGTGTACTCTATGGTCCGCAAATTTATTGAAATGCGTCGTCTGCAAATTTCTCCATAAAATAAAACAACACCACAACACAAGAACAAGAACAAGAACACAATAAGAAGCTTACCTGGTACGCGGGACACAATATCAGCGCTGCGAAAGGGATTTACTTTGTAAGTAGATTTTTATAGTTTAGACTAATTATTTAGCCGACATTTTTTTCAATAGATGTCTTATAACCCATCCTATTAGCAATGTAAGGCGATCTTTCAAGTGGGTAAGATTACGCTTTTTGGGTTACTTTTAGGCTTACTCGCCACTCGGTATTAGGTCGATTCTGTTAAATATAAAATTGGTGTGAACCTGGCAATAACTCCAGCCATAAGTAGTGCGCGCGCCCGAAAAAATCTATTGCTGGCCGCTTTGCGGCAAAATACGTCCGCGATGCATATTACCGATTATGCCAACAGATAGAGGACACTTTAACGGACACGACAGTATCAACATTATGTACCTGGGGAGTAGGTTAAGGGGGGTAAAATGAGCAATAAGTAGTGCGCGCACCACCAAAAATCTATTGCTGGCCGTATTACGGCAAAATACGTCCGCGATGCATATTACCGATTATGCCAACAGATAGAGGACACTTTAACGGACACGACAGTATCAATATTATGTACCTGGGGAGTAGTATAAGGGGGTAAAATCGGCAAAAAGTAGTGCGCGCGCTACAAAAAATCTATTGCTGGCCGTATTACGGCAAAATACGTCCGCGATGCATATTACCGATTATGCCAACAGATAGAGGACACTTTAACGGACACGACAGTATCAACATTATGTACCTGGGGAGTAGTATAAGGGGGGTAAAATTAGCAAAAAGTAGTGCGCGCGCTACAAAAAATCTATTGCTGGCCAAATTGCGGCAAAATACGTCCGCGATGCATATTACCGATGATGCCAACAGATAGAGGACACTTTAACGGACACGACAGTATCAACATTATGTACCTGGGGAGTAGTATAAGGGGGGTAAAATCGGCAAACAGTAGTGCGCGCGCTACAAAAAATCTATTGCTGGCCGTATTACAGCAAAATACGTCCGCGATGCATATTACCGATTATGCCAACAGATAGAGGACACTTTAACGGACACGACAGTATCAACATTATGTACCTGGGGAGTAGGTTAAGGGGGTAAAATGAGGAATAAGTAGTGCGCGCACCACCAAAAATCTATTGCTGGCCGTATTACGGCAAAATACGTCCGCGATGCATATTACCGATTATGCCAACAGATAGAGGACACTTTAACGGACACGACAGTATCAACATTATGTACCTGGGGAGTAGGTTAAGGGGGGTAAAATGAGCAATAAGTAGTGCGCGCACCACCAAAAATCTATTGCTGGCCGTATTACGGCAAAATACGTCCGCGATGCATATTACCGATTATGCCAACAGATAGAGGACACTTTAACGGACACGACAGTATCAATATTATGTACCTGGTTAGTAGTATAAGGGGGTAAAATCGGCAAAAAGTAGTGCGCGCGCTACAAAAAATCTATTGCTGGCCGTATTACGGCAAAATACGTCCGCGATGCATATTACCGATTATGCCAACAGATAGAGGACACTTTAACGGACACGACAGTATCAACATTATGTACCTGGGGAGTAGTATAAGGGGGGTAAAATCGGCAAAAAGTAGTGCGCGGGCTACAAAAAATCTATTGCTGGCCGTATTGCGGCAAAATACGTCCGCGATGCATATTACCGATGATGCCAACAGATAGAGGACACTTTAACGGACACGACAGTATCAACATTATGTACCTGGGGAGTAGTATAAGGGGGGTAAAATCGGCAAACAGTAGTGCGCGCGCTACAAAAAATCTATTGCTGGCCGTATTACGGCAAAATACGTCCGCGATGCATATTACCGATTATGCCAACAGATAGAGGACACTTTAACGGACACGACAGTATCAACATTATGTACCTGGGGAGTAGGTTAAGGGGGGTAAAATGAGGAATAAGTAGTGTGCGCACCACCAAAAATCTATTGCTGGCCGTATTACGGCAAAATACGTCCGCGATGCATATTACCGATTATGCCAACAGATAGAGGACACTTTAACGGACACGACAGTATCAATATTATGTACCTGGGGAGTAGTATAAGGGGGGTAAAATCGGCAAAAAGTAGTGCGCACGCTACAAAAAATCTATTGCTGGCCGTATTACGGCAAAATACGTCCGCGATGCATATTACCGATTATGCCAACAGATAGAGGACACTTTAACGGACACAACAGTATCAACATTATGTACCTGGGGAGTAGGTTAAGGGGGGTAAAATGAGCGATAAGCAGTGCGCGCACCACCAAAAATCTATTGCTGGCCGTATTACGGCAAAATACGTCCGCGATGCATATTACCGATTATGCCAACAGATAGAGGACACTTTAACGGACACGACAGTATCAATATTATGTACCTGGGGAGTAGTATAAGGGGGGTAAAATCGGCAAAAAGTAGTGCGCGCGCTACAAAAAATCTATTGCTGGCCGTATTACGGCAAAATACGTCCGCGATGCATATTACCGATGATGCCAACAGATAGAGGACACTTTAACGGACACGACAGTATCAACATTATGTACCTGGGGAGTAGTATAAGGGGGGTAAAATCGGCAAAAAGTAGTGCGCGCGCTACAAAAAATCTATTGCTGGCCGTATTGCGGCAAAATACGTCCGCGATGCATATTACCGATGATGCCAACAGATAGAGGACACTTTAACGGACACGACAGTATCAACATTATGTACCTGGGGAGTAGTATAAGGGGGGTAAAATCGGCAAACAGTAGTGCGCACGCTACAAAAAATCTATTGCTGGCCGTATTACGGCAAAATACGTCCGCGATGCATATTACCGATTATGCCAACAGATAGAGGACACTTTAACGGACACGACAGTATCAATATTATGTACCTGGGGAGTAGTATAAGGGGGGTAAAATCGGCAAAAAGTAGTGCGCGCGCTACAAAAATTTTTTTAAATTTTACAGCTGATCAAAATGTAAACAATTACGTTCTTCATAACTTGAGAAAAATAGGTCATGCAAAAAATATTGTGTAGCCTAAAACGCATCAATATTTGAGCATCATGAAATGTTATTATATCATTGTGTAAGCAGTTCCATCTGGTAACATAGGATTCCAACTCCCACGACACCGGGGCGGCGCCGTGTTGGTGTCGTGTCGTGCAGTGTGAAAACGGCCATTGGCGGAGAGGGGGAACATACCCTCCCTCGCCGTTACCTCCCCTACATGCGCTAAAAATTTCGGGCAGGTCGTTTTCTAAGCGGCCGACCTAGGCTATAGCAGATTTCTGTACTATAATCAGTGCAAGTAAGCGCACTTTGTCGGGTGACTGTAGTTTGTGAACAAAGTATTTATTCCCTTTTTGTTGCTGCCTCTATTCTTGAGTTGTAGTTATACTTCCTCAACAGAGAGAACATTAAAGTAATAAAAACTTTAAGTTATTAAACCTAAGATATCCCCAAAAAATATATTTTACAAAATCTGTTGTGTAATTTCTGGATCATGAGGCATAGTATTAGGGATATTAGGCATAGAATGGAGACCTAATAAAAGGGCAAAATTCCAGGTTTTGACGTACCAGGCTCTTATAAAACAATGCCGTTGTCTCTTTGCTAAAGACTCCTTTGGTAGTTTTTCAAATCCTAACAAATTTGATTTGCTGCAGATATCATTAAGGTGGTTTCCACCTGGGATTGTGATTTGTTGGAAACTCTGAGATAAATTGATGCAGTTATCCTCTGCAGCACATCCAACCCAGAGCTCAAATTGGTCATGGCAATTTATTTATTTTTAGTGCACAGCATTGAAGTCCAACTGTAGTTGTACCGATTGTAATCACTCATTTGATCCATTTACTAGCCACATGTCAAGAGACATTAAATAGTTAGGATGATTCTATTCAATTTAACAATTAAATGTATTTCTTACTTTTCAATGCTTCAACTGTAAATAACTTTTATTTATTCAAGCATTCAATGAATCAATTAAGAAAAATGCCACATACTGAGATTTAAATTAATTATTTACATGTACGAATACTTTATTTGCCTTCAAAAGTGAAAATGTAGTACTTTTAATCATTCAGAATTTACTAAACATGATTTTAACTACTTCAGAAACCCTAGAAAATCAAAATATACTCCATTTAATTTTACAGGGATATTTTCTATGTAATACAAAAATGTATGGTCAAAATTCATACTTTTCCTTTTTTGCAGATTTGATAACCTTAAAAAAAAAAAAAAACGTAATCAGGAGCAAGCAAAGAGAAACATTCAGAAGAGAGATATAAAACCATTGAGAACGATTTGTCTTTAATCCTGACGTAGGACTTAGCCATTATAATGGCTTCAAATAATTTAAGAAGAGTATCACTTTCATTTAAAAAGGTTATTTTTAATTTTCACCAAAAGCTTGAACTCAATACCAGATATGGTTATTTTCTTGAAAATAGTGTGTTGAATGAAAGTCATCTTTTCAATGCCAAGCGTTTCTTTGGAACAAACTGTTGCCTCGGTTGCAATCACCATTTCAACCCAAGCATCTTGAAGATAACTAATAACCATTATTACTACAAACAACCTCACACTTCAAGAATAGTATTTTGTGCTGTTGCCGGAATATTCAGCTTTTTTCAAACGAAAGAAGATGAAGAAGAGTCTGAATTAATTATGACAATTAAAAGAGCGGTGTTGATGATCCAGGTAAGAGTTTAACAACTTATTAGTTTAGCATTTAAAAGACTTAATCAAATAGAAATACTGCAGTAGGCTAGTTTGGGCTGGAAATATTTATAAACTTAATTTGAATGAAAATTAATTATAGATTCGTGGTCTTCTGGCAAAAACTGTGTCAAAATTGGCTAAACACTTCAATTCACTTTGCCCATTGTTTATTGCTGTCAAAAAGGAATCGTTAATGCCTACTTTCACAAATTCTGTAGGTAAGTCACTTAAAATTTGAAAAAAAAATTAATTCTTTAAGTCCTATCCCCACTTTTTGGGATTTTACAAAGTAAGATTAGTTTTAAATAAAAAATTCCATCATTCATACTTAAGTCATCTTTCTCACATCTGTAGGTACTGTACAATATAATACATACACAATTTACAGTTTCACATTTGTTGTGACAGAATGGACTTAGCACCCTCGCTTTGGAGGGGGAATGAGGACACTATTGTTCCTGTTGTTATCAGTCACTCATACCATTTCAGTTGCCATCATGGTTTGGACCAGACACCTCCGAGATTATGCTGTGTGTTTGTGTTTAAATATAATGTTGTTTAATGCGAACACCTTACACCTAATACGTTTATCCAGAAAAAGTCTGAAGAAAGTAGTAGCCCTTCTCTTAAAACTGAAAACAAAGGTCAGCGAGAACACCGGATAATGTTGTATTCGCACCAGGAACAGCTCCATTGTGCTGAATAAAAAAACCTCCAGCGAAAAGCTCTCTGCGGCAAAATCACTGACCTCATGCAAACATACAACATAACCTCGATGTTGTCTGGTCTAAAAACCATAATGGTGACGAATCATTATTAGTGACTGATGAGAACCAAACAAATAGTGTCCACCTCCTGTATCCAAAGCCGGAGTAACTATGTGAGTCAAACTGTTAGTCCATTCTGCCGAATCATGTACAGCTACAAAACAACAAATAAACAATACAGTTTTAAAAATCATGCAGTTAAAGCAATGGAAATTTAAAACAATTATGGAGAACCCTTTTCTTTTTTCTTTTATCTCATCTATGTTCAACTATGAAACAATAAATAATATATTCTAATCATAACAGTAATGGGATCTTTTCCTTTAAGTCACTAACTTCAGGTTAAAAAAAGGTATAATTATCTACAAAACTATGCTCATGCTTAGGTTATTTTAAGTTGGGTAAGGTTAGGTTAGAGCTGAGGCATAAGCTAAACCATAGATAAAACACACTCCCTTCTCATTCTTATGGCTGAAGTAAATTTTATTGTTAGTTCTGTATGTCGCACTGTAGAGGTTGTGTTTTGTTTAAAATTAGTTTCTTGTTATTTCAGCCATTTAAAACCTCGTTTAGCCAAATAAAACTATCTAATCATAAACAATAACTGATCTCCTAGTTATATAACAAATCAGTAAAGCACAAATCATGAAAATGACTCTAAAATAATAGAAACTAAATTTCGTCTACACTAGCGATCAGTGTCGACGTACATGAACTAGACGTGAAAAACGAGCTTAAAAATTTACAATGGGAAGAGAAGTCTACTTGTGTTGGTTAGTCTATGGCTAAACCTCCAATCTCATGTAGTTACAACTTATGGTGGTAGGAAAACAATGATAAAGATCCAAGTAAGTTTTTACCGGGTAAAAATTAACTAAAAATATAAACAGCCATGACCTGTCTACCATAAGTTGTCCTAATTTAATTTCTGTTACTGTAATCCTGTAGAAGTAGACACCAAAAGGAGAAAAGAAACTTAACTAAGTTCATCATTCAGGCAACCTATCCATCATTACAATAGTGTCTGCAGCTAAATTCCCAATGGGAAACCCAGTATCATGGCTCTTGATGCTTTTTTTACCTAAAAAATTACTGGTGACCAATTGTCTAACAGTGACAGTGTCATACACTGGCTCAGGTAGTGTTACTGTAATGTACACCTTGTTGAAGAATGGGTTTCCCTACTTTCCCTTCCCTCCATAACCAAACTTCTTTTACTTCTGGATCCTCATAAAACACTCTCAGATCTTGGTTTGTTAAGCAAACTGCTTTAAAACTACTTGTCTGCTTTTCTCTCATTTCCGGTACCTAATATAATATTTTTACTTCAGCACGATGAGTTCAAAGGTGCTGAACAAATGCTTCACCTCGCCTTACGGCTGGCTCAGCAGACCCAGAACAATGATGGAATCACTTATGTTCACGACCTTTTGGCAAATGTTGCCTTCGCACAGGGAGAGCTTGATAAGGTATGGTGTGTTTTTGTTAGATTTCTACTCCTCTCAGATATCATAGTTAAGTTTTCCCTTATTTTTTCAAGTGCCTGAAGCCCCTGTCACACGAAGCTGGTTTTTTCACCGCTAGTAACTAGCAGCTAGAACCAGCATAAAGTGACGGATTCTCCAGCTGCTAGAAGCACTCACATGAGCTGGTATCTCTAGCCGCTGGAGGGTTTAAACAGTTTAATATTACAAGCGCTTGAAGAGTCTCTAGCAGGTCATGTGACCATCCAGCTGTGGTCTCTAGTGCCATTCCAGCTCTGTCTAACAGTATCGTGTTAGTTCTTGTAATAAGACAAATTAATTTAATAGATTTAAACTAATCAAGAACAAATTTAAAACTTCAAGTTTAGAATTTTGTTCACAATTGCCATAATTGGAAAAGCAAGTTTAGCAGCATCCGTAAACCTTTGTTACGATCACAACAAAATCGAAAAGATCTTCCAAGATCGCAGCAACATCCACAATCTCCCACTGCAGTTGTGATTTTTTACTTTATACACAACTAGTCATTGAAGGGCCCTCAATGATTGGAAACCTAGTTTGTAAGGTTTTGTCGACGATTATTAAAAAAACTTTTCCCAGCCCTATACAATACGGATCACTGTCTTTTTCACGGTTATCAAAACTTAAGTACAATTTTATAAACACCGAATCTCCGGTTCCTGACATGGATGATGCCTAGTTATTTAATTTCATTTACAGTAACACATAATTGAACTTGCGATTAATTAAATCTGTTATGTAAGGTTTTTAATCTCGCTTGGTTTGGATTTGCTTATAAAACATGATCAGAAATGGTTGCTGTATTTGTAAACAACATTATTTAATGTAAACATATCAGTGACAGCTAGGAAAAATAATCTTTAACCAAACAGGGGCCCTATTTTTGAAATGGTTGACTGTTGAGTTGAGTGTTGAGTCATTCTATTCCCAATCGTTTTGTATTTTTGAAACGATTGACGGTCGACTTATCCAACCAAAACTACTCACCACCTACTGAGCTGTTGAGTGGACGGTTGACTGCACTTTCTTCTTCCTCTTTCAGTAAAAAATTGCTCTTTTTGAGTCGACGCCATATTGTTTTGCTTTAATTTATTAATTTCGATTTAGAGGTTATGTATTTGTTGTCAATGTCTTAGCACCCAATACTATTATGCGATTGTTTTCTGTAGAATAATAGCATTTTAATTTTATTTACTGTGTCAATACTAGACTATTTAATCAAGGGTTTTATCCTTGTTGGTATGTTTGAAATAGACTAGGCATACTAATTGAACTTATTATAAGATAATTATTGTTATTAGACCTATGATTTAAGGTATTAAAGATTGTGGTAGAGAGAAACAATATCATAGTTTGTTTCAATACCATTCACCTAATAAAGGGATCAAATTAATTTAAGTTACGATATGCTTTCAGTGCAATGGCAAATAGCCGCTTTAACCTAAATAAAAACACAATTAAAAATAACATTAAGGTGATGTGTTCCGAAATAGAGACGAAGAAAGCAAATAATAATGTATTTAGGATATGCCTAAACTTATAATTAGCTACATCCTAAAACAAACATCCTTAGTACATTTTATTTTTAATACTTAAGTTTATATAAGTTAAGGTACTTTTGCAATCACTAAGATTAAGCAAGACATAACCTCAATCTCCCAAGAACGGAGTTGACAGTTTACCTCAGTGTCTCGAAATATGGTAGATTAAGATTAGCTGATCCAGATTTTAGAGTAAGAAGAGGTTAAATTGAAGATCGCAAGAACTCTGCATTGTGATTGGTTCAAAATGACGTCATCTGAATTTCGGGCGGTTGTATGCCCTACATTTACAAAACGAGTCACTAGTGATTCCTAACTCACTTAACAACTGTTGGGTTTCAAAAATACCAAATCCTGTTGGTTGAGTTGAGTGTTGACGATAGACTCAACTGTCAACCATTTCAAAAATAGGGCCCCAGCTGTTTGTTATTTCATAGATGACGTATGTGGTAAACATTGGAAGAAAACTTGACAAAAATAACACAAAATTGGGTTTTGATGGTTCATTTATTTGATTTGAATCTTGATTGGTACTCTAGTTTTCCCAGAGTAGGCCGCGTAAATTGGACAGATGGACAGACAGACAGACAAAAAGACAGAAATTGAGAAAAGACACGTTTTGGCTTTCTTAGGCTATGAATTGTAAAAAACCAAAACTTCATGATTCTACGCAATGTACAGACAAAACTGTACAGATAGATTGTTTGAAGTATTCCATTTAAGTAATGTTTTAAAACTTTTACTTTCGGGCCAGTGACATAATGTGTTTATGTTTATGATCCATACGGTTTCTGCTATTAGTATATATATTACCCTAGGTCGGTTTGGATTGTTTTACTTTAGCAACACCAATAGGATAAATCAAATCATATCTACTTAAAAGGAAAATAATTAAGTTTAAAATGGCTGTAAGAAAAAATGCAACACCAACAATAACGATTTAAAGTAGTGGTGTGTTGTATTGAAAAAGTGACTCAATATCACTGGTTCTTGGGAAAAGTTGGTTATATGTAATTGCCAATTGGGCAGGCCTACGCACCAATAGGAGATGGCCCTTAGGCCTATTGGCGGTGGTATGGTCTAATGATGGCAGCGCAATAGCGGTGAGTCAAAACCAAAAGTGACATATTGGAAAAGAGTGTTTAGCAAAAAAACACTGTTACAATCATAACTAAATCGTAAAGGACTTCTGGGATCGCAGCAACACCCGCCACCACCCACTGTAGTTGTGATTATTTACTTGATACAACAGCCATTGAAACGCCGTTAATGAGTGGAATTCTCGATTCTAGGCTATTGGTGACTATGATTTAAAAATGTAAGTATTCCATATTATACAACACAGATTTTTGGCATTTTTTCCTGTTATCAAAACTCAAGTAGATCACCCACTGCAGTTGTGATTTTTTTACTTGATACAACAGCCATCGAAATGCCGTTAATGAGTGGAATCCTTGATTGTAGGCTTTTGGTGACGATGATTTAAAAATGTAAGTTTCACAGTCTTATACACCACCGATTTACGGTATTTTTCGTGGTTATGAAAACTCAATTAGAAGTTGATAGACATAGAATCTCCAAGTTCCTGACCTGGATGATGATTATTTTAGTTTACAGTTACACGTTTTTGTTTTTGCGATCAATTAAATCCGTTATGTAAGTCAAAAGGTCACTTAAGGTAACTCACTTGGTTCAATGAATGGGCTTCGATTTGCTTACTAAATGTGATTGGAAATGTTGCAGTATTTGTAAACAATATTTAATGTAAACATATCAGTGACAGCTAGAAGTGAGAATCTTAATCAAACAGCTGTTCGCTATTTCATAAATGACGTATGTTTATAAATGACATTACGAGTAACTTGACAAAAATCGCACAAAATTGTGTTTTTGATGGTTCATTATTTTATTTCCAAAGTAGCAAGGCCATATTTCAATAGCCAAAGACATTCTCACCAATCCAGTGAATACAGAAAAATGATTTGAATCTCGGTCGGTACTCTAGTTTTTGAGTAATTTGACATTTTGGCGTGACAGACAGGAAGACAGACAGAAATTGAGAATAAGACTCGTTTCGACTTTCTTAGGCTGTGAAACATAAAAATAACAAAAAACTGCATGATTCTACGCATTGTACAGACAAAACTGTAATTTTTTTATATAGGTAGATGATTTATAACACAGATGTTTTTTTATATGTTATTAAAAAAGTATTATTAAATGTTTGAATGAAAACTAACTGGAAGAGACTCTTTCCGTCGAAGAGAGAAAAGGTTAACTAAAATTATGTTTTATTTGTCGAAGAGGTGGACATAGGCCTAACTTAAAAAATTGTAACGTAAATAAACCTTGTGTCTACTGTAAACAAGGGACAAACCATCTTAGGAGTCTTTTTCCCAAACGATTCTCTCAAACCCCCAGAAGTAATGAAACCTTTTATACTAACTCTACTTTTTCCAAAGAAACTTCCCTGATTTCGACAAATGAAAATACAATTTTACAAACTGCAAAAGTATATGTTATGAATGATGACTTGATCGGAACTGCTAGAGTTCAGTTTGACACTGGGAGTCAGAGGTCGTATATTTCAAAGGGTCTTGCTGTAAAACTTAAACTTGATTGTAACAATACACAATTCTTATCAGTTTTTACCTTTAATACAGAAGCTATGACCGTTGAAACCCAAACTGTTACTGCCGGTATTAAACTACTTGATGGAAACTTACTTAAGATTAACTGTAATGTCTTACCAAAAATTAGCGGAAAACTTCATGCCTGCTCTACAATTTGTCAGTCAAATCAGGAAACTTTACCCCTCATTGATATTTGCTGAAAATCAGAATGAGGATTATTAGGTTGATCTTTTAATTGTGATTGATTATTACTTAGATATAATAACATGTGAAAGGATAGAGTTAAAGACTGGCCTTTACCTGATCAGTTCCAAAGTTGGTTGGATTGTGGCAGCAGGGACGTATTTAACTATCTGCCGCCTCTAGGCAGGGAATAAGTTAGCCGCCCCCTCCCCTACCATCGTCAGTGCGCTCACCGACCACAATAAAATTAAAATCACCCCAATACATGTCCTGCCAGCTGTTTTTGTAAAAAAGTAATCGGCAATTGCATGCTGCATCAATAGATAAAATAACATTTTTAGAAACCCTCTTTTACAGACGTTTTTGTTTCCCCATTTTTATGCAAAACGCGATTCTGTTTTGCATACAGGGAAAGCAATGTTGTTGTCTCCAATCAGGAAAGTCATAATCGCTACATCTACATTTGGACAAACTGATTGATGATCTTCTTCTCTAATTTCTTTCAAAAGCCTTAGCGGAGGGATTTTATTAAGCCGGGTTTACACGCTACGATAAAACATAACGACTTGTCTGCAACGACTAATAGTTACGTTTTGTCGGAGGTTGGGCGGTCCATTTACACGTTCCGTCTTTTCCTCCAACTTTGGCTCAAACCACTACCGTTTGATGTCTCTTGTTGTGTAGAAGTTAATATAGGCTACCTGTATATTTGACGATGGATGAATTACTGTTGTGGTCGGTTTACGTTATTTGTGTTGCAACAAGTTTCAAGAGGAAAAGTTATTTCCTGTTCCTGTCGGAATAGTCTTTATTTTTACGTGCCATAAGCAAGGTAAACTCTTGTACAGTTCAATAAAGTCTATGAGAAAATCAGGAGAGGCTTGACGGATGTCTAACATTTTATGTGACAAATAAATGTTACACTGACTCAAAATAGTAAAACAACACTACAACAGTCAAAATCAGTTAACACAACATAAAATACAGTAAACTAACAAAACGTTAAAACAACGTCAAATACAGTAAAACACAACAAACGTTGCAAAATCGGCAAGTGAGGGTCTACAGGTTGCAACGAAGACTGAGTCACCGTTTACACCCAACGACTTGTCGCCACGATCAACAGAAAGTCGCTACGATCTAGAGAAATTGGTGAACATTTCCGCCAACCTTCCTCCAACTCAGACAAAACGTAATGACTTCCAGTTTACACGTTCCGACTTGCATGAAAGTTTTGTCGTTGCAGACAAATCGTTGCGTTTTATCGGAGCGTGTAAACCCGGCTTTAGGTTTTTACTTTGGACATTTGGACATCAAGTTAGAGTTTAATATAATTTTTGTTCTTATCTTAGCTGGGGTCTTCTTTATTTTTCAAGTCTTGCCTTGACACTTTCAATATAGGATTTATGGTGTAGGCCTACAAGCTCTACAAGCTTAAAAAATTTATAAATATATACAATACGACTCTCTTCCACACACAGAGGTATTCCCTCTTTGTGGACGATATTTCGCTAATTTAAAAAGCTTTTTTATATGTTTATGTTTATATTAAATTTTATATTATTAAAATACCAAACAATATTGTAAACATTTCATATTGTAAACATGGTACTAACATGATGTAATTTGTAAATATTTTGGCGGAATAAATGCTATTTTGATTTGATTTGATTTGATCTTCAAAGAAGCTATCTTCAACATCTGATAAGTGATCAGATCCATCACCAGCTTCTCTTAGTTTATGTCCATATTACAGATGTCAATGTCATTTGCGCTGCTGCAGCATAGTAACGAACAATAGCAGGGGGAGGTAGGCCTACATTATGCGTACGTAGCGGCTGGCAGCCCACGCCCGCGAGCCGTGACGTGTCCGCTAGACCGACAGGGCAGCACGGAAAAGACGACAAAGCCATATAATAAATTATCGACTTTGACTTTAATGTGTTCTGAAATCATTTTATTCTCAATGAAAGTATAAAAATATCATTTTTGCAGTTCTAAAAATGTTTCTCAACATTTAGTATTTTTTTTAGATCAACACCTCCTTTTTGATTATTTACCTTCCAAAATTTTGCCGCCCCTAAAATTTGCCGTCCTAGGCGCGCGCCTAGTCCGCCTATTCAGAAATGTGTCCCTGAGTGGCAGAGAAAACTTCCATGATAAAATGGAGAATGTATATTCATCCTCCTTTCTCACTACAATTCAGCCCACTAATCTTTTTGAAATGAAGAAGTACTTTGAAAAGTCTGACTCTCAAAAAGTAAAGGATTTGATGAATGTAAGGAACTTGCGGATCTGTGACATTGACTTTCTGTTTTACCAATGCAATAGTTATGTAGAACTGATCACTCTACATGACATGATTAGACAGCCAAATGAAAAAGCGCGCTTTCATTGTTGCAACAATAACAGAGGAGTCAGAGTTGAACACCAGCTGTAACTGTTGATTTGAGGCTCAGCCACGGCTACCGTGAGCGATAAGGAAGCTACATAACCTTTGACCGTCAAGCGTTGTCCAGTCGACATTGGAAGTAGAGAGTCTGCTACATTAAGTAGTAGTAGAGAGAGAGAGACGAGAGCGTGCACGAGACTTCAGGTAGAGAGCCGTAACCGACATCAAGCCCTTCAGCATCGCTGGATTTTTGTGAGCCTAAATTGGAATTTGGCTAAGGTGAGCTGCTACCATGTTATAAAAATGTTATACTTGAGTTTCATGAGTAGTACAGCTAATTTGGCCTAATCATTAATATTGAAGTATTTAAAAAAAAAAAAATAACTCAACTAAGCCTTGGGCATAGAATGAGATTGTCAGAACATGTGAGCAAACATGTAATTAAATAAAACGAGATACTAATTAATGGTTTTATACTAAGTATAACAGAAGTAATTAGTTTAGAACCTTCTAACTGAAAAAGTGCTAAGGTTAACAAACAAAAAAAAAGGGCTTTTTCCCTGGACCTGCGTCTTGGCATTGACTGGTGACCTTGCTGACCCACGAGTGTGATCGTCTGCAGGACTGTTGGACCACTGCGAGTGTCAGCACCGTTGTTTGGCACCTAGAGGACATTACGCGCTGGTCACACTTGCGCTGTGATATCCGGTTGTGGACCGTACGGACAATACGGCCTTTGTGTGTCGGCCTTTGTGTGTCGTTATCGGTGCTTCTATTCGGTGAGTAGACTTTCATTTTCACACCCTTTGAATCACCCCGGACGACCGGGCGGCATCGGTCACTATCAAGTGGAACCTGTGACCTTGGACTCTGGCAAGATAAGGATTTGGAGTGAATGACTAATTATATCCAGTTCTGAGCTCTGAGATAGAAATATTTATTGTCTTGTTTAACTCCTGAATTGAAGCTAGCTATTAGGTGTATTTATATTTATGCATGAGGGTATGTGTTTGTTATATCTTTTGAATAACTATTATTATATTTAAATTAAGTTACTATTGGAGTGCTCCTAGGGACTTGATTTGGTATTTAACAGAACTGGCCAGTATTTAATTAAGTAAGTTATTTGCATGAATCTCACTAAGTGAACTATTTATCACTATCCTAATTGCTCTCCTTCACTTGTAGTATTTAAGATCTTAGCTTTGGATTGGAAGAGAAATAGGCAATACAAGTGTATACAATTCAACATATAGTCTTTATTTGTGTTTACCTAGTAGTATCGCAGGTTATTGTCTAGATAATTTTTAATCTGATTGATTACTGAGTTGTCAATTACAAAATAATATTTTGTTTTGTTTATGAGTTTGGGTGGTTAAATAATTTAAAGGTTTACTGCTCATCCAAGTGCTTAAGGCCTAGTTTTGAAAAGTCAGATTAAACTTTTGAGTGCATGGTAGCGGGCTTACTTGATGATACCTTAGGGCAGGAAAACATTCCTTGTTGGAGTCCTGCAACTGATCCATCCTAACAACAAGGTGGCGCCCTCTCTCGAGCAAATCCCGACCAACTTGGTAACAATCCAAGGGTGACCTGCTATCAATAATCCAGACTTAGATAAGCTACGAATTTCCCCCCACCACTCACGCCCTTCTCCACTGAGCTAGGCTATCAAAAGTGATATCTCAGGTGCCAAGGTGGCAGATCATAGAGAATAATTTAGGAATCCACGACTGTCCCTATCAGAACAATGATGCCATAGCTTTATGTGGATTTAAGAAAAAGGTCAAAATGGAAAATGGTAGGCCTGAAAATGAATGTCCAGAGTGGAAATATAACTCTCGAGAATTGAAAGAAGAAGAGAATGGAACAGAAGAAGTAGATGTCCTAACTGATGCCTCCATAAACAGAATCGTTGAAACCCCATTGGGAATAAACTACACCCAATTGGAAACTGTTCTCGGGGAGTCTGAGGTACTTATAAACTCAAGATCACTTGTCTATGCATCCTCCAGTGAATCATGTGTACACATAGAGTTTAGTAGAATATGTTTACAGATGACATAATTAGTCCAGGACACTTTTTGGATTTCCACGGAAAAAATGGAGTCTTAAACAAGAGGGTCGAAGATAAAAGAACTGTCACTATTTAAAAATAATAGATATCAACTGTGAAAAGGCCTTTGGACGTTTTTGAAGAAAGTCCTACCTCGTGGGAAATGGAATTTTACTCAACTAAATTATATACACACTTCTACACTAAAACTTTTAACTGGTCCAGAAAAACCTCTTTCCTTACTATTTTTGTGTCACCTTTAGAGCAATGCTAAGGAAGAACTTTTCCCATTTATTCAACAATACTCGTATTGTCAATGAAACATGTACTAAGTCAAAGATGTCTACACTTGACTGTATTCCTGTAAAAGAACATTGTTGTATGTTGTATGATAGTCAAGCAGATTTAGTTTATTCATTCCCTAAACTGAAGTGTCTGAGGATGGCATCTCGCCGAAACATGTAACACTATGTTACTTTTGGAACTACATGACAGGTAATAAAAACCCATTCGGTCGTTATTGCAGTTTCGGGGCTATCACAAAGAATTATAAATGGTAGTAGGCAATTAAACTTATGTTTTGGGTATGAAAATTTCAATTTTAGTTTGGTTCAAGGCAGAGGTGCTGTTCAAAGACGTAATGCAGAGAGAGTTAGCTAAAGGAACGGCTCAAGACGACCTTAAGATCATTCACATGAGCTTGAAGTTGGCCAAAATATATGAGCAGAAACATGATATGGTGTAAGTTTTTTCTTGTATTTTGCTATTATTAAGTAACTAGTGTACATGTTGCTCAAAATCGAGCAATTGCAAAGAAGTACAGGAGTTATCTATAAACAAATGACTTGTTTAAAAACTAATAAGAGTCATAATTTCTGATTATTTTTAAAGAGTTGACTAAAAGATTATTAACTAATTGAAATACTCACAATTTACATAACAGTCCCATTCCAGTTTAAAGGGTTAATTTTTAACTATCAAACTGCCCATGGACGGGAAATGGTAAGCTTACAATTCAAGTCAACGTAAAAAGGCTGTCAGCTTTTATAATGTACCGTACCTAAGTTATTTAGCCAATTTGTAGACAATAAGGTGTAGGCTACTTTAAACTCTACAGAACAGAGTTAGGCAAAAACTGGCAGAACTCTGAAATGAACATCCAAAACTACCCATTTTTAATACAACATTAGATAATTTGCACATTGACTGTTTACAATTAACACATGTTCTTCTTCTCACTTTTAATTTTTGATTCGCGACGGCAAAAATCTGTTTCATAATCATTGAATTAGATTTATAATAAATAATCCATCATAAAGTTTAAGATTAAATAAACCTACTACATAGCCTAGTTGTTTTATTTTTTTGGATCAGCTGTCTGAAATTGTGAAATAAACATTTGACAATTCTGGTTGTTTACATTTAAATGTCAAAGCAAATGTAAACATTGTGAATTTTCTTATGCTTCCATGGAGACGGATTTTTAATATTTAATTTCTGACAACAGCTGAAGTTTCAAAACAATGTTTGTTTTCCATGTTAATCTTATGGAGAAATACAAAACTTTAAAGGGCCCCAGGGCCTCACTCTCTAATTATTTCCCTAAAAAAAAAAGTTTCCTGCACAACTTCACGTTACGCTCTTTCCAATGACACCAAAAACATGTCAATCGGTTCAGTAGTTTCAGAGGAGTAATTGTCACAAAAATCCTGCTTGCGTATTAAATAAGTAATATAGATTATGTAGAAAATATGTAGGTTATAGCATTTATTCTTTTGTACGACTTCACCTTTCAAATAAAAACTGTTATTTCCATAAATAAATTTAATAGTTTGTAGGAGCATGCCTGATACATTTATGAGAATCAACTATTACTAGTTGCTGTACCCGTGCTTCGCAACGGGGAAAAATCAGTTTCATAATCATTGAAATAGATTTAGAATAAATAATCCATCACAAAGTTTAAGATTAAATAAACCTACCACATAGTTGTGTAAAATATTTTATTTTATTTTTCTTTATCAGCTGTCTGAAATTGTGAAATAGGCATTTGACAGTTCTGGTTGTTTACATTTAAATGTCAAAGCAAAGGTAAACATTGTGAATTTTCTCATGCTTCCATGGAGTCCATTTGTTGTTATTTTCTGACAACAGCTGGAGTTTCATAACAATGTTTGTTTCCCATGTTAATCTTATGGAGAAATACGAACCTTTAAAGGGCCCCAGGGCCTCACTCTCAAATTATTTCCCTAAAAAGAAAGTTTCCTGCACAACTTCACGTTACGCTCTTTCCAATGACACCAAAAACATGTCAATCGGTTCAGTAGTTTCGGAGGAGTAATTGTCACAAAAAACCTGCTTGCGTATTAAATAAGTATATAGATTTTATAAAGGAGTACTGTGTACATTTTTGATAAATTTTGGAAATCAATTTATTTTTTTAGCGAATTTCCCATATAGGGAATAACCTATTACCGCAAGTCTCATGGTAAGACCTAGAGCCGGGACTGATTTGCTTTTACGTTTTGAGGTCCCCAGAGTCCAAAAACACCATCCGTTAAAATTCATATATATATATAACTAGCGGTTACCCACAGGCTTCAACCCGTTCGACTTCATATGTATTAATAAAACTATTGATTGGTTAAGTTAAGCTGAAAAAAAAGAACACAGTAATACAAACAAATAATCACACCTGATTTTAATAAGGCAATAAATTTAAAGAATAACGTACAAATAATTACAGCTGAGATATTTTTAACATTAGGTATATGGAAAGTTCCCTTTGTAAAGCAATTACGACCTTAAAGTGCAATTTATGAAATAATGGATAGTTTTGCGCAAGGTTTCTCATCATGACTAAAATTTTAAGTGTATGGTTTATGGAGGGGGTAACTTGTAGTTTTCTCAAAAGTTCATGGGTACTTTGGGCTTTATATATGGATATGTCCGTTAGCGCGATAACTCGAGCAAAAATGATCTGATTCTGATGAAATTTGGTACAAACGTGTAAACCTACTATCATTGAAACGAGTTCGTGAACCAGCATAACTGGACTATGGGAACGGAGTTTTATGAGGTAAAAATTGATTTTTCCCCCAGAAATATTTCATAATTTCTCTACAAACCATTTTGCAGAGCTTAAAAAAAGAAATAATTTTGTACATTCATGCGTTGTTGTATGCCCAACGGTTACGGAGATAATTTAAAAAATTGTAAATTCAAAATTCATATGTTATTCTTATGGAGAATAAATCAACTGTTAATTGTAGTTTGCTTGTTTATGGATATATTTAAAAAACCAAATTTGGAAATTTTGTTTTTTTAATACTAAGCTATCGACATTGCAATAAAAAAATACCCCCGCCGCAGCAAACCTGCCGACTCAGCAAATTTCCATTTGTCTTAATTGATTTTCAATTAAATATATTTTAATAACATTAGGTTTAACAAGTACCTAGGTTTGCTGCTACAAGGAAACTAATAAAGTGTGTGTTTTCGTAAAATATTGATAGCTTAGTACAAAATAAATAAATTTGATCAAAATACAAAATATATCCATAAACAAGCAAACTACAACATTTGACAATATTCTCCATAAGAATAACATGGGAATTTTAAATTTAAAATTTTTTTTAATTTTCTCCGTTACTATTAACGGAACAAAAATACTTTTATATACTAAATTAATTGTTTTTAAGCTCTTTAAAAAGGTTTAAAGAGAAATTGGGAAATTTTTTGTTTTGAGGGTCAAAAGTGAGAAAAACCAATTTTTACCCCATAAAAACCCCCGTAAAGCCCCGTTCCCATGGTCCGATCATGCTGGTTTGCAAACTCATTCAAGTTAATCTCGCTTTACACCTTTAAACCAAATTTCGTCAAAATCGGATAAAAATTACTCTTGTTATCGCGTTCACGGACGTATATATATATATATAAAAATTTGAACGAATGGTGTTTTTGGCCTCTGGGGACATCAAAATGAAAAAGTTAATCGGTCCCGGGTCTAGGTCTTACCGTGCCACCTACGGTAATAGCTACTTCCCTATAGGGAAATTCGCTAATAGCTACTTCCCTATAGGGAAATTCGCTAAAACATCTCAATATCTTCCCTGTAGCAGCAAACCTAAGTACTCACTAAAATTAATGTAAATGAAATAGAAAATAAATCTGTCAATTTTTAGGGAATATTTTAGTAGAAATCCAGCCAGGTAAATGGAAATTTGCTTTGCCTGCAGGTTTGCTGTGGTGAGGGTATATATAGTTTTATCAATACTATTCTACCTTTTATCTGAAGGGCTATGGTTAGAGTAGTGTAATTGAAAATCTGCCTTAAAACATTAACCCTTGCCGACAGACCGCCACCGCCCACCAATGCTCGAGCGAACACCATTACCGCTACAATAAGTTGAACAGCCGTAGGTCTCGTTGGTGTAGTGGATAGCGCACCGGGCCGATATTACAAAGGTAGCCGGTTCGAAACTCACCGGAGGCATTAACTTTTTGACTCGATTTTTTTCATTATCAGCAAGTTTGGTTGGTTTGGTTAGGTTAATTTAGGATAGTTTAATTTTATAATTAAAAAACTATATAATTGATTTTGAGACATTTATAATTTAATTTTATGAACAGAACTATTTTTGTTATTAGTAAACCTTCATTCGAAATTTTCATTATCAGCAAGTTTGGTTAGGTTATGACAGTTAAATTAATTTAAATTTAACCTACAAACGACACGTTTTGACAGCGACAGTGATAGAGAAAACCATTTCCCACGAACAGTTCGGCTATGCACGGTATGATGCGTTCTGCACGGCGCGGTGGTGGGCAGTTAAGTGGCGGTCTGTCGGTAAAGTCTCGTCCTTAAAACTAAATAACTGACTGTTACAGAAATTAGGAAATGTTATTCTTGGCAATGAAATTGTAAAATTGGGGCATGAAACAATGATTTTTGATGAAGAATATTATTTGTAAGAGAAAGCATTTCTATATTCTAAAGAAAGTACCTATATTTCTTGTAGGGGAGCATTGTAAATATACATCCTGCATATTACAAACCAATTTGAGTCACCCAAATACATTTGTGTTTTTATGAATAAAGTTTTCTGATTTGCATTTTGTTTGTGCTTGTTATTATAGGAAGGCAGAGGAAGGCTACAAGTTCTGCATGAAACATTTGGACAAGCTGGTTCAGGATTCCGAAGACGAGGATGTGCTGATGTTGTGGGGTATGACTCTGGATTGGTACGCCAGATTCCTCCACGAACAAAACCGACTCGACGAGGCGTTCACCAACTATAAAAAAGCTTATGAAATGTGTGTAAGGTTGAATGGAGAAGTACACGAACAAACTGTAATTCTTTTGAATGACCTGGGTACCATAAGTTTTCTACTGGGTGACAACGACAACGCTATCTTGTACATGACTAAAGCAGTAGAAACAGGCCGACATCTGCCTAACATGGAGGACTTTTCTTCAGTATACGTGAATCTCGGGAATATATACATACAGAAGGAGATGTACAAAGAAGCGGAGAAAAGCTGTATCGAGGGGATGAAAAACGCAAAACGCCACAAAAACGAGGAGGGCTTGAAGGAAGCTACGTTGTGTTTGGAAGAATTGAAAAAGCACCGATGGAAGTAAGGTGTGTTTTAGGTTTTATTAGTTAAGACGTATCAATTGTTCTAGATTATAGGTTAGTTGACCTGTAAAATATATCTAATACATTTGCAGTACAGGCCCTCTTGTCTTCATCAGCCTCTACGATTATTCAATTTCCTCTTTAAAATCTTTACCCAAATAATTAAAGACTCTTTGTCCTTGCACACTTGCAGTTTGACAGCTTCAGCCATAAATTAGGGCTGGGGAGTAACAGTGCTGTTATATTTACTACCTAGCTGATTTGTACCAAGGGTACCTGGTTTTTATTTGCTACTGTCTCGTAACCATTCTAAATTTTTTCAACAACATTTTGCCGTGATGGATTGCATTTTATCACTTAAATTTTTTATCCTTCATCATTTTCATTTACAACTATATATATCTTGCTTCTCTCTGTTCCTAGTCCGAATAGTCCTAAAGGTGATGAAATGGAGAGCTTTTACTGTAAAATTGCCATCCTAAGAAAATAGTTAGCTATAAACTTACTCATGTAGTATACTAATATAGTTAATGTTTTGAACTATATATGATGAAAAAAGACTACCCTTGCTCTTTGACTACCATGGGAAATGTATCGATTAAACTGTAAAATTGTTTTATAAATCTCATGAACATGAGACACAAGTTAAAAGACTATGTAGTGTCACAGATAAGGGAATAAGTATAATAATCATTCCCTTGTGCTAGCTGCACTTCCTCACCTTTCATTTAGGTTAAAATAGCTCAAATCTAAACTACAACTTGCCAATAATTCATACTTCTATTAGCTGTCACCTTAGTTTAGTTTGTTTATAACTTAGTAATTTATATCTTATCAGATATCGCAGAAACTAAAAGGTTTAGTTAATAATAATAATAAAGATAATTTATTAAATAAATTACATCCTTCTTGCTCCATTACAAGCAAGCTGCTGAATACAAAGGATGCTATACAAACAACAATATAGGCTAAACCGAAAAAAATTAACTAATTAAAACTACACAATAATACAACCCCCCCCCCCCCCCGCCTCAGCAAACCTACAGACTAAGCAAATTTCCATTTGCGTGATTGAATTTACACTAAAATGTTTCCTTTTATAAATAATATCACATTTATTCCCTATTTTATTAGAATTAGTTTAACAAGTAGGCTACTTAGGCTTGCTGCAACAGGGAGTGTAAAAGAGTTTTTTTTATGTTAATAGTTTAGAAATAAATAAATGCATTTTCCAAATTTGAAAAATATGTTCATAAACAAGCAAACAACCCATAAAGATAACATAAGAATTTTCAATTTACAATTTTTTGCAATTTTCCCCTTAACTATTAGGCGCATAACAATGCTTCAATTACTAGGCCTACTAAATTATTTGTTTTTTAAGCTCTACAAAATGATTTGTAAAAAAAATCCTAAATATTATGTTTTTTTGGTCAAAAATGGGAAAACCAATTTTTACCACATAAAACCCCCCACAAACCCCCGTTCCCATAATCCGATCATGCTAGTTTGCGAACTCGTTAAAGTAAATGTAGGTTTATACAAAATTTAATCAAAATCGGATCATTTTTGCTTGAGTTATCGTACTTAACGGACACACGCACACACATATATATATAGGCTATATGAATTTGAACGGATGGTGTTTTTAGCCTCTAGGGTCCTCAAAACAATAAAGTAAATCGGTCCCGGGTCCAGATCTTACCATGAGTACTACGGTAATAGCTTATTCCCTATATGGGAAATTCGCTAATAAAAAGTGTCTCTAAGTTAATTTTTTTTTTCATCCCAACTAAATGGGGTTTTCGATTGGTTAAAGTTTGCAGCATATTGAGAAAGATTGATCCAATTTTATTTGTTTGGTTGATATTATCAGCCTATGGTACTCAAGGAGTTATTGTATAGCCTAGAGGAGTTTCATAACGTTACCATAGTTGTTAATTATTATTACAATTTAACCATTTTAAACTATATTATAAATATATGTGATGGAATAAGAACATATAGACAGTGGTAATGTTTGGAAATATTAAAGAGGTGAAGAAAGGAAAGTTTGTGGTGGGCTAATAAGGGATTAACAAATGGTTGCAGTAAATTCAATTCACAGTTGGAGAGGGTTCAACAAATGGTCGCAAAAGGGTTCCACTAATGGTTGCATGAGGTTCAACTAACGGTTACACAAGAAAGGTCTATTAATGGTTGCGGATGGTTCAATTAATTGTTGCATGAATTAAATGTTAGGGTTTTCTGTCTACATGTTCTCATCCCAGTATCATGAAAGAAAAGAATTATGAAAGCAAATACTTGTATGAATAAAACCCTCATTTATATTTATATTTCAATGTAAACTCTGAACCTACCTATCTATCATTATCGAAGTGTCTTATAGGAAAACTTTGTCAATAAGTTAAACGTAATGGCAATATTTTCTCTATGTACCTATATAGTTATTATGGAAAAGCAAAACACTTGTAGCACTTATGTCTAAAATAATTCTCTATCAGAAGATATTTAAGACAAATTTTCTTGATAATTAGTACCAAAAACAGGTTAATTTAAAAAAGTTAATTCTTCAGCTGCGGCCTAATGCTCCAAAAGTTGTACTGACATATAAGTCCCAAAAATCAACTACCGGTATCGGTACTGTATAAAATTGTTTTTAAATAACTTAAGAGCAAGTTACTGCATCATTGTGTAAATAAGCTTATGCATTAAATAAATGTATTGCTTCAGTTTGAACAAAAACCTGCATTCCTACCAATTGATAAGGATTAAGCTTTGATTTTCTAACTCCTAAAATGCTAATAAATCCAGTACTAATCAAATTTAGGCACCATTTAATAGCAATTAAAAGTACTTTTTACAACAGAGCAATATCATTTAGAAAAAGAATATTCCTGAATTTTAGGGTAATAGTTTCAAATGCCATGTTATCAATACACCATTATCCTTTGGAATTTTCTACCATTAACAAGCTACTCTTCAATAAAGTTAATGGTATATCGTAAACAGTTATCAGCTAGTTTAATAGATATTTTGTACAAGCATAGACAAAAGAATTAAATATAGACTGACAAAGGAAGGTTCCGCGATGTCCTTCTACCAGCACTACCACCCTTGCAAACGAAATGCTACCAACGTATCAGACCCACTTTTCAACATGGTTAAAGGAAAAATTCTGAAATTCAGAAAAGACCATTTTTAAAACACTGAAAAATAACGGAACAAACTCCAACTCCCCGGAAGTTGGAAACACTGGTTCCAACTACCAAATTGGCAATGCTTGCTAGTGCTTGACGCTGTGGCGGTGTGCGCCAAAACTACACGGTAAGGCCTACTCCTAACGGTGGAAGCCAGAATATAATATGCTAACCGCAGCACTGCTGTCGGTCAATATTTAATTCTTTTTTCTATGGTACAAGTCTGATTTCAAAGAACCTTTGAAGACAGTCTTGAATTTATTAGTGCAACTACTGCAGTTAGTAGCTTTTCTATTTTAATTTAAGTATTTGATAACTATTCTAGATACATTTTTTTTTGTACATGAGACAGAGAAGTTAGGCTTGGTGTGTAACTACAGTAAGCCACATAAAAATTATCTGACGAGCATTTATGCAGACAAAAAGTTACCATACTAAATTTATATGCATTTAAATATTAGTTACAATTAGCTGATTTCGTTTCATTTAGTCCAGTCAAATGATACAATACATAAATAGAATAAATATAGACCGTCAGCTGTGATGCGGTTAGCACAAGTTCTCGCGTCCACCACTATGTTTGCAGTGTAGTTACAGCGCACACCGCTGCAGCGTCTGCTGGTCGCTTACGCCTCCTCGCCTGCAGCAGTATGCGCCGCAACTACACTGTACTCCTAGCAGTGGGCGCCGGTACCTTCCTTTGACAGTCTATATTTATTCTATTTGTCTATGATGACACACACTTTAAAACAGGTTTCAGATTTATGAAGAATGAAGAATCTACTTACAGTTGAGCGAGTGAAAAAAACAAGCTTGCAGATTTTTACATAAGTATGTTTACAAATTGCATAAACTGAGTGGTGAACACTTTTTCCTAGCTAGGCACTGGGGCTATATCATCATAACCATTATCTAATCCTGGCATCACCAAATTGAGTCTAACAGCTGTGCTGCCTTCCTCCTGCACATGCACCTTAGCCTCTTTTGCTACAGCACATTTTCTTGTTTGGTTTTCTCACTCGCTCAACGGGCTGAACCTGTGCAGCCCGGACTTGTACCTGTATGACTGTAGTATCCACACAGTCATAGGTTTTACCATGTGATTTATTTTTGTTTTAAGTCATAAAGTTAGAAGATAGTTACCATCTTGAAGGTTTAGCTTTGACTATCCAATAGTCAATGGTATTAGGCTACTCTGCTTATTCCTTCAACTTTTAAGTTTTAACATGGACTGGAACTTAAGGCAGAGGGCTAATACTCTTGTTACCAAACTGCTTCACGTTGCTCCAATGTCGGTCATCAATGGATAGAAAAGATGTATGTAATTGCAGCATTGCAGATTTTGACCTATATCATTGCCTTGCAATCAGGATTGACAATTTTTCTGTTTTTTGTTGTTAAAACTGACCATGTATTGTGAGCAAAATTGTATGTTAAAAAGTCATAACAGTTACAGCAGTAATATACTGTTCCTAACATATTAGTCTAGATATAAATAATAAAAACTACACAATTGTTTCCTCATTTTCAGTTTGAGAAAAATACATTCAGTGTTTTGTTATAAAAAAATTGGGTTATTTGCCTCACGGGCCCTGTTTCTTTTACTATCATATCCACACTGCGGTTAGCAACAAGTAATGTTATTGTTGCTGTGGAAAATAATTGTTCTCTACTGATTAAAAAAATTGCATTAAATCTATATTTATGAGAAAATAATAAAAACTGGCATTAAATCTATATTTATGAGAAAATAATAAAAACTGGCATTAAATCTATATTTATGAGAAAATAATAAAAACTGTGTTACCAAGTATGACTTTCATTATCATTAAACTATTTTTTTATGTGTTACTAGGCCTACATAAGCCACTCGCAGTTTGGCAGATAAAATCATTTACAGAACATATTAGTCCACTAGATTTTTTGCTAACATTGGTGATGAATAGTTTTTTTTACAGTGCTAGTTAATATATATAAACTTATTTCTGTGCAATATAAAATAAAAAATGTTATTTATCGAAAATTGTTGTAACGATTTTTCCTTACACTTTCAGATTGTATCAGTTCTCAGAAAACAGTTTCTTTCCTCAAGTAAGAAAACTGTGTTGTGATGTTTATTACTCTATACAAAAACTTCACTAGGTGGCCTACTCATTAAGTACAAAAAAAAACACCATAATTTTAAACTGTTCAAAACATTATTAACACACTACCGGGTGTCTCGTGACTCTACATACAGAGCAATGTGACGGCCATTACTGAACCTGTTAAAGATGGATGTATATGTATAGCCTACACATGATATTACATCGAGATAATTATGTTACAATATTAACTCAAAGGAATATTCAGTAGGATTAAGAAGGTTCAATTATCAAACATATTCACTAAGAGAACAAAACAAATACAATTTTATTCTGAACACATACAAATATCAATCAAAACAACATATTCACTAAGTTATTTAGGGAAATACTTATTACAGTAGACTATAGATTAGTCGACCTAAATCGCCTGCAGCAAGGTATATACAAAGTAATGTTTTGAAATACAGAATCATTCAAAATCATTAATGTGTTATAAAATCAAATAATATATTTTCTGTTATAAAACGAATGATTCAAGGTGTTTGTTTGCCACTGAAACCTTAGGAATCCTATAAAAAGTGACAAAGTGAAAAGTATACTAGATTTGACTACTAGGGAGAGCAGAGGTAAGCAAGAAGGAAACAATCAGAAAGTACAGGCAAGTGTAGATGCATAAAGGCTATAATGTATCTTATCTTTCAATTACAGACAGGAGCGAGTTTTTTTATGTAACAGCTATGATTTACAATCATGTCTAAAGCCTCTGTCATACGGGACTTTTTTCAGCAGCTAGTTCTCACTGGGAGATCCAGCAGCTCTAGTTGCTGGTTCTCCAGCGTTCTAGAAGTCCTGTCAGACGGAGCTGGGAAACAAGCGCTACAAATTATAAGTCTAGTGCTGCTAACACACTGTGTGTGTAGTTAAAACAAAAATAATGTCGTCTGTTGGTATTAGATGTGAGGTTTTCTCTCTGATCAACCATAATAGAAGTTAAAAGAGTGCAAGGCAAAAGCAAAATGTTAAAATATAAACACTAATCATAAATATTATGTATGTATGGGCTTGTAAGTAAAAAAATTAAAAACAAATAAGTTGTAGTAGGTCTATAAAAAAAAGTTTTATCTTTTACTTACACAAAAAACATTAATTTATTTTATATAGGTGGGATGTAGCAATCGTTACAACAATAAATTTAATACAATAGGCCTATATAAAAATAAATTTTCTAAACATGAAGTTATAAATTTGTTTTTGAATAATTAAAATTATTAAATCACTTTAAATTTGTTCTTATTAATACTTCAATACTTTTCATTTATTGCAAGAACTAGCTCATTACTGTTGGCTTTAGTCAGACAGAGCTAAAATGGCGCTAGAGACCACAGCTGGGTGGTCACAAGACTTGCTAGTGACTCTTAAAGCACTTGGAATAGTAAACTGTTAAAAGCCTCCAGCAGCTAGAGGTACCAGCTCATGCAAGTGTTTCTAGCTGCTGAGTGCTGGAGGATCAGTCACAAGATGCCGGTTTTCCAAAACATGCTCCGTGTGACAGGGGCTATAGGGAGAAAACACACAATTTAAATGTACTCCGCCGTCCGAAGGCAAGGTCGGATAATCAAGACTCTACTGTAGCAGAAAATTGTAAATTGTCTTATCAGCTTTTACCCTTCTTAGCTCTTGATGATATAAACCTGTGCTTGAATATATTTAACTTTGGCTCAGTGATAAGTGTATTTAAAAATACAAATTGGTAATTGTTTTCATCTGCTGCAACATTGACTACAGTAGCTTCCCTTTGTAGCCACGTGTGTTCTTCACCACCATTTGAAACTCGTATCTTAATGAAAATTTGCCCAGTGGCTTTTATAATCTTCTCTTCTACCTTTCGCTTCAAAATATCCAATCCTGTTCCTTCTGTTGCCGAGACGGATAAAGCGTCGTTACCTACATCTATACAAAAATCAGAAACAAGATCTATCTTATTTGCAACTGTTATCATGTTCTCTAACAGATTATCTGGCAAATTGATACCTTTTAAAGTTTCTAAGACATGTTCACTTTGAGCTTTAGAATCAGGATGGTTAGCATCTACAACGTGTATGATGGCATCTGACTGAACAGCATCTTCCAATGTAGCAACAAATGACTGAATCAGACCTGTTGGAATATCAGACAAGAAGCCAACAGTGTCAACAAATAACACTTTTAAACCTGAGGGCAAATGTCCAGTGTGCACTGTTACGTCTAGAGTGGCAAATAACACATTCCTAGGTCTTAATTTATCTTCTTTTGTGAGAGCTTTAATTAAAGACGTTTTTCCTGCATTTGTGTAACCGACAACTGCAATTGTAGGAATATTCAGGTCTTTCCTCTTGCTACGTAGCAGGTCTCTTTGAGATTTCAGCTTCTTTATTTCATTCTTCAGTTTCCTTTCTTTGTCTTGCAGCAAACGCCTCTTGATTTCTAAATAAGTTTCCCCTGGACCACCGACTGTCGCTCCTCCTCCCATTTTATCACTCATCCCCTCTTTGTCAGCTCGTAACCTACTCCATAGATATGGAATCTCTCCCATCGATACTTGCAATTTGGCTTCTCTAGTAGTGGCATGAAGTTTGAAAATTTGTACAACTATGGTATACCTGTCAAATACTGGTACACCAAACTCTTTCTCCAGTAACTCTTGTTGAAGTGGATTCAACATATTAACACTGACAAATACAGCAGTTATTGTTTTATTTTCTTTAACAAGGTCTGTTAGCATGTTTAAATTCCCTTTTCCAAACATTTTAGCCTTGTCAATACTCATTAGAGAAATTATTTTTGAGCTAACTACTTTCCACATGGGCAAACTTTGAATAAGCGCAATTGCTTCATCCAACTGAAGTTGAGGAGTGGTATTTCTTTTCTTTTGTTTACCCCATTTAACATACGGTTGAATGATTAAAACTTGATGGCCTGTGTCAGATATTTTCAAGGTGCGTTTTACTAGTTCTTCATAATCTTCATCATGATATTCATTTTCGAAATTACTATCACAAAGCCTAGAGGTTATGGAAAACTTCTGACAATGTTTTATCCTGTTACTTACTCTATAACTGGTTGTTTTGGAGCAATTTATAATGTTTACTGAAGAAAATTTGTGGTTATCAATTTGTTTAGCTTCAATTAAATTATTCCACTTGTGTTTGGTGGTATGGTTGGTAAACAACACCTGACGAAAGATTTGTTTATTGAATCTGAACATTTGAAAGACCAGTAATTGAACCAAACGATACAAACCAACTTAGAACTTTACAACTAATCAATTAGCCTAGCTTGTTTTTTTATCATTTTCAAGTTCTGTTAAATATGTAACTTTGTCTTCAGCAGCTAACCACGCCGCCTGGCAGGCAGAACTTCTAGACTTGCTAACTTTGTAAGCTATTATGGTTGCAATTACAGTCGAATTCAGTATTGAAAACTTTGGCGAATATGGCAGTTTGTTCTTCAAAAGGGTTTGACCTATGTATGTAGAAGAAAATGCAAGGGTGAATCCAGCAACACTAGCAAAGTTTGCTCGAGTCATGCACTCAAGATAAGATCCAAATCCTGGATGGTCATCCCCATAAAGGTCAATTAATCTTTGTTTACCAGTACCAATACTCATGTTTGTTGTAAGTTAACTCAACTATACTTCCATTTAATATGAAAAAAGTGTTAGTTGATAAACAAACAGGCAATTCTCAACCAGAAGGATTATTGTTGTAATTACTTCAATCTTTTGTCATATTTTCCCTCCTTACTCAATGTTTTTCAAATTCTGAAAAAAAAGAAAACCATTATTATAGCTAAGCAGATAAGTTAAATATCTTAAGTGCCAGAAAAATTAAGTTAACAGTAGTTTAATTTTCTAAAATATTATGTTTCTAAGCCAACAAAATAACAATTCTATTGCACTTCTTTATAATTAAATGGTTTAAGTTACCTGTCCACCATTGACCCTACTGTCGTCTATTGCGACTGGTTTTTTTTTTAAATCTCATCATCAGGCATCTTCAAATGTCATACCACTCAAATTAAGATCGTTAAGATCAATTGTTGAACATGCCCATGACCACGCATCTAACGTGTCGAATCGTAGTGTCCTGTAAGGCCTACTGGCTAATTTTAAATATACATACAATAACTTTCCGTGTTTTATGTTTGTGTATCGTGTTCACCGACGACGACCTAAACTTGAGTGGTATGTCTGTAGCGAGCTAATGTTGACAGGGGGTAAGATTTTGTTTTGTATCCGCGCATGAATTGCTGAAATAGGCGAGCAGCAGCGGCAGAGCGGGCTCGCGCCGTTAACCCGGCTTCATTAGTGCTGATAAGCGTCGGGTATCCCAGACCTTCAGGACAGTAGAGTCGAGTTTTGAGCATTGGACGGAAAGCAGTCAGTGAGAGACGATTGAGATACGAGTGAAGTACGAATACGGTTGGTGTGAGGCCGAAGCAGACGTCTGCGTCTCTACATTGGTAAAAAGTGCTTTGGTGTTAAGTTGGGTTTGGGTAGAGACACGTTTGGTGATAAAGTGTATTGAGGTTATTATTGGCAAGTTATAGTGTCTCCCATATTGTTTAAGGCACTCTGGGCTTAATTGTTTGGATCTAGTGAGGACGAATCCTGAGTTGCGAAGTCAGCAACGACACCCTAGGAGAGTGGAGAATCGGAGTAGGTCTGGTGGTGATTAGTGCAAGATTGTTTGGTGACTTGTTTACAGTGTCCGTGTATGAGCCAGCCCTATACCAGTTGGACCCGGCCTTTAGCCTAGAGGTGGCCCTTATCGCAGAACCTGGAATTTCACCCAGCCATTTTAGGCTGAGCTACCTAGGCAATGTTTGTGACACACATATATTTTTTCCCATGCAGGAAATAGTGTTACATTACATTTGAAGAAGCCTGATAATGGAATTTTAAAGTCAAAACCGGTCGCAATAGACTGCAGAAGGATCACTGACGGACAGGTACTGAACTTAAACCATTTAATTCAACAAGTGATCCTGGACCACGAAACGCCATTGAACTTAAAGGACAGCAACTGAATTGATTGTCTTTTTGTGAAATCATAGACTATAGAAAGACAATTTTGCAAATATCCTATCCTGAATTCCTAAAAGTGTGTTGTTAGCCTGGTGGGTGGCATAGTGACGGGAATCAGATTTAAGAATATTCAACTAATTTAAGGATTGGACCGAACTTTCTCAAAAATCATATAGAGTAAGCCAAGTTTACTTTCTAACGAAATGACAACTGGTGTTGATCTAAACGGGTGCAGTTTCTTAACTGGGCTACCCTAATAAGGCCGTGTTAACACCAGAGTTAGGAATGTGTTTTTACAACTAATGTCCTTAAAAACCCAAAAACACTACTTTTTGAACAGAAACATTTTGATGTTGGAAACTGTTTCTGTACTTGTATGCTGTTAACAACACTATCCCTTACCCACCACCATGTAACTACACGCCCCCCTCCCCCTTGAGGACTGGCTTTGTTTTTTCGGGAGCGGTGTTTAAATTGTCTAACAAAATCAAGGAACCTTAACCTGCAAAAACTGCACTATCTGTTGTAAACTGTTGTTTTGGAAACTTTTGCTTTAGAACTAAACTTGTGTTACAGTAAGTTAGGCCTACCAACAAAAAGTTCCAAACCATTTGTTCCAAACTCTGGTGTTAAAAAGGTTTAAACCTTCATTTGATGTTTTCCATAATCAACAAGTTTGGTTAGGTTAGATAGGTTTAGAACTGTTTCTTTTTTTTAACTAAATTGAGATAGCCTACATATATATTCAGCTGCACTTTAGTTTACGTCCTACACTCATTCGATATATCAAGTTTGGTTAGTTAGATTACAACCTAACCTAACTAACCAAGTGAAATAATCTATATAACTTATAGAACAATCTATATATTGATATTTTTCATTCGAATGAGTGTAGGACGTAAACTAAAGTGCAGCCATATATTCATAGACTACCTAACTGTTAAAAATTTTGATCCATAATCGATTTTAGGGTAGCCCAGTGCACCCCCAAACTTCAACTAAACAAAACCCAAACTTTCTATAAGTTATCGATTCTAACAATCAATAACTTACAATGGAGTCTGATATCAGAATTTTGCCGTAAGGCTAAGTTATATCTCTATTTAAGGTAAAGTGAATGAAATACAGGGATTCGATATCCTGTTGTCACCATACGTTACTAATTTAGTGGTCCATTGAACATTACTCAAGTTATCGCGTTCAATGGACACACTCACACACACACAATAAAAAAAGTATATCATCGGTAGACTTCCGTAATTGTTGTCAAAAACAACCGAATGAAAATATCATTCAATATATCGATTGTTTCATTCGATATAGGCCTATCGTTTGGTTAGTTAGGTTAACCTAACCTAACCAACCAAACGATTGGCCTATATTGAATGAAATAATAGATTATCGAATAATCGATATTATCATTTGGTTGTTTTTTACACCGGATACGGAAGTCTACCCTACATCATTTTGACCGGTATGACCAGTATGAAATAAAAAAATTTGCCAAATTTTATCAACTAATGTGATGTGGAAAGCGAAAAGGGACCTCTTGTCGGAGATACAAAATTTTCAGTACGGCTTATATAAGTAATTAAGGTCGAAAATATCAAATTTCGGGTTTTTATTGATTGTTAAACCTTATTTAACATAGAACATGACACTATCGGTTAAAATCTCAAATTGAAGATGCAAAAGGTCAAAATAAATCATTTTGTTAGCCTCTGCACGGTCTGAGAAAAGGTACCTCTTGTCGCTCAATGTTATTTCGCCATAACGACAAGAGGTCCCATTTTGAATAATCCCTTTTTAAACAGATTTTAGTCCAAAAAATGAATTGTCCTGCATTCTAGTGGAAATTTAGTGAACTACAACAAAGTTCAGTTCACGACGAACAAAATATCTCACAAATTTTGCAGTCCCGACAAGAGGTACCTTTTCTTATCTTATGGCGCAATAACATAGGGCCGACAAGAGGTCCCTTTTTTTAAAGCGATTTTTACGACATGCTTCAATAAAACAATTAGGCCAATGAAAACTATCGTGAGTTAAGAAATAAATTTGTATTTCTTTCAAAGAGGACATTATAAGCTTTCTTTTGATACAAAAATCGTTTCTTAAATACAAAAAACACCGTTTTTATGCGTATTTGAAATTTTTAAAACAGTTTTTCTCAAAATGACCCTTTTCCATAACAAAATTTCAAAGTCCTATAATTTTAACAAAAAAAAAAATCATACGTGCTTGGGACTTGCACCAATTGATTCGGAATTTAATAAGGAATTCAAATATATACATATCTCAAAATCGAAAATTCCCGACAAGAGGTCCCTATTCGCTTTTCACATCACATATATCTAAATAAGTAAACTACAACAGTTTTAATTTTCTCCATAAGAATAACATGGGAATTTTAAATTTACACTTTTTGAATTTTCTCTGTAACCATTTGGTATACAACAATGCTTCAATATACTAAATTATTTCTTTTTTTAAGCTCTACCTACAAAATGGTTGGGAAAGATAGGGTCCAAAATTTTATGTTTTTAGGGTCAAAAATGGGAAAAACCCATTTTTACCCCATAAAACCCCGTTCTCATTGTCCGATCATGCTGGATCGCGAACTCGTTCAAATAATTGTAGGTATACATGTTTATACCAAATTTCATCTAAATCGGATCATTGTTGTTCGAATCATGCTAATGGACGTATATATAATATATATATATATATATACAGGGTGTTCAAAAAAGGTGGGGACATATTTTACCTATTGATTCCTTGGGTCAAAATAAAGAGAAAATCAAGAATAACATTTTTTTCAAAATCACTTCGTTAACCAGATATCCGCCATTTTGTATTTTTTACATAAACATTTTTATCTTTTAATATTTTCAACCGATCTTTATGAAACTTGGTATGTATGTTAAGGTAGAAGAGCCCCATGTGAAAAAAAAAATTCATTTCGATTCAACCTTAAGTTTCAAAATGGCGGCCATTTAAAGTTTTTAAACTTAAATTTCTTGAAAATGACTAGTTTTATGAAAAAATGTCAAGAACATTTTTATTTAGCATTTTTAATTATCTATCAAACGATACCAAGTTCAAAAAGAATAGATGAAATATTATGATTTTTAGTTGTAAAATGGGGCAAACCTGACTAGCTTCTGCCATATTCTACCCAGGGTGTCCACAGAAATTTTGACATTAATTTCCCTGACTTTCCATGACCATTAACCATTGATTTCCATGACTCACGAACTTTACTCAAAAATTATAATATAGGCTACCGCAAACACACAAATAATACTGCCTCGACAGAAAATATTGAAATACGTATTAACAGATAACAATGGCGTACAACAGGTACAACAATGAACTAAATACAAACTCAAAACGGATAAACTAAGACAACTGTATAAATTGAATTGTCGTATATTTGTGAACAATTCGGAAAAATGCTACAATAGTCGGGGTTACGGCCGACTAGATCATTGCAAGGACCCCTGAAATCCATCCATCATTGGTGATTTCCATGACTTTCCATGACTTTTTGCCTATTTCCATGACTTTCCAGAATGTGGACCCTGTCTACCCCATTTTACAACTAAAAATCGTAATATTTCAGCTATATTCCTCATTCAATCTTTTTGAACTTGGTATCGTTTGATAGATAATTAAAAACATAAAACCAGCCATTTTCAAGTAATTTAAGTTTAAAAACTTTAAATTGTCGACATTTTGAAACTTTAGGTTGAATTGAGATGAAATTGTTTTCTAACATGAGGCTCTTCTACCTTAACATACATGCCAAGTTTCATAAAGATCGGTTGAAAATATTTAAAAAAAAATGTTTATGTAAAAAATACAAAATGGCGGATATCTGGTTAACGAAGCGATTTTGGAAAAAAATGTTATTCTTGATTTTCTCTTTATTTTGACCCAAGGAATCACTAGGTAAAATATGTCCCGACCTTTTTTGTACACCCTGTGTATATATATATGAATTTGAACGGATGGTGTTTTTGGCCTCTGGGGACATCAAAACAAAAAAGCAAATTGGTCCCGGGTTCAGGTCTTACCATGAGACCTTGGGCCTATTTCAACTGGAGTCTAAAACCTTCGCTGTATCATCGCGATGTTGTCCACTGGCGCTGCGGAGTGGGGGAAATGATTCTCCCTCCACCACCCCTATGGAGGCGTCCAAACAAACCCGCGTTGTTCTACATACATAACCTATGCTGCAGTTTTTCAACAAGGACGAAATGAGAGTTAAAAAGTGAAAATTTATCAAATTAAACTGTTATAAACTAACCTAGCCAACCAAACTTAATGATTATATGTAAAATAGATTTTAATAAAATACCCCCGCCGCATCAAACCTGCAGACTTAGCGAATTTCCATTTGCCTGATTGGATTTACACTAAAATGTCTCCTTAAATATATCACATTTATTCCCTATTTAAATAGAATTAGTTAAACGAGTACTTAGGTTTGCTGCAACAGGGAGGGTAAAAAAGTGTTTTTTAATGTAAAATGTTAATAGGTACTGTAGTTTAGTAAGAAATTAATGTATTTTCCAAATTTGATAAAAATATGTTCATAAATAAGCAAACTACAACAGTTGACTTATTCTCCATAAGAATAACATGGGAATTTTAAAATTACAATTTTTTTGAATTTTCTCCGTAACCCTTAGGCGCATAATAACGCTTCAATATACTAAATTATTTGTTTCTTTAAGCTCTACTAATGGTTTGGAAAGTAATTGTGAAATTTTGTGTTTTTAGGGTCAAAAATGGGAAAACCTATTTTACCCCATAAAACCCCCCATAAACCCCCGTTCCCATAGTCCGATCATGCTGGTTCATGGATCAAATTCAATTTTATAATTTCTTAACTATAAAATTAAACTGTCATAACCTAACCAAACTTGCTGATGGTGAAAAAAATCGGTACTTTCCTGTTAAAGAGAACATTCATTATTATCGATGATTTTTTTTCTCAATATATCGATATTAACCAATTGAAACATATCAGCTGACAACTACGAAAAATATTATTCAGTATCAACAAACATTAATAAAATGAAACTGTTCTAAAAAAATAACCTAACATAACTAACCAAACTTGCTGTAACATTTAAAAATTCCGTGTTTATAACTTACCTTTTATATTCAAACCCAAACAACATTTTTTAAATGGTATAGCAAGTTTGGTTGGTTATGTTAGGTTAGCTTAGAACAGTTTCATTTCTTAATCCATATAACAGACTATTTTAGCCTAAACAAGATCAGTTAGTTAGTTGTTGTCAATTTGTAATGGATCGCAAAACAAAAACATCGATATATCGAGAAAAAAATCATCGATAATAATGAATGTTCCTTCTACTTAACAGGAAAGTAACCAAAAAATCAAATGAAGGTTGGGTATTTATTGCGACGAACGTGACCATGGGAACCTATATAGATTTATATATCACTAGAAACTAGATTTTTAGCTAAAAATAATGGTGCAAAAATTTTTCCGCGCTCTCAAATATTAACGGAGTTACGGCTGTTTTAAGTTTTATTTACCGGTACTTTGTTTTTTTGACCTAACCTATTTATAAGCCTATGAAATGTTCTCTCCAGATACTTGATATATTACGTTAATTGTAAGTAATTAAAGTAGAAGACTCACTTTTTACCAGGAAATAACAGTGCAAAAATGTCTCCGAGGCCACGAATATTAACTAACTTAAGGTAACTTAAGATAATTTGTCGTTTTGATTTCCTTTATCTACCTTCTAGTCTAGTCTGCTACTGCTTGCCGCATTACGGAATTACGGAACGGACTAACTGTTACTTACTTGTACAACTATACTGAACCTGAAATGAAAATGAAAATACGAAATTGAAGAGAAGAGAATAAAAATAAGTCAATCAAGTCATTTAAATTACATGTCTGTGCTACAAACATCTAAGAAACAACACGGCACTGAATAACTTATTTCAGAATGATTTTATTTAGGCATGTGTGGAAGCGGAAGGCAAGTCGGGCTTATGCGGATTCGTGACTGTATTAAGTGTTTTGAAGTTAGGTTAGAATAGGAAGGTGAAGTGTAGGTTATAGTGAACTGAGTTGATCATTTATATTACACACAGGCAATTATCTGTTGTGTAATTAAAATAGTGTGTTAAACACAATGAAATAACAATTTCAAAAATGCTGCAAGCATTAAAAGTTGTAACTTGTAGTTTATTATGAAACGGGCCCCTGGGTAATAGGTTATTCCTTATAAGTTATGGGAAATTCACTAAAAGAACAAACATGAAGTTTAAGTAGGGCCTAATCCTAATAGGTGTCTAAATTTAATCAGTAACCTGTTCCTGTTGGTATTCTCAAAAATTGGCACTACAAACAATTGATGGGTACACTTCCATCTGTTGGCACAAACAACCGAATGAGTAATATCGATCGATATATCGTTTGGTTAGATAGATAGATAAGATTTGTTTGATCATTAAACATTATACATAAAATGCAATAGATCATGTCAATAAATAGTAAACAAGGTATAATCAGAGAGATACAATATGCAAAATCAAGCTACATCAATTAAGGTTTACATGCACAAAAAATAGGTACCTATGAGATAAATTATAAATAATACAGACAGGCTTACTAAATAATATATGCACTAGTAATTAAATATAAAAAAAGTTAAATCACAGTGGGCAACATTCTGTTAGTTAGGTAAGGTTAACCTAACCTAACTATCCAAATGATATATCGAATTAAACAATCGAATATTCAATGTTACTCATTCGGTTGTTTGTGCCATCAGATATGGAAGTGTACCCCAATTAATTGATAGACATGACTTTTATAAGATATATTTTTTATGTTTACAATAACAACATAACCTAACCTCATTCCTCTCCTCTTGCACAGTGCAAGTGCATTGTCGTCCGTTACCGGTAGAGAAATTCTCGAAGAAGAGAATGAGAATGAGAATGACGAATGAGGAGAGAGAAAATACTGTCTCCTTCCTTTCCTAAATTCCTTCAGCTCACGCACGACGCGCTGCTAGCTGGCTTCTTCTGGCTACTGTCTGTAGTCTGTGTCTGTCTGTCCTCCGGTCTGTCGTCCCGTCCCGTCCGTGAGAGTCGTCTCGTTGTCTCGTTCGTCTCTGTCTCTGTCTCGGTCTAGGAGGATTAAACATTGTCTCGGTCCGGTCTCCTCTCCTCGCCTCCTCTTGTCTGCTGCATGCAATAAAAAAAACAAAAACAAACAGTAAACGGGCCAAGTTCCCGCAAGGCAGCAGCAGTGTTTTCTTACCGATCAATGTGGATTATCCTCCACATCATTTCAGGACGCCTCATTTCAACCCAAATATGAGTTAAAGAAAGAGTGTAGAATCACGGCCACCATTAACGTGGCCGAGCACGGCCACCTCTAACTACAGGCCGCGGTCTGGTAGAATTGGCAACGTCGCGTGACAGACGTTCCATAAGATAACATAGCAGACAGGTGACATCAGCTCATTAATTCGCACTTTATTGATTTAAATTTAAATTTACGAACATCAATTTATTAAAATATTGAAAATAAAACATACAAATTTGAAAACCAAAACAATTTGAATTAAAAATCTATATCTGTACATTTTAAGTGGAGTCAATATTGTGATAGTCCAGTAACCAAGCTTTCGTAAATAGTACACAAAATACCATTAGCTGCTTCCAAACAAAACAGCTGTTACAACACCACTTGCGACGTTGCCACTTCGAAGGCCACGGCCTGGAGTTAAAGGCGGCCGGTGCAGCTGAGCTACCAATGGGTGATCACCAGTATCAAGTATTATTTTTAGTATTATAACGTAAAAAAATGTTATGAATACTCAATAGGAATGATATTAATGAGGTAGTGTACATAAATTGATTGATAAAATAATAATTAGCACAAATACGATCATCAATAAAGATATTGAATCCATCCTGAACTCCTACTCTATCCTGAACTTCTGCATCAATCTTTGCATGTTTCCAAGCTTTCTAATAATTATTGCATTGTTTTTTATTTTTGTTAATATAGTCTATCCTGTTGTTATTGCATTGTTATATCTTGTTCTTGTACAGAGTTTATCGTATTGTTATTTTTCTGAAAGTTTTATCTGTTATCGGCTACTGCATTGCATCATTGTTATTGTTCCTATACTGGTTTTGTTTTTTCGAATGTCTCGTTTTGTCAACCTGTTCAGATAGTTTGTTATTTATAGTTGTTACTTATAGTTTGTTATTCATAGTTTGTTATTTATAGTTTGTTACTTATAGTTGTTATTTATCTTTTTATGTCTTGTTATTGAAGTCTTGTTTTCCAGTTTTTTTTCACTACTTTTGTACTGACCTGTGATTTTTTATTTTTTTCTGCTTCTTCTGCATGTAAGACATTGTATTATTCATGAAAAAATGGTGCAACCGTTAACAAATAAATAAATAAATAAATATTGCTGAATCTTTACAAGAGGAAACAACATCTAAGCCTCATGTTATAAAAGCCAGGCTGCTACTAAAGTGGCAATTAATTTAGCAGCATGGCAACACAGTCAGTATGATGATAAAAAAAAAACGTTTCGTTGACATTACAAATTGTAATCTTCTTTCTTGTTTTCTTTTTCCTTGTAAACAAACATAACCTTTACACCTTGGAGTGGACTTTTCTGGTCTGGAGTAATTTTCATTTTATAGCAATAATTTTCATTAGATTAGTGGCGTCTGTCTCTTTACTTTTCTAATAAGGTAAGTTGGGTACAGTTTCTTAACTGGGCTATGCTAATATTGATTGAAACTATCGAATTAAAAATACTGATTAATAATCGATATTTTTACATTATATATCGATGGTTATATGCACAAACATTGTATGTCCAATTTTTTTCACTTTTGACATTTTTATATATTTGGAAAGCTGTAGTCTTCATCTTTCAGATCACACATATTGTATGTCCATATTACAATAGGAAAAATTAATATAAATTCTCAAAATAAAATTGTTCACTTTGGTATGATGTAATTTTATCCTGCACACTTGTAGCATGTCCAATGATTGCAGTACCAGCTGAACAGAGAAAAACTCCTTTAGAGCACAGATATAGTATCTTTGGACTTGCAATGATTGTGCATGAAAATACAAGGCCTACTATCTCTGGTATTTGTTTTTCATCTTGTAGTATGTCCAAAAATCTGATGATCTCAAGTGCACTCTTATAGTATGTCCAAATTTTATTTTACAATTAGGTTAGGTTTAGGACATACAGCATCTGTGCACAACAGAACATAACACCAAAAAAGAATCCGTGAATTGGCTAAAGGTAAAGTGGTTTGGGTTTTAAAAAGCAAACCCCTTTGAAGTTCTATACAAGTACGAACTTAACAAGGAAATAGAGTTTTTGACTCTTGATGTACGAATGGATTCCGAGACGCCATTTGTCTGGTAACAACAACTTCTCAGTCCAAAGTACACCGAGCCTATTCCGGTTTCCAGCGCCAAGAAAAAGGATTTGATGTACCTACTTAAAGCGGGTGTAATCCCAGAAGCATTCACGCATTTTGTCACTGAAATCCCTAGTTCCGCATCGGCAAGAGATATTGTACTTTACGTCATAGAGGAAGAAGAAGGAAACAAGTCTCTCACTGAAGTTACCAAAAAGAAAGAAGGAAGGCGCAGTAGAAGAGATGTTATAGGGCAAGAAACCAGAAAAAGAAGTAATGTAAAGAGAGTTTAAGAAAACCAAGGAGGCTAAAAAAAACCAGAGAAAATAAAAGAAATTAAAACTTCATAAGAAAATAAAGTAATGTGTCTAAAGGATAGCACTGTTGAATAAACCCCATAAAGACTGACTCAACAAAATACAGTTTGTACTGTATAGGTACCATTTTACAAAAGGCACTACCTGATTTATTTCGTGCTTTAATGTTTCGTTTAGGCCTATTTGTGTTTCTAATAGCTGGTAGGCCAAGTAATTTTTATTTTTAAAATGTTAAAAATAAAAGTAGTCTACAATGTAAGACAATAACAGTCATGGGCGTCCGCAGAATTTGGAACAAGGGGGTGCAATATATAGGTCTAACGAACCTCCAGGGGTTCGAGGCCTTCCCCGGGAAAAAATCTGAAAATATAGTGTTTTAAAACATATTTTTACGCTACTTTGTAATACATAAAACCAACCAAAACAAAATAGTACATTGTGCATCAAGGACGGTCACCTGAGGGAGTCGTCGTTTTTTATGCCAACATTAACACCTAACCAAACAATTATTAAGAAAAAAAATTATAGTTGAATAAAGCCTAGATAACAGCCAAGAAAGTTTATGTTTTGTTTTCTGAATAGTTTTGTTAAAGTATGAAAGTATACAAGGTATAAAAGATTTTTAAATCTGTAAGTCAACTACTTATTTGATTTAAACATCAATTTAAAACATTTTTTAGACATTACCATTTTGAACATACTTTTATAAATTCCTTAAAACCCAAGTGATCACAGAACATTATGTGTATTAAATTTATTTCTAATTTTTTTAGCCAGGGGGCGCCCATGATAACAGTTTTTTTTTAAATTTTTCATTCCTTACTAAAACCATCTAGGGGCAGTTTTTGTATTGCACACTCGTAGCATGTCCATAAATCTGCGCGTACAGAAGTGCACACATATAGTATGTCCAACATGGTTTGATTTACAAATTATTTGTAAAAATGTGGCTTGAATAAAGATAAAACTATTTATGTAGATGTATTTTTAATAAATGGGGCCAATAAAATTTATTTATTTCAAACATTTAACAGTTTTAGTTTAAGTTTCCCCATAATACAAACTTTGTTTTTGCGGTTTCCGAAAGTTTACCAAAATGGACATACAACTATTGTGCTTATAACCATCGATATATCTATTATAAAATAAAGCTATCATAACCTAACCTAACCAACCAAACTTGCTGATGGTGAAAAAATCGCATGAAGGTTTACTAATCGAATCGATAGTTTCAATCGATATTACTTAGGGTAGCCCAGTTAAGAAACGGTACCCGGTAAGTTGACGCAAAAGTGTGATAGCGATTGTTATAAATTAAGATATTAATAAATACTCCACAAACATACTTAAATAAAAATATTTGTGAAATCAGTAGGCCTAAAGGTGCATGCCTGCTGAAAATAGGCTACAACTATCCAATTGCCTTCATTGCTGGCAGTGAAGGATGCAATTTGGCTATTGTGGATGTCTGATAACTCATATGACTGTATACTAATCATTTCAACACTCCATTTATTTCATCTTTTTTCTTAGGGTTACAGTTCCGCAGAGAACCTGCGATTGGCCTATCGGGGTTTGAATATCGATATAACTTATAGGCCTAGTGATTATAATTCAGTTCAATAGGGGGCTGCACTTTACTTGACGTCCTACACTCATTCGATTGTTTTTCGATTCGATATTTTCATTCGATTGTTTCATTCGATATATCGTTTGGTTAGTTAGGTTAGGTTAACCTTACCTAACTAACCAAACGATATATCGAATGAAGCAATCGATTAATCGATATATCGTTTGATATTTTCATTCGAATGAGTGTAGGACGTCAAGTAAAGTGCAGCCCAATAGGGCCTATTTCACATCTAAATATTTTTCCAGGTGTAAACATTGAGTTATGATCTATTAACGTTTTTATTGGTGTTTAGTAGGTAAACATCTTAAGTGTTTGTGGGTCTGTAACTTAGTCTGTCTTCACTTTTATTGATGTTTAACACACTTAAACTAAACTTTTTTATTTCATCAATTTAACCTATACAATCAAAAACAAAATATATTTAATGAACCTTATCAAAACAAACAATAACCAAAACTCACTGTTAAGATTACCGCATACCTAGGCTTCGCAAATGTATAAGTTAAGTTAGCTCAATTCAATTCAATTCAAACCATTTAATCATGCAATTCTTAAATTAATTACATAATCCCATGTGCCATGCAAAGCACGCGCAGGATGAAAAACACATTTGTATTAATAACTTACATTTCATTTTCTTGTTTCTGGCAGCAAACAGCTTAATTTTTTTTCTACGCCAGTGGCATTTGGCCTACACGAGAGAGTCACGAGAGAATAAATGTTTAGTGGATGTGCCGGGGATTGAACCCGTCCTTCCCGCACCGATGTCCGAGACGCTAACCACTAGGCTAACAACACAACCAAATATTACTTCTTTGTCCAAATATTGTTCTTTGTTATTTTTCCTTCTTTGTCACTTTTACAGAACAGTGAGTAGACATTTCCTATTGCAACAGTTTTAATCATATAAATAATACTTATGTTATAATAAACAAATTAGAATAGCCTAAATTTAATAAGAACACACTATTTTAGAAAGACAATAAATTCTACATGCAAATATAAATAGCTACGGTATGTTATCTAAAACAAAGCTAAAAATAAGTTACAGATTATTTATGCTATATTATGATTGATATAAAACAACAAAGCTTTTGACTTTATCACAGACTAAACTTCATTCAACTTTATCATTATAAACTTCATTACCAAACATTTTTACAAACACATTAAAACATTTTGGACCATGACAACACAACTGATGCCTACTACCAGTTTCCTTTTTAAAAAAGCTTTCTGCTAACAAGTAATATTGTGCTGATCGAGATATTTTATTCACAGGTTTCATATTAAACATACACAGATATTTAAAAACAAACATAATCAAACAGTACGTGCAATTGATTGAAGGTTAAGAGCTTTTCTTGATCAAAAAGATTTAACTTGCTCTATCAGATTTTTTAAAACCAAAAACTGTCCTCAGTGCATGTCTTTGGTTCATGATAACAGGTTGTAATATGTAGGATAAGTACCCCCATAATGTACTATTCCATATCTCATCACACTTTCAAACTAGGAGATGTATACCTTTTTTAAATGCTCACTCCTAATGTTGTCTCTTAAGTGATATAAAGCATAATTTATTTTCCTTAATTTAATTGAAAGCTGTTTTACATGCTGCTCCCACTTTAAATGATGATCAACAAACAATCCTAGATATTTATATTTTTTTAACTACTATTTTTACTACTTCAATACAACTGCAAGAACAATTATACACACAAAAGTGTTTATGGCACAATAAATTAAATTCATTTTGTAAATTTTCTCGTGATTGATTATATTATGTTCAAAGAAAAATAAAACATTTAGACTTTAAGGAGTTTAAATTAACAATCTGTTTTCAATTAGCCAATTTGATATCTTGTCTAAATCTTTTCTTATTTTTAGTTTCAGCGACTCTTTATTGAAAGCTGAGCACACAAGAGCTGTGTCGTCAGCATAGACAAATATTTTTGAATATAAATCAAGCTCCAGCAAGTCGTTTATGTATATATATATATATATTTATAATAATGGGGCCCAAAACCCCTCCTTGAGGGGGGGGGTAGCGAATTTTTACCCCCCTGGAATTTTACCCCCTGGGCAAACGTGGCGTCACAAACCAAGGGGTAAATTTCCGGCCGCAAACTTTTGAGTTCCGCGACATCATCTCAATGGATCAAACGCGGAATTAAACATATATTTTCACGGTTGTGAATGTAATCAGAACACATCAAATTATAAAAACCTAGAATGTACGGCCCGGATTTTTACCCCATGGCCAGATATATAACCTAGGTAGCGTTCGCAGAGGCATCCACAAAATTGAGCGGAGTCAAGGGTTCATATTATATTGTTTTTGTTATACTGCAGTA